TCTAGCGTTACCATCAAATAACACTACGGTACTTATGGAAACAGGCAGTCATAAAACTATGCCTACTCTGTGTAAATATTGTATAGGATTTAACTTCAATATAGATTACTACTTCTCTATCCAAAGTTTAGGTGTTCTTGGCCACATTCGATATTTATTTTCAAGGGCTGCAAAGTGAGCAACAAAATCTGCGAAAAAATAAATTTTCATCGGATTTAGGAGGCGTTTTTCTACTGACAGTTGATTCATCGATTTGCAGCCGTTGGTGAATACTAGTTTGTTAAAAATTACATGGCATATAATCTACGTGAGGAGGACACAACGCGAAATTTTAATTAGTCACATTCTTTACAAAGAAAGCTATTATGAATTATGTAAGTAGCTGTCACATATACAAGTGATGAAAAATATTGGAAGAATGCAAACTATTAAAACAGAAGCGAATTTCATCCCATGGTGATATTTTTCGGGAGTATATTTGGCTTATTCAACTTCTAGTTTGTGTGGAACGGACCTGTATTGAGAACAATAACTAAACCTGGCCAAATACCAAATGAGAACAGCTAGCTTGTCGATCCTTTAACCTGACGGACTGAAATTCAAGGAAAACTTAGTTTCGAGTGATAAGAACTATATTTATATGTCTTTTGAAAAAACTGTTAAAAAAACACGAATCTTGATAGCTCAACACAAGAAAGTCCCATGGAAATGAGTATGAGTTTCCCCTGATGAATCATGCTCCTGATCAAGAAAATGGGTGTTTGGAGACCAAAATTGTGGTGTTCTGATAACCCCAATTGACTATGTAAAATCATCATTGTTTTGGTTTTGCATAATCGTGGAGTAGCACTTCTTTTGGAAAGTTAGATAACCATGAGAGTAAGTTAGCCATAGTTCTTGGACACCTATAGCATCTACTTCGAGAAAGAACCCCTTGGCTAACTCAGTTGACTTAAGTTTTGATGACTGTTTTTGTTGAAGTGTACTACAAGACAAGAAAATAAACATAACGAGCTTCGGCTTCTGATGCCATTCTTGTTGATTCTATATCCGTTACTCTACCAATTACTATGGGCAAATTCACGGAGTTTTACTTTGGAACTAAATTCTTCTTAGAGTGTAAACACACGTAGATTCTTACTAATCAAGGATATTTTTGTATGCCGATTACTCCGCAAACTCAACAAAAATCAATGACTGGTTCATAATATATTATTTTTTTGTTAACATAATAGGGGGGCCTTAAACTAAAAAAAGGCTAATATTTAACAATACGCAATAATATTATTTATGTTGTTTTTGTATAAGCCTTCTTTTTCCTTTTTCCGATTCTAAATATAAGTTTGTTTGTTGTTGTTATCATCATGTCAGCTCATATATTTTATAGCGATTGGTATTAAATACATACCCCTGATGATCATGAATATTATATCGGATTCCTAAGACCCCAGATTAGATAATTTCCTGTCAGATTTTGGTCATCAAATATGCATAATTTCTTACTTGGCAGGAACTTACTTTATTCCTGTTTCAGATGCATACGATTAAACAACTATGATGACACACCCATCATCATTTTTCTATAAAACCTTTCCCTAAAGTTGAAATTCCAATTTACAAGATTTGAAAGTTGGTTAATTATTTCATACTTTTTCTATCTTGTTCTCGTCAGTTAACAACCAACTATAAATGAACAGATTTAAAACAAAGGGTCGAGTTCTAATCCTCATAGTGATTGTAGCCTTTATTTTTCTTGAAGAGGCTATTTTCTCGCGAAATGATAATACAACATTCAAATTATTACGTCCGTTCTCACAGATAAACAAGGACCAAGAGCCTCGAGAATTTTGGCAACCCATTTTCGATTTATATAATGAAAATAAAATCAAACGTGAACATAAGGTTAAATTGAAACGAGGTTTGAAGAGACCTTTTCCAAGAGATAGAGAATCCCTAATGAAAAGATGTGACCTATCAAAAGAGCAACTTGACGTACTCCAACAGAAGCACACCAACATAGTGGAAAATCTTCCTAACGGACTTGCACGCTCCACCTATAAGAAGGGCTCTAAGGGAATAGTTATAATTGGTGGTGGATTCTTTTCTTGGTTAGCAATGGTACTTGTTGTCCAAATTAGAGCACTTGGCTCTGTCTTGCCAATAGAAATCATTCTACCAAAAAGAGTTGACTACGATCCAACTTTTTGCGACATCGAACTTCCGAAATATAATGCTAGGTGCATGGTTATTGCAGATGTTCTTGGATTGAATGAAACCCAACTCAAGTTTGTTACACATCAATACAAAGGAGTTGCGCTCTTGGCCAACTCTTTCCAACACCTTCTCTTACTAGATACTGACAATTTCCCCGTGACAAATGTTGATAAGTATTTCGATGCACCAGTTTATAAAAAACATAATATGGTTCTATGGAGAGATTTTTGGAAACGTTCAGCACATCCTTTATATTACGATATAGCCAAACTTCCGGTTAATGTCAATAAACAAGTTAGATTGGGTGCATTACCGCTTATAGACCCTGTAGAGCTAACAAAAGAACAATCCGAAGCAGCCACGTTCCATGACTTAGAAGGCACAATACCTGAATTTTCAACCGAGTCAGGACAAATACTTGTCAATAGGGAGACTCATGGTAAGATGTTGCTATTAGCAATGTATTATAACATTTTGGGACGTGATGTATATTATCAAATATTCAGTTTGGGTGCCAGAGGTAAAGGAGATAGAGATACATTTGCTGCAGCAGCTCTTGTGACTGGTTCAGATTATTATCAGGTGAAGTCACTGATTTTGCGGTTCCAGATGGAATTGGATAATGGTGAAATGCAACACATCGCTATGGGTCAACGTGACCCAGAATTAGATTATGAATTATATAATAAAGAGTATAAGAAGCTTCTAAAAGATCCAAAAGTTCATGGAAAGAATCTAGAGGAACAAACCGAAATTCTATCCAAATTTTTTGACGAACACTTTGAAAATCCTAAGGTGCCTGTATTTGCCGTTCATTGCAACACTTGGAAATTCAATCCTGCTAGCTACATGAACATAAAGCACATTACTGACAAGGAAGCAAATTGTCTTAAGAAGAGAATCTACAGTCACTTTACGTATCCAGATAGAGGCAAGGACATAGATTTTGAATCACGAAGATTTGAAATTGCACACAAATTGCTATGTGAAGAGAAGATACAGTTTAAACATTTCAAGAATCAAAATATGGATCGTGCTTGCGAGTATACGAGGAATTCCATAGCGTGGTTAAAAGAAAATTAGTGTACCGGGGAGATTGTGTCCCAAAGTATCCCAGTTGTACAGGTAAAAATATACCATTAGAAGCACATTTCTTGGCTTTGGGGGATTTTTCGAAACCAGATTCAGAGTTTTTGATTGAACGTACTCTGTTTCCTACAGAGCAAAGGGAGTGTCCATTTTGGCTTCCAGGAATGAGTAAAGTAACCGGTACTAACATGGCAATCAAAACAGCACTTCCAGAAGCATAGAATACTCACTGTTACAGCAATCAAATGCATCTAGTTGAATAAAAAAACCTTGATATTTCTATATAAACTAATAAAAAGACAAACTAAATTTCCTTTAAAATATGTCTTGTGACATCAACAGTACATACATGAGCGTATCTCTCAAAAGTGTCTTACAACCTTATAATGCATTCTTTCTTGTTAAATAATCGAATCTGGAATAAGTATAACCAATAAATGGTAAATCTTCTTTAACATTCTTCTTTCCATTCTTAATATCCACATCTCTTTGTTCCATAGCTTTACTCAACGCAGGGTTTTCAGGAACATTTTCCAATTCATCAGTTGGGAAGAATCTTGTATCAGTGATCGATCTCAATTTAGGTATGAAAGGAGCATCTACTCTTCGAATAGTTTCCCAATCAACACCTCTAAAGAATGGATGACGTTTGATTTCATCAGCTCCACCATATCTACCCAATCTATTCTCGGCCGATGTCAATAATCGTCTGATTAAATCTTCAGCTTCAGGGGATAAATGAATATCTTCAGGAACTTGTAAAGTTTCTTGCCAATTCAAAATCTTTCTATAGGTTTCATGCGGGGTTTCACTACAGAATGGAGGCCATCCTACCAAACATTCAAACATAATCGCCCCAAGGGACCACCAATCACACTCTTGTCCATATCCTTGATGGATAAAGATTTCAGGAGCAATATAATCTGGAGTACCAACCGTTGAATATGCCATTAAACGACGAGATTTTCTCCAGGTTTGCATTTGTTGTCTATTTGACATTGTTAAATGGATAGGGTCAACCATCATGGAATTACGTCCGTTTGTTAATTGGTTTGGTTGTAGTTGTTGGGACGGTGGTTCTTTTTCTAATAATTTCTTGTAATAGTTTGAATCATGGGTTTTGTGGAAACCAGTAGATAAACCAAAATCACTCAATTTAATGTGTCCTCTAATATCAATTAAGATGTTATCTGGTTTGATATCACGATGGATAAAACCCAATTTATGAATAGCTTCTATGGCTAATACACATTCGGCCATATAGAATCTAGTAATATCCTCGGTGAATATCTGCCATCTAATTAACATAGTCATTAAATCACCACCCGGTAAGAATTCCATAATTAAATATAAATATTGCGAATCCTGGAATGAATAATATAAGGAAACAACCCATGGAGAATCACTTCCTGCCAAAACATCTCTTTCAGCTTTGACATGAGCTAATTGATCCTTCTTATACATTTCAGATTTTAATAACGTTTTCATGGCATATATCTTACCAGTATCCTTCTTCTGTACTAGTCTAACTTCCCCAAAAGCACCCTTACCTATAACCTTAACGGTATTAAAATCTTCCAATGCCAATTTTGTTCTACGTAATCTCAAGAATTGTGATTCTTTCTTACCCAAGTTTTGTAATTGTCTGTTTTTACGCTCTTGAGAGGCTCCAGCTTCTTCAGTCATTAGCTTATGTTCCAAATCTAATCGTCTTTGATTTCTTTCAATAGCATGATTTACTGACATTGTATAATAATTTTCTAATGTTAATTTTATCGATGCTGCCTTGTCCTGACAAGTCTTCGATAATAAGTTCGGTTGTCTATTGAAATATATTTTGTCTTGCGGTACTGGTTGTTGCTGTTTGGGTTCTTGTATTGGTTGTTTTGAAATTATTGGAGCTGGTGCGAGGGGTGTCACGGCACTAGGTTGAGCTGGTGGTGTATTGCCAGGATGCTGTTGGATTAAGTTTGCTTTCGATTCGTTTGAAAGTAATGAATTGGTTACCGAACTATGACTTGTCTCGGAAAGATTTGTTTGACTACTATTGGCTAACTGTGTGAATGTAGTAGGCGGTTGAAAATGCATTGAATCAATCGATGTGAATTTCCCATTTGAATCATGAATGTCACCAAATCCACCTGCTGAGTTGGTAAAGGTTGGAGATGCCGCAGTTGTAGTGAAGTTAAATTGTGGTTGTTGTTGCATTGGTGGCTCTTGGGCCTGAGGCTGTTGTCTTATTGGAGAATTTGCATCGGCCATGGCAGGAGGTTGATCCATTATTTGGGAAGTGTCTTCATCCATAAAACTGTCGTCATATTTGGCGTATTCTTCTTGTTGTTGATGGTGGTGAATTTGGGGATATTGTTGCTGTTGTTGGTATAGTTGATGTTGTTGTTGCAAGTGTTGCTGTTGCTGTTGTTGTTGCTGTTGCAAGTGTTGTTGGTTCATGATTTGTTGTTGTTGTTGTGAATATTGGTTTAACTGCGCATACTGCTGCTGTTGTTGCTGTTGAAGATGTTGGAGGTAAAGCTGTTGCTTCTCCTGTTCTGACAAGTGATCAAAGTTCATAACGAAAGAATGGGCTATGTGTTGATGTTGATGGTACGATGATGATTCCAACAGTTTTTTTTTTATCGTCAATCTAAATCAATAGAAAATTTACAACAGACACAACGGACACAACGAAAAGTCAGACAGACAGAAAAACTGCGAGATCAAAAGAAAAATAAAAAAAAAAAACAATTTGGTCGTCAAAAAAAAAAAAAAAGATTAGCTGCCAAAATTTAAAATAATAACTTAATTTGGTAAACAAATAAAATCGTACAATTAAAATGATGAATTGTTTCAATCCTTTTTTTTTACTTTACACATTCAATGTTTAAACATTTGACATTAAAAATGTGTTGAGATGAAACAATATAAAATACATTATGATCTCTTATCAATATATTATGAATCCCCTTCTTCAGATAAACCGGTAGCTCACTAAACAAGTAAAATCTAAGCACCCAAGGGTAACCCTTTAAAGAGTAGATATCTACAATTTTATTATACTTACATCATCTCTCTCTCTCTCGTTTTCAATAACACCAGGAAATACACTGCGTGATACGTATATAACAAATAAAAGTACAAGATTATATAAACATTTTCTGTAAATAACAAAGAGTATTGTACCTACAATTCTTCAGTATTCTCCAAAAAGATTAATATGCCGTTTCCAATAAAAAAATAGTGATAATGATAAAAAAATTCAAAGCACTTCACGTGATAATATAAAGTTTCATTAAATTAATGTTTATTTGATTTATAATAATATTAAATACCTCATAATACTCAACACTATTAAAATTGTAAAGCTTGACCCTTTTGTTTCTTGTCACCACCTAATTCGAAATGCTTACATCTCTTTAAGGATAATTGAGCCTTGGTCTTACAGACAACACATTCTAATCTTAAAACGACCTTCTTGGTAGTCTTAGCTTTCTTGTGGAAAACTGGCTTAGTTTGACCACCGAAACCAGATTGTTTACGGTCATATCTTCTCTTACCTTGAGCGAATAAAGAAGCCTTACCAGCCTTGTATTGGGTAACTTTGTGTTGGGTGTGTTTACGACATTCCTTACCCTTACAGTAGGTCTTTCTAGTTTTTGGGACGTTAACTATAAAATAGATGTTAGTATTCTTGTCTTTCCTTTGTTCTTATTCAAGTAATTCAACATTCATGGGGGGATATTGGACTGCATCTATATAAAAAAATGGGGAAGAATATAATGTGGTCGACTTTTGTTAAAACATGGTAGATATATTGGTGGTAGATAGTCTGTTTAAACGATTCCAATCTTTGATACATCCGTTTGAAATCACTTTATTCCCTCTATTATAGAATTTTCAATTTTTCATCTGATGTTCAACATGATGCATAACTTCACGATATTCCACACTCTCTGTCGCTTTTAAATTAATACGGATTCATTTATGTATGATTCCCCCTTCTGTTCCAAACTACTTGACGGTATATGCGTGGTTGACATACCCATTGTGACTTGATTATTCGAAGCTAAAGTATATATCAAAAGAAGATTCTCTTTGAAAATTACGTTCTTTTAATTTTTCTTTCATTTTTTTCCACCCATAGTAAAACTTGCCATAGTGCGCATCATACATTCTTGATAGTAGCAGAAAAATTTTCTTAGTGTGCAATCGAATTATATATTGATGTTTGGATGCACATGGGGTTTGGGAGAAAAATTGCCAAATTTGTGCACGTGATTAGGGTTTCAACCCTAATATTTTGATTTTTCTTAGATGTTTACATTTTTTCGCGCTGATAGTTTTGTGTAATATTAAACATCTGGCTGCAAATCCCAATTAGGAAGCATCCCAGCAAGTCAAGACAACATTACTACATCCAATCTAACAAACGTATAATATTTTATATTAAAAAGGCAAGCTGTACAAGAGGGGATATCATGACATCATGGCGCGATGTAAGAAGTGTAATATACATAAAGAATTTCTAAATAAGAATAGTTCTTAACAATCGATATCTAAAAAAAATCTACATTTGGGTAATTGTAACACTGATGGTAGATGTCAGGGTAATAGTTTCTTCGTCCACGGTGTCTGAATCATAGTAATAATCGTAATTAACATAACATACCCCATCAGAGGTAACCGTTGTCACATTTTCAACAACCCAAGAATCATTACTTGTAGGACCAGTAACCTCTGGAGCAGATGTAGTAGTAGGAGCCGAACTTGATATTGGTGCAGGTTGGGCTAATGCACTGCTGCTCGGTTCAGGAGTTGGCTCTGGGGTATCATAATAGGAGCTTGAACTGGCAACCTCTTGAGCTTGAGAGGTTGGATCTGAGTTTTGGACCTCATTCTGATTATTTTGAGCAGCAGCAATAGAGACAGGGCCATATACGGTTGAAGTTATAGTGGCTGTATATCTGGTAACTGTGGACGTTTTGGTTGCTACCAATGTGTTAGTATAAGTTTGTCTTGGGATATTGACAGTTTCGTAATGAGTTGAAGTGCTTGTGATGGTCTTTTTACGTTTAATAATGTGAGCATCAATGTCGTCTCTTTTATTTAAATTAGTTGGTAATGCTAATGCATCTGCCATTATTGATGCTGAGATTAATGATACTAAGATTTGGCTGATTCTCATTTTTGATTTTTGGACGGAATGACTGGAGTTAATGGATATAAAGGAGTGAAGAAGTGGGTGTTTCCGAATGAATGAATGGTTAGTTTTCGTTAAAACATATAACAAATCTATGTTTTATTGAAAGTCATTTGAGTCTCTATATATACAACTTGTTCGCTTCAACTAGAACAATGGGATTCATACCAAACGCTGGTTAACATCCCATTTTGGATATCCGTCTATAGAATTTCATGTAATGAAAGACTTATTTATCTTGACGAATAGTTTGTATGATGGTTGCTTTGAACTAAATCTGTGACACAATTTTAAAGTGGCTGGCTGGCTGCGAAAAAAAAAATATTATTGGCAGATTTAAAAAGCCTTATTTATGTATGAATGACTTGAACAAATAAAAGAATAATCACATTTAAATCTAAGAAATATGAAATTGAGATTCTCGGATAGTCTTGTTTGGAAGTGAGCTGATTGGCATAATGTCATAATGGACTCGTTCTAGTTTGCTTTGTAATTAATAATTATTAGTTTACCTGGGGTTTCAAGTTGTACCAGATTTAAAACCAATTTTTTACAAAAAATGGACGCAATCCTTTCAATCGCTTAAAAGATGACAAGTGATCAATCCCACATATTTGATAGAATTTTCGTTCGCTTTCATGTATTGTTTGCACATATACGTACTTTCGAACGTGTTATGCTGCATATTGCAGCAGTTCTTTTTATTGGTGTTGCCAAGAGTATCTACACTCTTCGGATTTTGCTAAGAAAAAAAGACGTTTAAAGAGATTCTCTCAACAAGTTGGAAATCTCGAAATGGTTCTAACCATTTTATTTTACTTGCAAAGAATCTGACTGATATGACTTAGCATGGCAATACCTACCATCTTCTGTTTGGCGACCGAAACAGACAAAAAATCTCGCCCGAATCTAGAAATTCGCAGACACAAAATGAATCAAAGTCTGTTACTTACTCTACATCTAAAGTTCAGCTAATAGTCTCTAATTGATAGTAGAGGCTTGTAATTGCCTTCTTACAAGCATCAGCAAATAAATTTGTAATTGATAGTTTCTTCTTGAAGATGTTGGCTCACCGGAAATTGTTGTTTGACCTACGGACGACCGAAGTCGAAAAAATGTTTATTTTTTTACCCTCGTCATTCCATCGTTCCCAATCGCAATCTCCTTTTTGGACTTTCTCCTCCACTTTAACTCTTCAATCACTTTAGGAAGTATCCAATACATCTTATAAAGTACCTGAATTCAGACTGCCACTAGAATATACTTTGTGCACTTTAAATTTCTGACCAATTGGCTTTTACTTTTCACAAAACTATCAAAAATATCAAAACAATAACAAACCCACTAAATTCGACCACCCCCGAAAAACAAACCGGATTTGATAAGATAGATAATGAGCTTCTACAACAGTAATCAATCATTAGTGTATAACTTCAATGCCCAGAGAGCAGGAGTAAACGACACCCAACATCAAAATGTAACGCAAAGGGATCCAACTGCTGCCGCCGCTGCCGCTGCTGTACAGCAACAACGAGCACATCAACAACATCAACAAGCAGTAGCACAACAAGCTCAAGCACAAGCCCAAGCTGCGCAGGGTCTTAGTCAAAGACAACTACAATCGTCTCCATTGCAACAACAACAACCACACCTACAATCGTCGACACATGTCCAACATAAACAAACTTCTCGACAACACAAAAGACTGGGTCAAGCATCACAAACGAAGTCCGGAAGTTCGGTGATTGGAGGCGGGACTTCAATCCTCAAGAGAGCAAGGAAAAATCGACCAGGACAAAAATTTGGAGCTAAGAAGAGATCATGGGTTTGGTCCTGGTTTGTACAAGATTCTCAGAATCCAAATGTTACATCTTGTGAATTATGCGGGAAGATAATTATTCGATTACCTTCTGATAAAAGTTCTCCCAAGAAATTGAGTGAACATCTAAAGACTCACAAACTTTCCAAAGAAGCGATTAATTATGGTCGTCCGATTCCGGTTGATGGATATGGGATAACATATACGAATGAAGGAGATCCGGTTAGTTATCCTCCGAATTATCAACAACCGATTATGGAAGTAAGGACGAAATCCATGATGGCGACCACTGTGGCTGCTGCTGCTGCGCGGGTTGCTATTGCAGCTGGTCCGGAATCTTCGAGTATGCAGAATATGGAAGAGCCTGAGCATGTGGTAGCCGGCGGAAATGTGGACGATCCAAAGGATAAACAGAAATCCAAGAATCCGGCAAATATGTACCACTTGACACCAAATAGAAGATATCTTTCGACTGATTTTGATAATGTTCCATATACTGCTTCCAAGTTTCATAAACATCTTTTGAAATTCTTAACGGAGAATAAATTACCCATTAGCGTTCTTAGAACCCATTCGTTTCAACAATTGGTTTATGATTTACGATCGGATTCGGTGGCTGATTTATTGGAATTGACGGATTTGTACAGTACGTTGTTGGAAGTTAGTAGATACGATGAAGGTTCACTGAATGGTGACACGACGACTGATGCAGAAAATCAAGCTGTTGCTGCTTTGGCGAATGATATAGAGAATAAAATGTCCGGTAACTAGATTCCAACTCTTTAAATAAAATATATTCACTATGTAATATATATCTATAAAATATGCCCTATAATGTAAGATCTTGTATATTCTCTTGTAAATCGTTCATTTCATCAATACTAGTACCAGTATCACTTCTTCCACGCCTACCCACAATCGGAGTATTTCCAATCCCATCAAGGACACTCGCCCTTACTCTCGAACCAGAACTAACGGGAGCAATACCCGGACTTGCTTTCGCATAAATTGGAGGGCTAAATGTCCTCACATCCTCATACGTTGGGGGCACTTCATCATCCCAAGCAATCCCAAGACCTGACCTTTCGGTGATTTGAAGCTTGAATTGCATTCTCAAAACCCTGGCTGCACCAGTGGGTACACCCATTTGTGACTGCCCTTGTGCTTGTTGTTGTTGTTGGCCCGAGGTCCCACTTGAAGAACCACTATCAGCAGATGGTGGCGGTTTGTTGTATGATGCTGTTCTTGATGATATACTTCCCTTTCTGGTTCGTTCAATATTATGGATAATTTCTTCTGCGACTATGGCTTCTGCTACTAAAGTATGCTCAACATGAACGCCTAATGTCGGATCATCGATATCACAGGCGATAGTTGCATCTTCTGTGGGTTCACTTTGTGGGATTGGATCTTCGCTGGTGATTTTATTTATGGGATTATTTAATCCTCGTGAAAGTCCACTGGCACTTACGTGACCTATTAGTTCTACTTTCCCTCGAGCGGAGAAATCCGATTTCCAGCCCGATTTGAGCTCGCCATAGCTAACTATTCTTCTTTCTTCTAGATATATATGCTTATCCGAGTCTGAAGATTGTGGTGGTCCTGGAGGAGGAGTATATGTTGAATTATCTTGAGTTTGGTCATTTGAACTTTCGTCAGAAGTTGGACGAGTGATAAAATCTTCGATAAAGCTCTGATGTGCCTGCGAGGGTCCACTTGAAACAGGTTCATCCTCTTCTTCGACAGGTATATCTATTTCCGTAGGATTGGTACTAATTTGCTCATGATAATGGGCACTGCTAGGAGAATGCATTAAATTAATATCTGTTCGTACCACATTGGGTTTTGTCTGCGTTGATCTAGGTTTCTTCTTCTTTTCACCTCGATATTGCTTTTCTAATTTTGTTAAATGCAGTTGATGTTCTTCACAGGCATATGCTTTTACTCTTGTATGTTCTTCAATTCTCCAAGTTAATCGCCTCATTCTCCATCGACGTTGTTTTGAACCACTTACCAAGTTGTCTAATTTCAACTCTATGGGGAACGTGGATTTAGGATATACCACATTAGGCAATACTACACTTGCAGTTGTTTCAGTTGGTGGGAATATACGTAATGAATTCCGATCTGGTCCACGAAGAACCAGTCGGGATACAGTAATGGGTAGAACTAATTTCACTTGTTCTCCTTTGTTTGGAGTTTTCGCAATAGCTATCAACTCATATTTAATGTATGATTGAGAATTCGCTGAACCTAATTTGCTAGTTGCTGGTATTGAACCTGGGAATAGATGTGAGAATGGATATGAATGTTCACCCATAGGGAAACTGGCTTTGGATTTTAAAATATCCCATCTTGCTAATTCATGAGCTCTTAAACGACATTTACTACAAATTGAAAGTTCGGAATTTGGAATAGTGAAAGGAGATGTATATTTCATTGTTTGTACTAATGAAAGTGTAACACTATTCAATTCCACTTCTTCAAATGAAGATCTCGACAGGGATACAACTGGTTTGATAGTTAATGTCAAAATACCCGAGATTATCGAACCACTAGATTCTGTAGGAAGACCATATAGGACTATTGGAGGAGATTCTAAGTTAATTGAAAGAGAAAATTTCGTTGATGGTTTACTACCAGTAGTAAAATTTTGTGGATTGGGTTCGGAGATGGTGGAATTGGATCGAGGATGCAGTTGTTTGGGAGATATTTGGTTTCCCGTATGCCTCTCTGAGTTCAAACTTAGAACTTTTGAAAGTAGTGGCATATCTTAACACAGGAATGAATTGGTAGATGATTAGACTCGAGAAAGAATAATTCTTTGTAGATTTGTAAAGGATTTCTATTTTATACCCCTCGGAGTAGAAATCTCCACACACTCAGTCCCACAACAGAATTTTTTTCTCTTGGTACCTTTTTTTTCTTCGTCTTCTTTTTGTGTACGATATTGTACGCTACCATCAGTTGGGAATGTATGTGCGGGTGGAGGGGAAATACTTCCTGAAACAAATTATTCAGATCAAAACCAAACGGCATTTTATTCAATAACTTAGCCCCCGTGTTCTTCTCCCGAACCGATGTTACTTTACAATAGAATGGTTTAGTTGTTACACATCGTATACGAAATTTTGGGTCAAAGATTTGGCAGAATTCTTTCCTAGGAGGTTGGACTATGACGCCATCGGAGATTGCCAATCCCACAGGGAAAATACCGTAACAGGGTAGTAACGCAGCGATAAAGATACTTTCCGTCAAGCTATTTTAGTTAGTAAATCACTTTTCCACTATTGAGCTCAACTCTTTCTTTCATCCAATTTCATAAATTTGTCGTATGAATCTGATCTGATCTGATCTGACCTCATCCGCTTCTCTTGGACGGTTGTAATTTTCAGTCTGTCCCACTGAAAAAAAAAATAAACATACCCAAAACCCTTCACCTCTCCCACTAAGTCCTACTACCATGACTAAACAATACATCGTAATAGACAATGGGTCATATAATATAAAAGCCGGCTTCAATTCGGGCGAATCCACCTCCACTCCTCTCAAAATCTCCAACTCAATAACCAAAACACGAGATGGTCTAATCCACATCGGAAACCAATATCAATCCCACACCAACAATTATTCCGGCATCCAATTCAAACGACCCCATGATCAAGGACATCTCACCTCTTGGGAAACCGAAAAGCCAATCTGGGATTATACGTTGGATCAGCTTTCACCCGACAAAGAGATCGATCCTGGGAATGTTCATCTAACCCTAACCGAGCCAGCATTCCAATTGCCCCAATTATCGATCAATACTGATCAGATCGTGTTTGAAGAATATGGATTCAGTCAATATTATCGATGTATGCCTGCCTCCTTGGTTCCATTTGCCGTGGATCCGAATCTGGTGAATACTGATTTTCTGTTGGTGATTGATGCGGGATTTAGTTCGACCTGGATTGTGCCGATGATATATCAGAATGTATATTGGGAAGGAGTGAGGAAATTACCTGTTGGTGGGAGATTATTGAATGGGTTATTGAGAGAGGTGATTTCATTTAGACATTATGATATTTCCGAAGATCCAATATTAATAAATACAATTAAAGAGTCTACATGTTTTTTGGCAACAGATTTTAATCAGACGTTGAAGAATAAACAGAAATATCTTGCTGAATTTGTATTGCCAGATTTTAAGACTACCACGACTGGGTTTGTTAAGACGAAGGATACTCCTGAAATACCTAGTGATACACAGATATTAAAATTATATGATGAACGATTTTCAATCCCAGAAGCATATTTCCATCCAGAGATAATATTTGATAATAATGATATCACTGCGGGGAATTCATTAGTTCAAAATGCCCCATTGAAAAATTTGACAGATTTGATTGTAGAATCAATCATGTCATGTCCTGAAGTAACAAGACCTTTATTACTGGCAAATGTATGTTTAGTTGGTGGATCAGGAAATATACCTAATTTCACAGATAGATTGATACTGGAATTAACCAAAGAGCTTCCTATGAATTGGAAAGTGAAGATCCATGCTACTCATGATGATATACCGTTGGATGAAATGAGTTGGTATGGTGGAATCAATTTGACAAATGAAGATATATTGAGTAATATTAGTATATCAAAGAAGGATTATTTTGAACATGGAGCCAATTGGTGTCAGAAACAATTTGGATTTAAGAATTTGTAAAAGAAATGAATGCAAATTTGTATTATATATATAAACTATTAGTCAACCTATATAATTTCTATTAAATGATTAAATGTGAGGTATCTACTGAATAATAACCAACCATATCTAAACCAAACCATTTGACTGAAATGACCATATGCCATAGCAGCATAACTTACACTCAACATGTTTAAATCACTATAGATTTTGATTGAAGACATCGACGGAGCTTGATTGAAGAAACTGACATTGATATTAATATGAATGATATTACTAATTAATAAATCTGATAAATGGGCCACAAATAATTCAACATTAGTTAAGAATGTAAAACTATACTTCTCCCAGAAATTCAAACTCTTTAAAATCAATAATCTTGTACTATTCCCATTCTTCTTGATTGAATTGAAATAACTCTTGGTACCATGATATAAAGAAATATGATTGGGATGATTTGAAACTCCATTTTCATCAAATGTAATCAATACAATTGGTTTATCAGATGTAACTTGTTCTTGTAAGACTTGTTTAATTTGAGCCACTGGCCACGTTTCATTCATACCATCCTTGAAACCATTAAGTATACTAACATTTTCTTTATCTATCCCTAATATTCTTGCAGAATGATAAAGTTCATTAGATCGTATAGCACCCATTGATACATCAACTGAATCCCCCTGGGAAAAACATATGATCTTGACATCATTATGATATTTAGTTTTGGCAACTTCTACTACTGAAGGAGAGAAGAACATCACTTCATCATCAGGATGTCCTATAATGAAATAAACAGTACTATTTTGTATAGGAAGTGGGGTAGGGGATGTTATTGAATTGTAAGGATATGTTGACATTTTGAATTTATTGGTTTGTACTTGAGTGCTGGTATATTTCATCAGTATTTGTGGTATAATAGTAGTGAATAATATCCATAGTAAAAAAGATGATGTAATCATCTTTATGATTAATGACGGTATCGTAAATAGCATTATCTTTGTGTGTATGTATGTATGCCCTGGGCTAATAATAAAAGAGTAAAATGGAAAAGTATGGAAAAAGAATGGGTGTTTATATGAATATCTAAATGACAGCTAATCTTTAATTATTAGTAATTGATAAATAAAGAATAGCCATTGTTACACAAAATATGTGGAGATGAATAGAGATGTTGGGTAAATCTAAAAATAAAAATAAAATCTCATCTCCACCCAAAGTAAATGTCACGTAGTAATATTTCATTTACAGTGTTCTATAATATTCTATGTAAAGAAGAAGAAGAAGCCACGCGCATCCAACAAAATAAATTTTTAACACGTGACGTTTACTACAAAATGATTTCTTTTTTTTTTGTTGAGACGGGTGGGTGGGGGGATCATTTCCTAATTGGGAAAGTCTACTTCCTTCTAATAAATGTATAACCAGTATTCCATACTAAATCAATTTTAGTTGTATTTCTATCCCAACCAGTCTCCTGTTCTAATTCAGTTAAGAATAATTCAAGTACGTCATCCTTATCCCCAGTAGCATCTTTATAGTTATGAAACCCACTATAAGTTGAAAGATAATCAACATATCCTTTAAGGGAAAGATTCATCTTCTTTAAATCAAGATCAGTTTCAATATCAGCAACCGGTTTGCTTGGACTAGGTTTGAAGGTATTGATAGTAATATCAGTATATAACTCTTTTGGAACTTTTGCATTAACTTCTTCAAGGAAATGTTTCACGATATTTCTACCAGGTTGTTCCCAATGTGGTCCGATATACTTTGGATCATCATAAACATACTTAAAATAAATCTTCTTAGCTTTATTAACAACTTCATCCTTATCAGCACCTGATCCAGAATAATCAACAATAACTGGATCATTATAAAAGAAATAGGCCAATACTCCACCTGGTCTTAACAACTTAGCAGCATTTTCAAAAAATGAATCATAATCTTTAAACCAATGAATACATTGAGCTGCCGTGATTAAATCAATAGTACCTTCTTCCAATCCTTCTTCTTTAGAAGATTGCTTCTTATTAACAAAATCCTCAACTGCACCTGATTTGAATTTAATTCTATTCAAATCAGAAATACCCAATTCTGCTAAACGTGATTCAATTAAGGAATTGGCAGTTTCAATCATACTGGGGGAAAGATCAAGTCCATATACTTCTTGAGAAATATTTAATAATGGATATGTGGCAACACCAGTACCACAACCAAGATCAATGGATTTACCAAGTGGTAATTTTGATTCATCTCCTTTGGTTACATAATTGGCTAAGATCTTATAGAAACTTGATGGATAATGAGGTCTGAATGAATTGTAGTTAAGCGTCTTGAAATTTACTTTGGAAAATGTTGACATTTTGTTTTACTTGTTTGTTTTGTTTGAAGAATGATGGATGATATAGTCTTGTTGTTTCGATGGAAATGAGGACAATCCCAGGGCTATTTATACTAACTGTTTCGCTATACCTCAAGTGAAGTAACCATTCATTTATAATTGAATGATGTCATCCATCCCCCAACTGGGTACTACTAAAAATAAGTTCCGTAATTTGCGTGGGGGATAATTGTGGGGGGCTTGAACAAAATTTCGGAGACCTATTCGGACTTGCAGCTTTGTGGTTGCGAAATATTCCATAAATAAATAAAATACAATTTTATAACTAATAAATAATAATAATACTATGACTAATAGAAATGCGGTTCACTATATATCCCAATACTCCTGACTAACCCCACGAGCTCCTGCTCCTGATTGACTAGCATCATTGTTACTATTGTACATACTAAACATATCTTCATTTGTCGTATTTCCAGTACTATCATGCATTTCCAAAAATGGTACCAATCCCAATGACCCATCAGCTACAAATTCATTCATAAGTACTTGACGATTAATACTAATCTTAAACGGATCAAATTTCAAAAGACTTTCCAATCCATCTGAATCATCAATACTTAAAGTATCATTACTCATTGGAATATCACCCATCTCTGCTGAAGCATTTGCAGTAACAAACGTATCTTGTGCTGGTTGAGAATTTGTCATTACCGTTGGAGGTGATGCTTTTTCAAGTATATTAAACATTTCATCATTAGTGATATCGAAATTACTAGTCGGACTCTTAAGTCTCATTGCTGGTGTTGGAGGTGGAGTAGTTGAATTATTCCGGAATAAAGTTCTTGGAAATCCTGGATCTCGTTCTACTGCTGTTCTAGTGATTGGCTGGGAAGTTAAGACCTTTTTTCGAATATTACTGGTTGGTTTACTTAATTTAAGTCCGAGAATACTTAAGATTGCCAATTCTAATAATTTGAATGAATTTCTATTCAATCCACCTGGAGTATTTAATCGACTTTCTTGACTTAGGCTATTGATTGTATCCAAAAGCAATTGTTTCAGATTGTTAAATAATGGACCACCTTTAATATAATCTAATGTCCCCTTGGCCACGAATAATGCAAATAAAGATTGTTCTCGAGTGATATTTGTTGGGATTGGTAAAGCGGTAGATGATAAATTGGAAGAAAGACATTTTAATACCTCAAGAATTTGTAGACATGATTGTTGAATCAAACTAATACTTGAAACAATTGTAGCGGTATCGGCATCCCCCTTGGCTAATTTTTCCTTTTCTGAAAGTCCTACATTATGATGATGTCCATATTTCGAAATAATAGGTAAATAAATCAATATTTTGGCATGATAATATAAAAATATCAATGTGATTTGTTGTTTGTTATAATTCTGCCATAAATTCCCATCGATATAATTATTATTAACATCTTTCAACGTGAGTCCATTTATATCAATTTCAAATTTCAAATCCACTGGCAATTCACGTCTCCAACAATCAAGCATTCTATCTCTAGATAATGAATGTCTTTGGATATCATTATTTTCAAATCTAGAATATATAGAATCCAAAATATTAGCCAACACTTTACAATATAACATAATACTCAAGGCAAATTTGGTAACTTTACCAACAATAGATAATTCCGTATTATTAACAATCAAAATATTCACATTATCATCGTCGTCATCATCATCATCACTCTTACCTGCAAAAGGCATTGCACATTCAATCTCATAATCTTTGAGAAGTCGCGGTATACCCAATCCTAATGATGCATACACATCCAAACAATAAACGCACCAGAATAAAATACGTCTTTCAGCTTGCATATAATTTCTTAGTACATCACCATCATTGGAACCACTAATACCTAACACCGCAGCAGGACATCTATGTAATCTAAGTTGTTGGGCCATACTTATGACTCTTCCTCTCAATTCATAACAGGTGGTGATATCACCGGTGACCAAACAATATTGTAATGCTAAGGATAAGATTTGTAATGACTGAATTGAACAATATTGTGTGACGAGACAGTTTGGTTTTATGAATTCATGAATTAAATAATCATAATGCTTTACGACATTAGCATATCTTTCAATCATATCTGATTTAGATTCATTCAAATAAGTATTCTTCTTAGTCACCAAAGCCAAAGCTAATATCAACACCATAATGGCACCAAATTTTTCAATCAGTTCATAATTCGATTCATCCACTGATTCATCACTTTCATTCTCCATCCTTTGTTGTTGTTCGTGTTGTTCAAGAATATTGGTCAACTTTAAATAATTCTTCAAAAACCCATTCTTATCAATAATAGGCAATGCATTTGCCCATTCTTGGAAATATACGGTGATCAATTGATCCATATCAAGTCTAGATTGTGGTAATTCAATAAGTTCCCTCAAGAAAATCGTTGCCTCACTTTCATTCAATTTCTGAACCCCACTCCGATTCATAATGATCTTATTCAATGATTCTTGACGGTCTTCAGGTAGTGGAGATCTCAAAACTTCAATAGAGGTTTCTTTGAGGGACCCAAGTGCATTGGCGGCCAATACTGCCGGTTTGGAGTCATATCCATATGCTTGACATACTCGGGCCAATAAGGTTGGAATACATAATGTCTCCTCTGTACTTCTGGGTATAGACATCGCAACCAAAGAAGTAAGTAATTGTTGTTTATTAGCCAAATTCTCTTGTTTTTGATGTTGTGGTTGAGCATGCTGAAAGATTTTATTCTTTTGCATTTGGGCAATTGCCGTTGCCGCTGCGAATGCTCCTGGTGCTGGGGTCAGTTCTCTATTGGTAGAATTTGAAGCATAATGATGATGCCTGCCACCTTTTCTGACAAATGTGGTATCATTTTCCAACATCAGGTATTCATCGGGACTTAATAAACTCTCGGTATCATCATCAAGAATCCCGTCGTCTAGATTAATGGATCCTGGTCGGGGGATTGTGTGATTGTCAAAACCATATACTGACCCGGCGATAGATACTGGTCGATCATGTACGGCATGAGGACTGGCGTTTGAACAACATAGACAACCATTTTCTTGATGATCATGCAGATGGATATCATTTTGTCGATCTAAGAGACTAAGATTCGACGCTGTAATTTTATGAAATTCGTCAGAATCATTGGTCAGGATTATAGATTGATTTAATTCTCCATCTGATTTATTGTTGTTGGTTATGTTAATCCCGGAGTTTAGGATTTCTAATTGTTCATCTCTCATATCCAAAAGTCCAACTAATTTCTTATTCTCAGCCTCGAGTTGTCGCACCCTCTCTTCTAAAGTTTCGGTATATCCTTTGGGGAATGCTTTTCTTGAAAGCTTATCAGATACAATACATTCTAATCCAACAGCAGAACATGTAGAACATGGATTCTTTCCATCACATTTAGTCTTCTTGGCTCGACATCGGTCACATGCTTGAGCTACTCTTTCTAGTCTAGAACCAGGAGCTTTTATTGTTTTGGTGTTTGTTTTAGAACCTTTGAGTTTTGATTTTGGTGGTTGTTTTGTTGTTGTCAAATGGGTCAGGGAGTTATTATTATCAATAGTACCACTTTGGAGATATGGGTCCATCTGTGGTTGGGGAGGGAAGGATGGATATGGCAGTCCCCGTTGTTCCTGCTTTATTGACATTTATAAATGAACTTTTGTAGTATAGTAGTCAGATATCCCACTAAGGATGTAGTAATAGTATAGGGGGACAGTAGTTGCTTCGGTACAAGACTTATCAAAAGAATTGTGTTAATGCCTGAACCGGCCTGTTTAAATTTTTATCATAAGATTTTTTTTCTTTATTTAATTTTAATTTTTAGACCCCTGACTCATTTATTATTATGCGACATTTTTTAGTGAGTAAAATTTTCTTTCTGTCGTGTGTCGAAAGAAGATTACCTAAATCCGAGATCTTATACCGCGGGCGTTTAAAGAAAAAAACAAGTGGGTCATTTCGTTATCTCCGGGATATGGGCTTCAAGATGACTTCATTAAAATCAACAACAAAGCGTAGTTTGAAGGTCGTGAATAAGACAATCACTTCTCAACAACAGCGGAAGAAGATAAAAACCGAACCTGCTGAGGTATCGATCAAAGTAGAAACCGTTAAAAAGGAACATATCAAGATCGAAATCGAGAATGAAGAAATAGTCTCATCTCCCAATATATTTCCCAAGGCAGAACCTACTGCCCTGAGCATCAAAGCACCCGAGAACTGGGTTAAGATATATAATGAGATTGTAGATATGCGAAGTAAATTCATGGCTCCAGTAGATACACAAGGATGTGAACGAATGCCAAATACAATTGATCCAGGTATTAAAACCCGTGATCCTAAGATATATCGATTTCAATTATTAATATCATTGATGTTATCCTCTCAGACTAAAGATGAAGTTAATTTTGATGCCATGACCAAATTACATCAAGGTATGCAAAAGCGAGGGTTTACTAATGGATTATGTATAGATGCTGTACTATCGTTATCGGAAAAGGAAATTGATGAATATATAAACAAAGTTGGGTTTCATAATCGGAAATCTCAATATATAAAAAACGCATGCGAGATTCTAAAACAGAAGCATAATGGTGACATACCTAAAACCATCGAAGAAATCGTGGAATTACCAGGAGTAGGACCAAAAATGGGATATTTGTTATTACAATGTGGATGGGGGATTAATGGTGGTATTGGAGTAGATGTACATTTACATAGATTAGCCCTAATGTGGCATTGGGTATCAGCGAAAGCCAATACTCCCGAAAAGGCAAGAATTGAATTAGAACTGTGGTTACCTGAACAATATTGGACACCAGTTAATCCATTAATTGTGGGGTTCGGACAAGTAGTCTGTGTCCCTCGAGCTTCAAACTGTGATGTATGTACGTTGGGAACGAAAGGGCTCTGTAAAGCTGCCAATAAGAAACTTGTTAAAGGTCCAATAACCGAAGCTAGACTACTTAAATTGAGAAAGCAAAGAGCTGATCTTACAAAGTTAATTAACGATGTTATATAGAAAAACGAAGTGTATATTATTTATTTATTGTATAAAAAATCAATCTATTTGTTATGTAAAACCATCTATCGAAGACCTCCTAGTTAATAAATCCACCTTCCTTTGCAAGTGAATAAAAGATACTTTCCGTATTCTTTAATAAATTCTCTGGTGTATCAAACTCCGCAACCTCACCATGATCTAACACCAAAATCTTATCACTGTCTAAAATTGTATCAATTCTATGTGCAATCGTTAAAATCGTCTTATCTTTAAATGATGATCTAATCGTCTCTTGAATAATCTTATCTGTCTGGAAATCAACAGCAGCAGTTGCTTCATCCAACACCAAAATCTTGCTTGTCTCATTCAACAACGCTCTAGCAAGACATAATAATTGCTTTTGACCTGCAGATAAATTAGATCCACCTTCTTCAATCTGAGCATCTAATCCAACCTTTTTGGGTAATTCACCAGGATTCTTGCTCTTCTTCTTTTCAGCTTCCGTAGGGTCGGTTTCCATCTTAAGTACATGTTCTTTCAAATGAGCCAATTCCAAAGCTTTCCATAATTTCTCATCGGTATATTCTCCAAATGGATCTAAATTCTCCCTTACAGATGCTCTGAAGGTATGTGCTTCTTGTGGGATAATAGTCAAATGATGACGTAAATCATAAAGTCCGATCTTGGAAGTATCAATCCCATCAATTTCAATATGTCCTTCAGTAGCTTCAATTATTCTAAATAAAGCTAAAGTAAGTGAAGATTTCCCAGCACCGGTCCTACCCACAATCCCAACCTTTTCTTTCGAAGTAATCGTCAATTCAATATTCTTCAATACAGGATCCAAATGGGCTCTATAGGAAGTACTATAATTCTTAAACTTAATCACACCCTGATTTGGCCAATCTTTATCTGGTCTATTATCTTCAATAATCATTTCTGCTTCAGATGGCAATTCACAATATTCGATAAGTCTTTCCACTGCAACTCCTCCGGATTGGATTTCCGCCCAATATCTAACAAGGGCATTCAAAATATGGGTAATTGATAATGCATAAGTCATGATGAAACCCAAAACACTTGGACTAATAGGATTGGCACCAGTCAAACTGACAACTGCTAATGTTGCGCACATGAACATGATGGACGAGGAAATGGTTTGGAGTCTGACTGAAAGCCATCTGTTACCATTTTGGATAACGAGACCGATTAATGTCTTATCATTGATGAATTTCTTACTTTTGTGGACGAATCTATCACGTTGTTTGAATGCCTTGATAGTATCTACACCATTGATCGTTTCTTGAATAGTGGCTAATACTGGTGATTTGGCTACTGATTCAATACGTTTGAGTTCACGAGTAGTTGGGATAAACTTGATTCTGAAATGGTTGTAGATAAACATTAACACCGAAATGACAAAGAACATAATTGGTAAAGTAGAGACAATAACCCCAAATGTGATAATACCACTCAAAAGCGTAGTTGTGAATCCAATAAGAACCCATGGGAAATTCATATCAATCTTACCTATGTCCTCTGTGAAACGATTCAAAATTCTTCCGACTGGGGTGGTATCAAAAAATGACATTGGAGATCTGAATACAGCTTTGGCCATCTTGTCATGGAAATATGCGGCACCTTTAACAATACAATAACTCCACATGATAAGAGCACCAAGATATGTTAAGAATCCAGAAACGACACCCAATGAAGAATAGATACCCAAAAAGAGACCAGCATCAACAGTAGAGTTATGTTCTTGATTCAACCTGGACCAATATGTTAATAAATACTTTTCACCAACTGAAACTAATAATGTGGCTAATGTGCATCCCAAATAAATTGAAAAGAACTTATAATCACAAGCAACGATATATTGTTTAAAGACTTCCCAAGGAACGGACCCCTTTCTGGTAGTTTCAATATCATGAGCAGTTTTTCTAGGAGTATCATCATCGTCAAGATCATCATAAGTATGAGCATATGATGCCACACTAGCACGACGGAGTTTCCTATCCAAATCCTTTTGCTCAGCACCTTCTCCCAAATATTCACCAATCTCCTCTTCTTCTCCATCTTCTGCATCTTCCACTACAGCAGATTCAACAATCTCGGCATCACCCTCTTCCTCAACCTTGACTTTCTCTTCTTCTTCAGCTTCTCTCTTTCCATATTCCTTAATCAACTCCGCCAAAGCACCACCACTTTCCATCACATCCACATATTTCCCCCTTTCCTCAATTCTTCCACCACTCATCAAATAAATCTCCTCCGCCTCAGTCAAAACCGTGACTGAATTAGTAGCCAATACAATAGTTCGATCTCCAATTATCCCCTTTTTTCCAATCACCTTCTCCACTAATTTCTTACCCACATGTACATCAACAGCCGCCAATACATCATCTAATAAATAGATATCAGTACGAGCATATACAGCCCTCGCGAGCGAGATTCTGGCCTTTTGACCCCCACTTAAGGCAATCCCCTTCTCACCGACAATAGTAGCGTCACCGTCTGGAAGTGTTCTGAAATCGGGTAATAATTGACAAGCTTCTACTGTGAGTTGATAGAACTCGGGGTCGTATTTATGTCCGAATAAGATGTTTTGTTTGATTCATCCATTTAAGATCCAAGGAGATTGGGGACAGTATGCTATTGATCCGTAGGTTTTTATTTTTGGTGAAGTTGTTGAGAAATCTGAATCGGAATACTGGTGTGGTTGGAGGGGGATGTCGCCGAGAATGGCTTTGATGAGGGTGGATTTACCACTGCCGACTTTCCCAACTATGCAGGTTAATTTCCCGGTTTCGGCTACGAAATTGATATTTGATAATGCGATGTTTGATTTTGGATCAGTGGATGCTTCTATTTCGGTTTCTTCGTCACGATATGGTGTTTCGACTGTGGTAGTGGGTTCTTTGGAGTTCCATACGAAGGTAGAATTTGAAATGACGACTGAGCTCGCAGATTCTTCAGGTTCAGCAGGTTCGGGATATCTCATGATATATCCATTTTGGTCTTCATCCAATTCATCCAACATCAACATTTCACCAATTCTTCTTAAGGAAGTATATGTTTCAATAGCATTCACAATGAAATCAGGAATCAACAACATAGGTTCCGACAATAAATCAAATAAAGACAATGCAGGAAACATGATATCTGGAGTCAAGGCAACATTATTCCAATAGGCAAATGCTGCAAATGTTGAACAACTAATAAAGAATGGAATACAAGACCAAAAAAACAGGGCTAATGCACTAACAACCCCAACTTGTTTAAGATTTTTCAATTCACCTTCATTTCTAATCTTACTTAACCTGGACAACATTGGACCTTCCCATGAATATAATTTAACATTCTTGGCTGAATTAAGAAGTTCAGTGATCAAACTGGTTCTGGTATCTTTATCCTTCATTAATTGGTTATAATATTTATACATTGATGAATTAACATAAGTAGCAAATGGGATGACGATTACGGCTGTAAGGACACCTGCCCAGGTTGCTTTTCCAAAGAAACTGTTCAACGCAAACAAACACACAATTAACCTAAGTGGACCCGATAAGTAGTTTCCCAACAGCCAACAAAACCAGAATATAACATCAAGATCCATGGTGATGTGGTTTATGATATCACCGGTAGGTTTATTCTTTCTAGCTTGTGGTGAAAGTCTGAGTGCTTTCTCGTAGATAACAGTAGTGAGCGAACTGGAAATGGCATAACTCAAGTTGAATTGACAACTGAAAGATTGATTGAAGGTGATGAAGTATGCACAGGCAAGTGCAAACATGAGTAATGCCCAAGAGTATCCGATGATAATAGGTGGTGCTGGTGATTCGGGGGTGGCGTAGTAGTATGCTGAAAAGAATTGGATGAATTTTCTAAGTACAAATGGTTGTGAAAAAGTGATGACACTTTCCAAAATCTCGAGTGAAAGACTTGCATAAAGATATTTCGAAAATGAAGACAAGACAACCTTAAGTAAACTTGGTTTGTTTCCATATTTCTTTCTGGTGATAAAGCCCCAAATCGCTAAAGTCCAACTCTTATTCTTTGCATTCTTCTTTTCAACATCCCATTCTTTTACGAGAATTTGGGAAGTATCATCACAGGAAAGATCATCTAAAATATCAGGTAAATCAGTAATGGAAACATCATTAGTGGCATAGATTTTGTCAATCAATGGTTGGAGATAATAGAATGTAAGATATGAAAATAAATTCACAGTATCCATAAACTTTTCATTATCAGTTTCAAAACCAGGTACATAATACGCCAATTCAAGTACAAAGATTATAAAATTATTCATCATTGATAATAATTCAACCACATATGACAAACTGTTATCCGATACAAATATTTTATGTTTGGAGAAAGTATCCTGAAGAAGAATACCAAATCCAAATAAAATACTAACTAACCAATATAACAATAATGAAGCCAGTGGAACGGCAGAACGTCTAAATTCCATACAATGTAAAACTAGTGCCAAAACAATCACAATACCTATCTTGAGGAAATAAACATTATCACAAATCTTCCAAAGTCCAGCTACTAAAATAACTTGTAATCCAACCAAGAAGGTTTTTAAAGTCTGTAAGAAAGGTGTAGCTGTGAATATGACATGTTTCTTTGGAGTAATATAAAATTGAAATATTTGATATCCAATAAATAAAGCAAATACCAAATTAATTCCCAATCCTACCAATTGAACAAATTCTGGATTTAAAGCATTCTTTGTAGGTGGATATAAAGGATATGGAATTGTTAAATTGTTGGTTGTAAACTCTTGATGAGATTCAATTGAAAAATTATTGCTGAATTTAGTCAATGATAAGAAATTTGCAGGCAGAAAGCCTGAGACTAATTCTTGTTGCGATAGCAGTGGTTGATTCATTTCTGAAACTGTGGTTAATGAATCTTGTTAGTTGAAGTTGAATTCGATTAAAGATCACTTGAAGGGGGATTTTATAAATCTGGTGAATGAAAAATGAGTAATCTTTTAATTGTTTGGCTTATTCCATAATGGGAATCAATCGAATCAATCTGGTTATCTAGAAGCGAACAAACAATCAAATTTCACATTAAAAAAAATATCTGAGCCGTAGAATAATATGGCAATTACTCCTTTAGTTTTTGTTTTTGTTTTTGTTTACATTAACAAGTAGATGAGTCAGAGCTTAAAAGAAACTGAATTCGGTTGCAGTTATCATGACATCCCCTATAGAAATGCAACGAGGTCGAAGAAGAGAAAATGAACCCTAAGTAAAGAAATAGGTCAATAAAATTTACAATATTGCCCTGCGTAACTTCACATATTGGGTGGGTACTGATTCAACCTATTGCTTTATCGAATACATCAAAATGTGGCATTGACATATTTTCCAATCATTTCTCTTGCATTAGTCTTCTCTTAATAATGATATTTCGAAAGGAGAGATTTAGAATTGGAAAGATATTCCGAAGGAAACAAGTGGCTTAGAATAACTGTTCGTCTATTTATTGCACGACAGAACCAAGCTACTACCAATTGTTCTCTATAAGCAAGGCATGGTAGGCATATTCTGTCGTGCTTTCACTTATTCTTCTATATAACATGGAGGTCGTTCCTTATAACGAGTGCCATGCTGCTCATTCGATGCGACACTATCCCTCGGCAATACTATAAGGGTACGACCTCTATGCCGTATAAATAGTTGTAATGTTCACACAATGCTTTATATACAACATGGAGCCCGATCCCTTATAGCATGGACCATGTTGATCATCTAATACAACACTAGTCCTAGCTCTATAAGGTACGAGCACTATGCTGTATATACAACAGTATGTGTTCACACAATTTGTTTTATCTAACATAAAGGTCGTACCATATAACAAGGCGAGCTCAAGCTTTTCAACTCGACGCTCACGCTCGCCATCCGATATAGCACGAACTCCACGCCGTATATAAACAACGTTGACACGTTGTTTCCGGAGAAACATGCATTAATTAATCTAACGTTTTTTTTTGGAGAAGCTCTCTTGTATTTATACTTCTATTCGAGAGACTGGTATCAATTGCCGGGGAATTTGCAGGGGCGTGGGGTATGGGGAATTTCACGCTATAATTAGCCAAAGAGGCGTACACATGACATCATAAAATGTAAAATTTGATAAAACATCATCTTCAAAATCATATCTACTAACGTTCACAGCGGCAGTCCTTCACCTTGAATAAAGTGAGTTGCAGGAAACTCCCAACTATTTATAATCATACCAAGTTTATTCAAGGAAGAACTTAGGAATTTTGTACGGGGACGCGTATATCGTTTCGGAAACTAGTTGACATAACAACAGTTTGGTCTTTCTCTAACTACAATGACATAAATGTGTATTTAATCTGTTTAAATCTCTAAAATAAAGTAGTATTTGACTTCATCGAATATGCGTTCTATATTGTACTACTTATATGGGATGTAGACTTTCTTTGGAAGATTGCTGTATGCGCAAGTGTACATCTCTTATTCCGGAAAGATGATTCTCTTCGTCATTGCATATTAAACTGATGTTCTCAGCATAGTCTGCACATGATACAAATCCATCATCATGTAATGCTAGTAAATACAGATCATTGGTAGGCAAACTTTTATTTGCCTCAAATACAGTACGTTTTGATATTGCTTAGATCGTTGGACTTTTGAGTCGGAGCAGTGGTTTGAGTTGAAGTAGTCTTATGAGCCCGAATTGAAATAGTATTAAAGAAAATAAGAAGTTGTATTTTAGCTAATATCGGTTTAAAGACGCGGATGATGCTTTCTTAAAATGCTTTCTTAAGAAAGCATCATCCGCGTCTTTAAACCGATATTAGCTAAAACACAACTTCTTATTTTCTTTAACACTATTTACGAAGATCATCCAATTCTCGTTGGTGCTTCGTAATCTTAGCAACAATACGGGCGCTGGTCTCTTCCGCCAATATCTTTTGTTTCTTCAATGTAACAAGCATATCATCAAGACCTTTCCGACTTTCTGCATGATAGTTTTTTCTTATTGGTGAAGGAAATTCCTGATCATAAAAGGAATGACTGTGTTTCGAGTTATGTACTACCCTCAATGTCCCATCGTCCAAACGCATGATGTTAACTCTTGCAGGACAATTTATTTTGCAAGCTTTCTGAGCTTTGTGTTTGGACTTCCCTCTACTACAAAATAAATATATTAGCTTACTCCGTGAATCCTGATTCCATGAATAGTGGAGGTTAATTGAATTAACAAAGGCGTTAACTTCATCATAAGTCATAATTTTTTCCCATTGATCACTTGAAAGGTCTTCAACCGCTTCATCTGGGAAAAAGTATTTGTATAATCTATCTTGGCCTTCTATATCTTCATTGAATAATTGCATACTAAGTGGAGGGATTCGTTTAATAATGGTTGTGGGTCTTTTCGGTTTATTAAGGGGTAAAAATGTATGAAACGTTATCTGATGATGCAATTTCTGATAATGATGGGTTATAATCATCATGGGGTTTCTTTATTCCAAAGTTTCAAAAATTCAGGATCGTTTATAGTCCTGGTTTTAAATTTTAGATCAATTTCGGGATGCATTAGCAATGTCAAATAGTGAGGATGGGCATTTGCAGTAGCCTTCTTGATCCCTTCAAGGTGGAAGAACTCCTTCGTTAAAGCCTCAAATTCATTACAAACGGAATTTCAACGTCAGAGTTTGATTTATCTGGATTTTGAAGATCGGCGGTTATCGTCTTTGCATCCGCATATATATGTTCTTTAGAAACATCTCAGGATATAGAAGTGTTAGTTGGTTTGCGTTTTTTGATCGCCGTGAGAATAGCTTTTCTCAAACGCATAAAAGAGTCCTCCGCTTTTCTGGATTCTGCTTGTGATGATGAGGCAACATCTGATGGTAATTGAGCGATACCCGACATTGATTGCTGTTAGTTGAAGCAATTGCATGAGATGAAAGCAGTCATAGTTGTTTAAACAAACGCCACAACAAAACATTTCTAAAGAAAAAAGTCAAAACGCCAAATCTACGCATCATTTTCTAAGTAATTAGAATAAAACCGAGACTTGCAATAAATTACAATCATTTAATAAACACATATCGACCATTATAGAACATTAGATTATTATTGAAGATGTAACATGATATATAGATAGATACACTAACACTCAGATGTACATATTTAGCTGATATGTGTGCGGAAGTCCGTCCAGGTGAGATCCAAAAAATAATTTGCTCAGAAAATTTCTTCGCCTAATTCGATGACTTGATTGATGTATTTCAATCTTTGACAAAGTAGAGTTAAGCGTATTTGTTCATGTGTTGCCCTTTCCCCATATTAGTGTAAAATAAGGATGGCTAGTAACAGAATAATTTAAGCTTCAATGTAACACAATAAAATATGTTCTATTAAATTAGATGTAAAAATTTTAGCGAAAATTTGACATAAAAATTCAATTTGTAGTCAATTATAATTACAAATCATTCTATCTTAATTAAAAGCTTGAAAGACCCAAATCATTAGTTTAGATATGGTTTTCTTTGGCGATACAACCATCCTATGATAGGAAGCTGCAAAAAGTTCAAGAATCACCAGGTCATATTCTAACTTTCTGTCAAACGAATTAAGGAAGCATATTATGGAAACTTTACAAGTATTATCCTATATCTATAGATACTATGTAGTTTTTACATTGTAGTTCTTCATTAATCTCCTAAGTAAGATTTCTTGTGTTAGATGATCTTTTGTATTCTTTTATTTCCTGTACCCCACAAACCGTTTTTATTGACAACCGAAAATTTAATAATGCCGAATGTAAAAACTCAAAAAAAAAAAAAAATAATTTCGCGTCGTGTTGCAAATTTTTTTTATTTGCTGTAAAATTAATTTACATTTTCACAAGATAGACCCCAACGGAGATATCGGAGTTCTTTTCTATGCCCAGTACTATCCCAATAATTTACAAGATAAGGGTATCTCTCTATAAAACACAGTTAAGACTCAAATTTAAAGATGATTCTAATCTTTTGTCATTAGGGGTAATGTAAGACACATTGTACCGTAGATATTTCGGGTTTCAGATCCCATCTTACTTAGTACTGATAGTGACAAAAATATGTAAGGCATCATTTGATTACTGTAAATTAAAAAATATAATTTGACTCCTTTTTGATAGACACTGGAAAAAAAAACCATAAGGCCATTTTACTATCAGTAGATTAATTAACAAAGAAGAAGAAGTGAAAAATTTGAAATTTTATTTTATTTTTTTGAAGAAGAAGAAGTCAAAAAAATATCGCGAAACTGAAGCGATGGGTCAAGAAATGTACACCCACATTCTACTTTTTTAACCTATTTGACTTCTTATACCCAAGAAATTATCTCCTCATTTTTATTTATCTCATTCAGCAATAGTTTAAGTTTCTATTCATTAATTCCATATGCCTTATAAGAATATACACAAATAATAAATCCATAGAACTATCAGAATAACTAGAAGTGAGTAGACAAAAAAAATGTTAATAAGAGTAAAAAAAAAAACGTTTAACAGAAGTCAAATTAAAAGTTCCAAATATATTTTTTTTAACTTCTTCTCTTCTTCTCATTAAAACATCTGTCTCTCTCTCTCTCTCCAGATTTTTAATTTATTTATAACTAAACTTGATTTCCATAAATTTTAAACTTTTAATTTGATTTTTATTCTTCTTCTCCTCCTTCTTCTTCTTTTGATTCTTCTTTTGTTTCAAACAATCCCATTCACATAAACATCTAAAGCAATGATTAGAACAAGATCATTACTTAAGTCTACTAGTAAGTTATCTACTAGATTGGTAAGACTTAACATTGCTGCTACTAAGATTACCACTCCTTGTTATACTACTCCATTCATTAGATCCTTAGCTACCAAGGCAAATACTTCATCCGCTAATTATGTCAAGGTTTTTGATCCAAATCAATCTAAAGTATCTTTTGATAATTTAGATACTTTTGCTAGAAGACATATTGGTCCAACTCCTTCAAATGTTGATAAAATGTTAGAAACTTTAGGTTATAAAGATTTAGATGAATTCTTAGCTCAAGCTATTCCAGAACATATCTTAATCAAAAGAAAATTATCAATTCAACCTGAAAAGGGATTCACTGAATCAGAAATGTTACAACATTTAGAAGAAATTGCTAATAAGAATAAGATTGTTAAATCATTTATTGGTAAAGGTTATGCTGGTACTCATTTACCTCCAGTTATTCAAAGAAATTTATTAGAATCCCCTGAATGGTATACTTCTTATACTCCTTATCAACCAGAAATTTCTCAAGGTAGATTAGAATCATTATTAAATTATCAAACCATGGTTTCTTCATTAACTGGTTTACCAATGGCTAATGCATCTCTTTTAGATGAAGGTACAGCTGCTGCTGAAGCAATGTCTATGTCATTCCATAATACTAAATCAAAGAAGAAGGTTTATGTCGTTGACACCAATATTCATCCTCAAACTATTGAAGTTATTAAATCGAGAGCTGAAAATATCGGAGTTTCAATTGTTGAACTTCCATTATCTACTCCAGCTGGTTTGGAAGAATTAAATAAAATCATTAAAACCGTTTGTGGTGCTCTTGTTCAATATCCAGGTACTGATGGTTCCATTCATAATTTCTCAAAAGTTGGTGAAATCTTACATTCTCATAAAGCCCTCTTTGCTATGGCTGCTGATATCTTAGCATTAGCTGTCTTGAAATCACCTGCTGAATTTGGAGCTGATATTGCCTTGGGTACAACTCAAAGATTTGGTGTTCCATTTGGTTATGGTGGTCCTCATGCTGCCTATTTTGCAACCAGTATGAAATATTCTAGAAAAATCCCCGGTAGAATTGTCGGTGTTTCTAAGGATAGATTAGGTAAACCAGCCTTAAGATTAGCGTTACAGACTAGAGAACAACATATTAAACGTGAAAAGGCTACCAGTAACATTTGTACTGCTCAAGCTTTATTAGCTAACATTTCTGCTAATTATGCTGTTTATCATGGTCCTGAAGGTTTACAAAATATCGCAAAGAGAGTTTATGGTTTTACTACTATTTTAGCTAATGAAATTACCAATAATTCTGCTCATGATGTTGTTAATGATAAATGGTTTGATACTATTACTGTGAAATTAAACAATGGTGTTGCCAGTGACGAAATTTTGGGTAATGCTTTAAACAAATATAATATCAATTTATTCAAGGTTGATGATTCTACTGTTTCATTAACCCTCGATGAAACTGTCACCAAGGAAGATTTAATCAATTTAATTGAATTATTCACCGGTAAACAAATTGACTTATCCAATTTCACCGAATTACCTTCAATTCCAGAAGAATTAATCCGTTCAGATGATATCTTACCTCATCCAGTCTTCAACACCCATCATTCAGAAACCGCCATGTTAAGATATTTACATTTATTACAATCCAAAGATTTATCCCTTGCCAATTCCATGATTCCTTTGGGATCATGTACTATGAAACTTAATGCCACTGTTGAAATGCAAACCCTTTCCATGCCAGGTTTTAACTCCATCCATCCCTTTGCTCCATTAGATCAAGCCCAAGGATATAAACAAATCGTGGAAGAATTCGAAAAGGATTTAAGTGATATTACCGGATTTGATGCTACAACATCCATGCCAAATTCTGGTGCACAAGGTGAATATACTGGATTATCATTAATTCGTGAATATCATCGTTCTAGAGGTGATTATGAATCGAGAAACATCTGTCTTATCCCAGTGAGTGCTCATGGTACAAATCCTGCTTCTGCTGCTATGTGTGGATTAAAAGTCGTTCCTGTCAAATGTTTAGATGATGGTTCTATTGATTTGGTAGATTTGAAAGAAAAAGCCACAACTCATGCCCAAAACCTTTGTTCTATCATGATTACCTATCCTTCCACCTATGGATTATTCGAACCTGGTGTTAAAGATGCTATTGATATTGTTCATGCCAATGGTGGGTTAGTTTATCTCGATGGTGCCAATATGAATGCACAAGTTGGTCTCACCTCTCCTGGTGATTTAGGTGCCGATGTCTGTCATCTCAACATTCATAAAACCTTCGCATTATCCCATGGTGGTGGTGGACCTGGTCAAGCTCCAGTATGTGTTAAAGAACATCTTATACCATTCTTACCAAAACATGCCCTTGTCCATACTCGTCACACCACTGCTCAATCCATCAAATCAGTCAATTCGGCTCCATTCGGTTCTGCTTCCGTCATTCCTGTTTCTTATTCATATATCAAAATGCTTGGGGCAAATGCATTACCATACGTTTCGACAATTGCCATGTTGAATGCTAATTATATGTTAAAACGTCTCAGTCCACACTTTGATATCCTTTTCATCGACCCAGAAGCATCCGCTTCAAGTGGATTAAAACATTGTGCTCATGAGTTTATTTTAGACTTACGTGAATTCAAACCCGCCGGTATTGAGGCCATTGATGTCGCCAAGAGATTACAAGATTATGGATTCCATGCACCAACCATGTCCTTCCCCGTTGCTGGGACTTTGATGATTGAACCGACCGAATCGGAATCACTTGAAGAATTGGACCGGTTTGTGGATTCGTTGATTGCGATTAGGGGTGAGATTGATGCATATATCAAGGGAGAAGGATTGGGACAGGCTTTGAAGAATGCTCCTCATTCGATGGAAGATGTTGTTAGTGGTACTGATTGGGAAACGAGGGGATATAGTAGAGAACAGGCGGCATATCCTTTGGAATTCTTGAGGGAGAAGAAATGTTGGCCAACGGTTGCGAGATTGGATGATACTTATGGTGATATGAATTTGATGTGTACTTGTCCTACTGTGGAAGAAATTGCTGGTGAGTAAGTAAGGGGAAGATAGATATTGTTTGTGTTTTTAGTTCGAAGATAATGTTTAGTTTGTTTTTTAGTTTTATTTTTAAATATATTTATTATTAGTTTTACAGTGTGTTACTATACTTTTCTTGTAACTTGTAGAATATATTACAAATCGAATTGACTACTTAAAGTATACACGCCGTCTAACTAGAACAACCACATTGTAACATGGCAAACTCCTCTCCTTTATCCCCCTGTAACAACCAAGATTCCTCCACTTCCTTCAATTCATCTCCCCATTTCAGTCTATCAAAAGGATAAAAACTCATCTTTTCCAATTTTTTCAAATATGTAATATCCTCACATTTCGAATCTTGAGCTTGTTTAATCACTTGATCCAATATCCAATTCCGGGGTAAGAAAAGAGGGTTATATTTCTTTGGATCAGGTGGAGGAACCTCAGAAGTTGACGATCTTTCTTGAAGAGTGTGATAGAGTCTTAACCAATCAGCTATATCTTTCAAGAGTAGATCTTTGGGATATCTCAAACTCTCAAAATCGAAATTCTTATTCAATAATGAATTCTCCACCACACTAACATAATCAGCCAGACTAAGGTCTAATTCTTGTAGTTTTAAAAAAAACAAATTAAAATCAATTTGTAACCTCCGCAACATCTCCAACATCGGAGCAATAACATCCACATTCATCAAATCAGGGTTCTTTTCATCAATTAATCCATGAGAAAGTCCTAATCGATTATACATCGTCTCCACATATTTCTTCGTAAACGCATATTGAAACATCTCACCCCCAATTCCAATCACTTTAGTAGCTCGTTTAATTATTCCTTCTTCCCATTCCAACTTAATCCCATTCTTAAATTCCGGATCTGCTAATATATCAGGCCCCGCTCCTATCAATTCGGCCAAATCCTCTCCGAATCGAGTTAGGTTCCACCACATTGCCGTAGGAGTATTTCTATATCCATATCGATGTTCATGATCTTCCAGATTTGGTGTATAGCTTGGATCATATTTATCCATGATTGAAAACGGACCAAAATCAATCGTGAGGCCTAAAACCGAGGTGTTGTCGGTGTTTAGAACCCCATTGAGGAATCCATAACATTGAGTCATGGCTATTGTTTCGGCATTTCTAACCACGGTTTCATAAAACATTTTGTCATATTCTGAAAGTTCCCCAATTGAATTTGAAGGATTTTGGAATAATTCAGGTTTGAGTTTGGAAATACGTTCAAAATTCGGAAATTTGACATTGTTAATGGTGAATAATTCAGAGATTACATAGTCTGATAATTCACGGATTCCTTCTCGATCACCTCTCCATCTATATAAATCAAATGAACCCAATCTGACCCAGCTTTCAGCAAATCTTGCCACTATGGCACATTTCTCAGCTGCATATCGTTGAGCATAAGTTGTAGGTAAATAAGTTAGAGCTAATGCTCTGGTAGTAGGTATACCTATTGCATTTAAATGTTCAGACATGATATATTCCCGAATAGAAGATCTTAATACTGCCTTCCCATCGGCAAATCTCGAATATGGAGTTTTCCCAGCCCCCTTCAATTGTAATTCATACAAATTTCGATTCTTTAAAAAATCCCGCTGGGCGAGATCAGGACGTTTTGGGATCTCAAATAGATTAACCACTCTTCCATCCCCCAATTGTCCGGCAAATTGTCCGAATTGCCATCCGGCATATGCTTGAGAATATGGCATAGGAAGCCCTTCTTTTTCGAAGGTGATTTTATCTTCATATATTTCTCCACTTATGATCAATTGAAACACGGGGTCAGAGGCTTGATCAGGATCGAGATCGAGATCAGCCAAAGCAGGTTCACTGGCAGTTAGGTATTGATAATCTTTTCTTGGTGTTGGCAATGTCCATGAGAATGCCCCGGAAAGAAGGTTTCTAGGGGTTGTTGTAATGTCATTTTCATTCTTAAGTGCGGTTTCAATGGTGGGGATTCGATTATCTGGTTTAATTGAATTGGTGAAAGATTGAGTTTTGGGAATTTCTATTAATTTTTTAGTATGAGTCATCCTTCTGATTATTTTAATTGAATTAGACATATAAAGATTTAAATAGGAAATACTAAATCAATATTTAATTTCAGTATTTCATAGATTTATAATGGAATCTCTTTATTAATTAGTAATATTAAATTACTGAGTAAGATACATTAGCAATTAAAGAGATAAAAATAAAATGAGCGAGGGCGTGGAAAAGGGTCAAAATATATCGCTACCAAATGATATTGTGAACCCTTTTTTTTTTTTTTCTGAGAATGCCATTTATTCTAGTTCTTATACATAATAATTATAACATACAGAAATATAATAAACAGATATACAAATAGAGGAACAAAAAAATGCATCAGCCAATGATTCAAAAAACCTCATATAAGCAACATAAATTAGTAGGTGTATAGGGAAGGAATTGTAGTTAGAGTGAATGTTACCCAAATCTTAATAAAGGAAGTGGAGAGGTCCACCTCCAGGCCAACATGCCGTCGAAAGTATAAGAAACGGGAGACAACATAAAGGTAACGATTAAGGACAAACGATTGGTAAGGTGATAAAGCTGCATTGCAGATAAAGTAGCGAAGTTTCCTTGGAAGATTAGTTGGGTGGAGCTGTGCCCAAATAACATTAGTAATTGGACATGTAGTGTAGATATGATGAAAATAGTAACGGCCCAAAAGGGAGCGTCCACAAAACTCGCAGGCTTATTCGGATAAAGTCTGCGAGTTTTGTGGAAGCTCCCTTTTGGGCCGTTACTATTTTCATCATATCTACACTAACTAGACTCCGAACAGTAAGGAACGTAAGCGCTACCAACATGTATAAAATAAAGGGGAAAAAAATTCAAGCGAAGCCTTGTAAATATAATTTAAGCCTGAAACAAGTCAATTTATAGGCTTTGGTCGCGTGCTCTTCCATTACAGTTGAAAAATGACATCATTCACTTGACTGTTATCAATAGAGGCGATATTTAACAATTGTAATTATCAAGTAGTTTATTCGTCTTAATGTAATTGCCTTTTTGGTTGATGTTTCTATTGATGGCGTGTAGTTATAGGAACTAAAGAGGAAGTAAACCAATAAGACAACCAGACACTGTATTGCCATTGTAGTAAACCTATTAATGTAACATCTTGAGACATTTGCTTTCTTCTTCTTCTTCCTTAGCTTTTTGTTTGGGTTGGTTCTATAATATATTTTTTTCATTTACAAATTAATTTCATAATTGTTTCATTATACTAATTACAATACAATTCAATTGAAATTAAAACATCCCCTTCTTCTCCTTGTTAATTGTTCATCCCCTCTTCCGTCACTTTCTATCTATCTATCTTTTAGTTCTTAGTAAGGTGGATTACTTCACACTTTTTTTCTTTCATTTTGAATATTTGTCTCTAAGGGTCTCTTATATTAATGGTAGTAGAACTAACTAAACTAACCTACCACGAGGGAGCAACATCATCATCATCAGATATAAGAACACAAAACACACACAAGAAGACAATTTAAAAATAGTTTTATTGTTGTAGAATTCTAGGCGCGTAAATTAAAATTGACGAGATTCATTCAACTAACAAAAAAATTAATTCAATACGTTTGACATATTCATCATTTATTGCTATATTTCTTATACCTTGTAGTATCAGTTAACACTAATAGTCAGTTATAGATATATATATATACATCACCATGCTACCTAGACATAGAACTAGAATACTTATTATAGTACTACTATGTTTAGTAGGTTATCAATTATTCACCTCCTCATCATCATCATCACAACGGATAGTACCATCTAATTTACATGATATCATTGAAGACTCTTTAGCAGAACCAATAAGACAACCACCACAAAGACATAAACGTCCTGTACCTGGTCAAAGACTCGAAAATCCTCCAGATGAAATAATCCCAGAAGCAGAACCAAACGGAGATCAACTTGAAGAAGAACTTATTAAAGATACTTCCAAGGGAATAAATAACGAAGGGCTTAAGAACTCAAATGAAGATCATATCAAACCACCAATTAAAGATACTCCAGCTAAGGACAAACCAATCAAAGATGAAGCAGACGGTAAGATAATTACACCGGATGAGAAACCTCTCCAGCCGGAAGATAAGCAAGTTAGTCCCGACAGCGGGCCTCTGAAACCGGTAGGTAAACAAGGTGTTTCCAATGAACAACCGCTTAAACCAATAGACTTTGCTGATGTTAAATTCAAAATTAAAGATTTCACAATCTTCTTTGATAAAATGGAAGATTACGCCATTAATCAACCTTCAATCAAAAATAAATATAAAACTGTTAAAGCGGCTGAAAAATTCGCTACTCATAAGGATCACTTATTTAGTAAAGAATATTTGGAAAATGTATTGGATATACCTGAAGAAACATATAATGCATTAAAAGATAGTCATCATCGTTATGTTCATAACCGTATACCTCAATTGATTGATGAATATGGGATTAAAACATTTGGAAATATCCTCCCAACTGATCCTGAATGGGAATCGTATCAAGGTTCTTCAGGATATGTTATTGTTGGCGGAGGTCAATATAGTTGGTTATCATATTTAGTTATTAAACAACTTCGAAAAACAGGAGCAAAATTACCAATTGAATTATTTATTCCTACAAAAAGTGATTTTGAAGCTGATTTTTGTGAAAAAGTCTTACCTAAATTAAATGCAAGATGTAATGTCTTTGATCCAGTATTATCAAGTCAACTCAAAAGAAGATTCAGCCTTGGAGGATTCCAATATAAAATGTTAGCCCTTCTTAGTTCAAAATTCGAAAATGTATTATATCTCGATTCCGACAATTTCCCCACCAAAAACGTCGATTATTTATTCACATCCAAACTCTTCGCCGATCATCGTCTCATGCTTTGGCCAGATGCATGGGCAAGAACAACCAATCCCAAATATTACGAGATCGCCGAAATCAAAGTCCCAGAAAATAAACTCAGATATTCAAACTATGATAAAGAAAATGCCCCCGATAAAAACAACCTCCCTCCATTATCTTCCTACACATTCAAAAACTCCTGGTTTCATGATTTCGAAAACACATTACCCGACCCCACTTCCGAAACCGGCATGTTGCTCATCAACAAATCAACCCATCTAAAGACATTATTGCTCTGTTTGTATTACAACGTATACGGACCCCATTTCTACTATCCATTATTCACCCAAGGATCTGCCGGGGAGGGGGATAAAGAAACCTTCATCGCCGCCGCTCATGCCATGAAACAACCCTGGTATCAGACCAAAAAGCCATTCAAATGGACAGGATATGTTTCTCAACTAGATAACAAATTTACATCAAAGGCATTGGGTCATTACGATCCTATCCAGGCGGAAGAAATCTCAATTGCCAAAGATCAGGGGAAGGATGTGGAGGAAGAGGATAAGGTGGATATCATCTTTATGCATTTATCATATCCGAAATTCTATCCTGATTGGTTAGCAAACAATCATGATCTCATTTATGAAAAATCAGAAGATCATATTCGAATGTATGGCCAGATTAAAGAGAATGTAGGTTATGATTTTGATTTACGTGTATTGCAATTCTTCACTGAGGGGTTATGTGAGAATTATTATGATGAAAACGGGAAGCCTGTGGATGGAGAAGCTGGGGTGAGTAAGAAGGAGAATTACATGGGGGATAAATTGTTATATTTGTTGAAAGATCAGCAGGTGAATGAAGAGAGGTGTAGGGATATTTTTATTCCTCATTTGAAGTGGTTGAAAGAAACGGCAGGTAAGAGTCGATAGGGGACATGCATTTCAAAATCGACTATATGTGTGTACTGCACTGGCTTTCTTGTTAAATAATTTTTATAGTTGCATAGTACGTAACAATAAAATGTATCTTATAACTTTTCAATCCAACTGTTCCGGGAAGCGTTTTGTCATACCAAGAAGATTTCCGTGGTTGACAGATTGCGGATTTTCCCAAAAGATCACATCTCTAGCATGATATCGCCTCAATTACAGGAACAGTACTTGCGACAACCTTGACATATTATTTCATTAGTAATGTTTCTTAACGCTTGCTTATGCTTCATTTCTAAGCCGTAACAGCCGTGTCCGTAAGCATGCTTTGAATTCGGAAATGAAATAATGTACCCCGGATTTACGTACTGGTTGTCCATACTTGCGGCTAAGAATTTATCAACATGACGGAAATCGTCTATTGTTCATCACACAAAAACGAGTGGGGCAGGCACTCATCGCAAGCGTTGTTGCGGAAATACAAGAAAAAAAGTTGCTCGGAATATGTGCGATCCGTAATCGGAACAACATTTTCTTCATCAGATTCTCTCACTTCTGTCATTGTATTCGACGAGCCGTTTCACGGATATCTTTGTTGCATTAATAAGTCAAAGAAGAAGAGTCATGTCCTTCTTTCAATATAAAACCCATAGACAGTTCCAGTGAATTCTCATCTTCAACTTGTCTACTACCAAACAAACAATTAAAATGGATAATTCAATAGATATAATACAAACCAAATCTGAAAAGACCAACGACATAGTCCAAACAACTACCACGGAACAACCCCCATCACCCACCCCCAACCCCGAAACCATCTCCACCATCCATGAAATACTTTTTGTCTCATTCATGTGTCTCTCCCAAATCCTCACCCAAGCAGCTGTTGCCCAAACCCTAAACACCTCCATCCACGTCAGTGAAACCTTCAACGTCGCCACCAAACCCGGGGAAATCTCCTGGTTCTCTGCCGCATTCTCCATGACGGTGGGAACATTTATCTTAATCTCAGGCAGATTGGGAGATATGTATGGATATAAGAAATTATACATGATTGGATATATTTGGTTTGGTATCATGTCGTTACTATGTGGATTTGCCGGATTAACCACTTCTCCGGTTTTCTTTGATACGATGAGAGCATTACAAGGTATTGGACCTGCTATTATGATGCCGAATTCCCTTGCTTTAATTGGATCGTTTTATCCCGAAAGTATGAAGAAGAATTTATGCATGGCTGCCATTGGAGCGGTTGCACCTGGTGGATTTGTACTTGGTGCTCTCTTCAGTGGGTTGTTTGATATGAAAACCGGATGGACTTGGACCTTTTGGGTATGTGGGATGGTTAGTATTGGTGCCGGTTTGTTGTCATTCTTTGTCATACCCAAGAACGTTGGCCATCGTAGTCTGGATCAAGGATGGCGTTCATTTGATTTTGGTGGTTCGATATTAGGTGTATCCGGATTAGTTCTCATAAACTTCGCCTTCAATCAAGGTCCAAACGTCGGCTGGAAAACTCCATATGTCTATGTCCTCCTCATTGTCGGATTCTTATGTCTCCCTGCCTTCTATTTCGTCGAAAAAAGAGTCACAAACCCATTAGTCCCACCTGAAGTACTCAAAGGCGATACCGGATTCGTTCTTGGTTGTATTGCTGCCGGCTGGTCTTGTTTTGGGATTTGGATCTTTTATCAATTTCGTTGGGCCCTACTTGTCGACAACAACAACCCCGTGATTGCCGCCGTCACAAATATCCCAAATGCATTCGCTGGGATCGTTGCTGCCGCAACTACTGCTATTTTGTTAACCAAGCTTCCTTCGGCTGTTGTGATGTTCATAGCTATGATTTTCTTCTTGGTTGGGATTGTGCTTATGGGAACCAGACCGGTGGGTCAGATATATTGGACACAGAAATTTTTTAGTGTCATCATTCAATCTATTGGTATGGATATGTCGTTCCCTGCTGGGTGTATTTTGTTGAGTCAGGCATTTCCTCCAGGACAACAGGGTATTGCGGGGTCATTGGTGGCTACTTTTGTGAACTATTCGATCTCGATTGGGTTGGGATTAGCTGGAACCGTTGAATATTATACAACCAAAGATATGGAACCTGGTCTTGATACTACTATTCACGGGATGAGAAATGCATTTTACATGGGAATGGGGTTGGCTGGGTTAGGTGTGGTTGTTTCAGCTGTATTTATGGTTATTCAATTGTTGAACCGTAAGAATTCCGGTGCGAGCGAAAAAGTTGAAGAAACTAGTACGGACAATGACAGCCTGGTATAAGTTAGCAGATATTTATATTTATATTACATAGGAAATCTATAGAAGAATCTATTTCAACGCTTCTCAAACTGTAGATAGTAGCATCTATCAAAGTAAACAATCTTAAATTAAAATACCTCTCTTATCAGGATTGTACTCTATGCATATGCATATTCATCCCTTGCATATATCCGCTATTTGTATATGTACAAATCTTGTGGCAAATTGATTAGTTTTTGCAACCCAAAACTTTCGCTTTTCTTATGTATAATTCGCCACAAATTGCCTTAAACGTACTATCACCGAGCTGGGGAATGTCGTGGAAATGAGAGTTGAAAGACTAAACGCCGAGTGTTCCCTATGACTCCCAATCGAGACTTGGTGGTGGGAATTTTTTTCTGAAAAACATAGTGATACTTCTGTTGCAACTCATGGGTAGGTACTGATACTATGACAACCTAATTCTGATACTGAATAAGTTCAGGAATCGTTTGTGTTTGGATAATCTAATTTCACATCTTTTGTCAATAGTTCATGGAAATAACGCGAAAACCCAAACCATTTTTATTTGTCTCTGCTTCATTTGGGCAAGGCTTGGTTTACATAGACAGAGTCTTTGTATGTTGCAGAATAGTTCTGTCGAGGATACGATACCGAAAGCTTGAGATTGTTCCTTTGGACTTCGTAATACTGTTTTTATTGGGATTGTTATTAGAAACAAAGCAAGTAATTTGTTGGGATGTTATCTTAGCCTCTGCTCAAAAGTTCTGTTCAAAAGAATGATCCACAGTGCTTCGCTGGCTCACACCGACAAGCTTTCCAAATTTTGCAGCAATATTGGCTACCTACAATGACGTAATGTCCTCCCATCATGATGCAAATAAAATTGCAAAACAGTGGCAGCAAAAAAAATATAATCACGAACAATTCATCTTTTCTTACTGGCTGCAAAAGCAACAATTGCCCTCGAAACTTCCGAAGAAACTTTTTCTGGATAAATATCCGGCGCAGTAAATTCCAACCAAAGGACATGCATGGATGGAAATGCTACACGAGCAGTCAAGTTCTGTTAAGAGGGAGTATGATCTGTTGCGAAAATGAACTACACGCTGAAAAATACAAACTCTTAGACCAATGATAACATACGAAATTGAATTTTATTATTACAATGGATTGATCATAAGAATAGAAAGCCCTGTACACGCTTTACGCTTAACATCAATCTCTGGAAAACTTCTTGCAGATACGTCCCAGATGTGGGTAAGCCACCTTGTTCCAAGAGGGAGTTCTGAAATTGATAAACCATCAGAAAAACAATCCACTTATTACGAGCTAAGAACCCCATACATTTCTGGCCTAGCTGATCCAAGAAAGTTCTTTGATACGTGAAATATTATCGAACTCCAAGATTATGGTCATTTATTCGTATTTGAATTGACATGAGCTCATCAATCCCTTATAATATTAAAATTATAGAAAGTTGCCAAATTGGAGCAACATCCAGCAACTTAGCCATTTGCGTAGCAAATAAAATAAAAAGATTAGCAACTGTTCAATATAACACTTTTATATAAATCTCATATAAATATCTTAACTATAAAAATTCTACTAACATGAACTGCAACCCTGAATGACGAAATTAACACGACTTGAGGCACAAGAGCTAAGAATAGAAAATGATATAGAACATATACAACAAGACTCAGAATCAAAAGAGCTTTACAAATCCACATCAGCAATATCCGTAATATATCGACCATCAACAAGCTATGGAAGCATCACACTAATGCAAGAAATCATATTCATGATATTCATGTGTTTCTCCCAACTATTTACCCAAGCAGCCGTTGCCCAAACCATGAACACATCACTCCTCATTGCAAAAACCTTCGACGTTTCCGATCAACCAGGAGAAATCTCCTGGTTTTCCGCTGCATACTCAATGACTGTTGGGACTTTCATCTTGAGCTCAGGGAGATTGGGGGACATGTACGGATACAAGAAAATGTACATTATTGGATTTATTTGGTTTGGTGTCGCTTCCCTATTATGTGGTTTTGCTGGCTTAGCTGCTTGCAAACTCTTCTTTGATATTCTGAGAGCCTTGCAAGGTATTGGGCCAGCGATTATGATGCCCAATACACAAGCATTAATTGGAGCATTTTATCAAGATGGAACTAGAAAGAATATGTGTATGGCTTTTTTTGGTGCAATTGCTCCTACTGGATTTTTCGTGGGTGCAATCTTCAATGGACTTTTAGCAGTGAAAATATGGTGGGCGTGGTCATTTTGGATAGGAGGAATCGCAAGTATTGTTGTGGGTATATTGGCCCTCTTTGCCATTCCAAAAAATATCGGAGTTCTATCAGGCGGTTCATTTGATTATTGGGGGTCATTGTTTGGAGTGTCCGGGTTGATTCTTATTAATTTTGGATTCAATCAAGGTCCAAATGTAGGTTGGTCAACCGTATACGTATATGTCCTTTTTATAATTGGGTTTGCGTGCATGGTTGTATTCTATTTTGTTGAAAAGAAAGTCAAAGATCCACTAGTACCACCAGAAATATTCAAAGGAGAAACAGGATTGGTCCTCATTTGTGTTGCTGCAGGTTGGTCCAGTTTTGGGATCTGGATCTTTTATCAATTCCGCTGGGCCCTCATTGTTGACAACGACACTCCCATAATGCTTGCAGTATATAATATCCCCACGATTATCACGGGAGCACTCGCCTCAGTAGCCACCGCAATACTTTTAACTAAAATTCCATCAGCAGTTGTCATGTTTTTATCAATGTTGCCATTTTTGATTGGGATTGTGCTTATGGGAACTCGTCCAGTTGGGCAAACTTATTGGGCACAGAAATTTGTCAGTATATTGATCCAACCAATCGGAATGGATATGTCTTTTCCAGCTGCTTGTATTGTATTGAGTACTGCTTTCCCAACGCAACAACAAGGCATTGCTGGGTCTTTGGTATCAACGTTTGTGAATTATTCCGTTTCCATAGGATTGGGGTTAGCTGGTGCTGTTGAGTACTATACAACTAAGGGTATGGAGCCTAGCCTTGAAACCGACATTCATGGAATGAGAAACGCATTCCATATGGGAACCGGGTTGGCTGGGTTGGGAGTACTAGTATCGGCTGCATTTATGGTAATTCAGTTGATGAATCGTAAGAGGTTCATAGAGAGTCAAATGTATGAAGAAAAGGGCAACGATACCCAGTATCTGGCGTAGACCAGAGGTTATTGCATTTCTTTTTAATATAGCATAATTCTTATATAGAAAATCTACATACTATTTATTAGAGCAGTATCCAAATGTAGATTTCTGTCTATCAGCATTTTGAATCATATCATGGTTCCTACTCATCTGATATTGGTCACAGAATTTGGTTGCAAAAAAATCAAAGATAATAAGATCTATTTCTTGGCTGCAAATAGTAACCCGTACAATAATAAACTCAAAGGAATTTCAAAAACAGAGAAAGAGAGGACTTGCGTTTGATCCTCATCACCATGTGAACAAATCCAAATTCCCTGAATTTGAACTGTTTTGCATGCTACTATATTCTGACTTTTTTGACGAAAGATTTTGTCTAATAATATTCAGTCAGAGACAAAAGTGGAAATCTTACCACAAGTAAAATATGGAAACGTTTGTCGACATCAAAAAAAGTTATGCATGTCAGCAATTCATTCAATCTCATACGGTGAGCCAGGTCATCTTCCTAACAGAAATATCCATGATTTACAGTGTGTAATGAGGAGAACTTTTCGGTTTTGGCTCGGACTTACCCTATTCAGAATTTCAGAGAAAAATTAAAAAAAAATAATTCACTTGCCACACCTTAAAGTCAAAGAAAGTTAAATTTCCTTTTAACCACGGATGAGTTAACCGGCCGGAGCGAACTAAAAAATATTGTTTTGATATTTGTGTCATTTATCTTATAATTGTAATAATTTTCATTGTTTTCTCATCAATTTAGTAAAAGGCTAAAATAAATAAACACTTGAAAATTTATTTTATTAATAAAATTTTAGTAAATTATTAACAACTCATCCTTTTGATTATCAAATAATCGAAGAAGTCTAGAAACTCATCAAACTTCGCAAACTAGTATATAAATATCCATCAGATACGCTTTATGTTATACAAACACTAGGTTCACAATAAACCACAAAACACAACTATGACAAACCTAGAACGATCTGAATCTCAAGAAACTAGTATAGAAGACGATATAGAATGTCTCAACGAAGACCACGTTTCCAAAGAACTTCAAAAGACGACATCAGCAGTATCCGTGGTATATTTTGCCATTCCCAATTTCGAAGAAATATCTCGATTCAGAGAAATCCTATTCATGGCATTCATGTGTACATCGCAACTATTGACCCAAGCAGCAGTTGCTCAAACGATGAACACCTCGGTCGAGATAAGTGAAACATTCAACGTATCTACCAAACCAGGTGAAATCTCCTGGTTCGCAGCCGCATTCTCAATGACAGTGGGTACGTTTATTCTCATTTCAGGAAGATTAGGAGATATGTTTGGATATAAAAGGATGTACATTATTGGATATATCTGGTTTGGTATCGCCTCTTTATTGTGTGGATTTGCCGGCTTGACTAAAGAACCTATATTTTTCGATACTATGAGAGCATTACAAGGAATAGGTCCTGCAATTATGATGCCAAACACTCAAGCGTTAATTGGATCCTTCTATCCGGAAGGAATGAGAAAGAATATTTGTATGGCGATGTTTGGAGCAGTAGCACCAAGTGGATTTCTCGTCGGGGCACTATTTAGTGGACTTTTGACGGTTAGAGTGTGGTGGGCGTGGACATTTTGGATTTGTGGGATTGTGAGTATTATGGTGGCTGTTGCATCTTTCTTTGTCATACCAAAACGTATTGGAGTCAAATCAGGTGGATCATTTGATTATTGGGGTTCATTATTCGGAGTAAGTGGATTAGTTCTTATTAATTTTGCATTTAATCAAGGTCCAAACGTAGGTTGGTCAACGGTCTACGTCTATGTCCTTCTTATAGTTGGTTTCATCTGTATGGGGATATTCTACCTCGTTGAGAAGAGAGTCAAGGATCCATTAGTGCCCCCAGAAGTTCTTAAAGGTGAAACCGGTTTCGTTCTCGGGTGTATCGCTGCTGGTTGGTCGTGTTTTGGAGTCTGGCTTTTCTACCAATTTCGTTGGGCGCTAATTGTTGACAACAATAACCCAATCATTGCTGCTGTAACCAATATTCCAACAGGTTTTGTTGGGGTTTTCGCCGCCATAACCACTGCCTTACTATTAATGAAAATTCCATCAGCCGTTGTCATGTTTTTCGCAATGTTGGCATTCTTGGTTGGGATTGTGCTTATGGGAACCCGTCCAGTGGGACAAACGTATTGGGCTCAGAAGTTCGTAAGTTTATTAATCCAACCAATGGGTATGGATATGTCTTTCCCTGCTGCTTGTATCTTGTTAAGTTCTGCTTTTCCAAGAAGACAACAAGGTATTGCTGGGTCTTTGGTTTCTACGTTTGTTAATTATTCGATTTCCATCGGATTAGGGTTTGCTGGTACGGTTGAATATTATACTACAAGAAATATGGAGCCTAGTCTTGAAACTACTATACATGGGATGAGAAATGCATTTTATATGGGGATGGGATTAGCTGGTGTAGGGGTGATTTTATCTACTATTTTCATGATTATTCAATTGCTTAATCGTCGTAGCTTAGAGAAGAATAATTCTTCTATAGATGAACTTCCTAGTTCATCTGGAGAAGAAGCTCCGAGCAATGAAGAAGAAGTTCTTTCATAGCATTAATTCTTTTGGATTGTATTAATAAATTTTGGCATTTTATAGATTTATATTTATTGTATATAATGATAGCTTTATTTTAATAAGTAATACTCAATAAAGTAACCGAATAACCTAAGTATGAAGACGGTTTCCTGTAACTTCGTTCCTTATGCCACATTTGGACTCGAAAACTGAATGCCGTTTAGTTTTTTTTTTTTGTTTCCTGTCTCGAGGGATCCCCCACTTTATCCAAGATTTTCAATCAATTGATAAGCACAGTGATCCACCCTTCTTTTCCTCCAACACAACTCTTGCCGACTCCTACTTCCAGTCAACATCAACCATGACAGTCCCTCCAGTATTGAAAGCTCCATTATCTAAATCCTTAAAGATTGCCCTTATCCAATTAAAGGCCGGCGCAGATAAAACCGCCAACTTATCCAAGGTAACCAAATTCATCGAGGAAGCAATCACCAAATCTCCTCAAGTCGATTTAGTCATGTTACCAGAATGTTTCAACTCCCCATATGCAGTGACTGAATTCCGTAATTATGCCGAGGTTATCCCTCAGGGAGAAACAACCCAATTATTATCTTCCTTAGCTAAAAAACATGGAATTTTCATAATTGGTGGCTCGATTCCAGAAATCGCCCCCGAAGAAGAGAATAAGATCTTTAACACCTCAATTACATTCTCACCCTCCGGTGATGTCATTGCTAAGCATCGCAAAGCCCATCTCTTTGATATTGATATTAAGGGAGGTATCACATTCCAAGAATCATTAACTTTATCCGGAGGTGATAAGGCTACTGTTTTCAAATTGGGAGAATTTGGAAATGTCGGATTGGGTATTTGTTACGATATCAGATTTCCGGAATTAGCATCAATTGCATCCCGTAGTCCACATAATTCATTTGCGATGTTCTATCCTGGGGCGTTTAATACTACTACTGGTCCATTACATTGGCATTTATTGGCTAGAGCTCGTGCTGTTGATAATGAGATGTATACTGTCTTATGTTCGCCTGCTAGAGATGTTGAAGGAGGGGGATATCAAGCATATGGTCATTCCTTGGTGGTTGATCCATATGGGAAAGTTATTGCCGAAGCTGGAGAAGGTGAAGAGATTGTATATGCTGAATTAGATAAGGATTTGATTCCAAATATTAGAGAAGGGATTCCGGTACATTATCAAAGAAGATTCGATATCTATGGAGATTTTGTGAATGATGGAAGTGTTAAAGTTAGTGATAAGTAAGTATAGAATTGGACTTTATATATGTGTGTATATATTTCTAAATTTCCTCCTCGTCTTCTCTTCTTTGAATAAATTCAGTCAAAGTTTCCATAAATTCAATGGGTTTCTCGCTAATTAACCAATGACCAGCTTCTATATCTCTCAATTCAAAATCTGGGAAAAACCTCGCAATTTCAGGAATGACTTCATCAGGAACATATGACGATTCCGAACCTCTAACAAACAACGCTGGTCCCTTTGTCCATCTAACTATATTCAGATCATATGGCCAACTAGAAATCACGCCACGACTAATAGCATTCCCAATAATATCCAATGGAACTTTCGATTTAATATGAGCATGTCTATGGCCCCTATCCAAATTAGTCAACAAGAATTGACGAACTGATTTATTCTCTTCAACTTCGGCCAATTTTGCATCTACTTCCTTAACACTAGTATATTTATATTTCTCCAATGCCAATCTTAATTGATTTACATATTTCCCAAAAGTATCAGAAGTAATCTTAGTCACAGGAGCATTATCAACCACACATAACATCTTCACCAAATCGGGATTTCTCAACACCATAGCCATGGCAGTTTTACCCCCCATAGAATGTCCAACTACGATCGGTTTGGCAAATTCCGGGAATTTCCGTTCTTGGATAAATCTCTCCACATCGGCAGCTAAACTAGGATAATCTAATCTATCAATATGGGGACTAGTTCCAAAATTACGTAAATCAAGACAATAAACATCTCGATCTAATCGGTTGGTTAACTGTTTAGCTATCGTTCTTGTATTTGATCTAGACCCGAATAATCCATGTAAGAAGATCAAAGGTGATTTATAAAGGGTCGGTTCTAAGTTTGGTTTGTGATGATCAAAAGCAAGTTCGACAGTGGGTATTGATCCATCGATCGCAAGGGCATCTCCAAGATATGAGGGGTCGTTCTGTGCATATGAATTTGGGATTGTTCCTATATTAGGGGAAACAGTGGAATATGGACGGAGAAGGCTGAATACTCTCGGAAGACGTGTTATGTACATCGTGGATGGTATTTTGTTATGATCTTTTTGGTGATGAAATCGAGGTTTTGTCCAATTTTCTTTAGTTTTGTTCTTGGTGCGAAACTTCGATTGATTGGTTAGATGTTAGGCGCTGTTGACAAACCATACAAATAACACTTTGAATTCGTAGAATCTGTCAAATTGAGCATTCTATTCCCATCCACAAGAATGCAAAGAATACTCTACTTACAAGAATAAGAACATAGAAAGTTGCGCCGTTAAAAGGCACGGTACGATTGAAATGTGTTTTTGCCCCACCTATAATCTGTGGCAAATGCTCGTTACTTAACACCTTTGACGTAGTTCCAAGTGTGCAGTCATTTCGGTTGATGGTGACCCATAAAACAGTTGAGACTGGTTTTAAGATTACATTGATTTCCTCTATACCATTAATTAATTAAGTATTGTCGAATCAAGGACCTAAAATTAGGTTTCCACTCTTTTGTGCAAATGATCTGAGAACGGGCTTCACTACTTTATTCTAACTTATTACTTACAAAGATGAATCATCTCCATTCTAGATTCTTTACACCACCAAGCATTACAAGCAACTAACTAACTTACAAGCGGTTAAGTTAGAAATATCACAAATTTTAACTTTATGAATCTACCGAAAATTTCCACGGTGAAGATGGCTGGGACAAAACAATCAACGCATGAGCCACATTTCTTAAGAACAAAGAATCTGACAACTTCAGATTAGGCTTAATGTATTACCATGCAATAAATATCACTTCCCGAACAAAGCGCAATCGCGCGATTAATCAATTAACCCGATTGTATATTATTTGGGGGATCCAATCTTGACAGCAAGCACCTTCCCCCTCCCCCACGCCCTGTTTCATCCCGTCATATAAAACCTTTTAAAATATCCCCCCGAAATTAATCCCTGAAATTTTTCACATCATACACCACACCCAAATAAACACTGTATAAACCATCATGTCAACCATTCAACTTAACAACAACACCAAAATCCCCGTCTTAGGTCTCGGAACCTGGCAATCCTCCCCAGAAGAAGTCTACACCGCCGTTCTTCACGCCTTAAAAACCGGCTATCGCCACATCGACACCGCCTTCGCCTATGATAATGAAGAAAGTATCGGTCGTGCCATTCATGACCTGGGAATCCCTCGTGATGAACTCTTCATAACTACCAAATTATGGTGTACTTATCATCAAGTCCCTCAAGAAGGGTTGAAGGAGAGTTTGAAGAGATTGGGGTTGGAATATGTGGATTTATATCTTATGCATTGGCCTGTTCCTTTGAATCCCAAGGGAAATGACCCAAAGTTTCCTACATTACCGGATGGAAATCGTGATATTGTAGAAGGGTGGGATTTTGTGAAGACTTGGGAAAAGATGCAAGAATTGGTTGGAAATGGGACTAAATCTGTTGGAGTTTCGAATTTTGATGTTGAGAATTTGGAAAGGTTGTTAGAGGCACCTCTGACTAAGATTGTCCCCGTTGCTAATCAAGTGGAATTACATCCTCATTTACCACAACATAAATTGTTGAAATTTGCTAAAGCAAAAGGAATTGTGTTGGAAGCTTATAGTCCATTAGGTTCGACTAATTCTCCGCTTTTGACTGAGCCTGAATTGGTGAAGATTGCAGAAAAGTATCAAGTTAGTACTGCCACTATTTTGATTTCTTGGGCTATTTGGAGAGGTACTGTTGTTTTACCAAAATCAATTACTCCAAAACGTATTGAAAGTAATTTTAAGACTGTTAAATTGGATGATGTTGATGGGAAGACAATTGATGATTTACATAAGACCATTGGAATTAAGAGATTTATTAATCCAAATTGGTATCCTGTGACTGTTTTCCATGGTGATGAATAGAGATATATAGTTACAAAGTATTCTATTTATAGATTTTATAATAAAATAGGATGAATTATCCATCAGATTTATATACGCTTTAATAAAAAGAATAATAATAAAAACACAAACATATAAATGTTGAAATAAAAAAAAAAAGTACGCAGCCAATTATTTACTGAAAAGACCTGGTAGTTTCAGTTGTACTTGATAACAATGACTTTCCCATTGATCTTTCTGTATATCTCCCACGAAAAGAAATCTCTAAATAATAAAAAAAATAATACCCATTTGTTCTCCAATATCACTTAAGCATCCAATAATTTAACATAATTTGAAGGACAAATACCAAGTTGTCCATTTGCTTTTCTAGCTTGCCACCATTTCCCATCAATATCATCAACTTCTAAAATTTCATCCTTGGTGAAGGAAATTTCATTAATATCTTCAGGATTAGCATCATAACTATATAAAGCTTTAGCTTTATATCTGAACGTTATTCCGGTTCCACTTTCGGATTCAGTATAGATGGTATCTCTCTTATTGGTATTCTTGGTCAAATCTCTTGATTGTGCGTCTGCTGATTTCTCAAGTCCATTCAATTGTGATGAGGACATGTATTGTTTTGCAGCAGTAGCTGGTGGAGCACCTCCGGATGCGGTTATGGATGCTACCGGTTGTTGTTGATCTGGGAGATGTACTGGTGATACATAACGACGGTATTCATTGTCCGATTCATCATTATAATCATTCTTCATTAACCCATTTGCATGACCTGAAGTAGATCTTGTAGCTAATTTTTCATGAGGACTTGATTGGTTTTTAATACCGAAAGAGTCAATGAATTGGTTAGTTGGAGATTCTGGATGTCCACCAAAATACATTATCCAAAGGATAAATAATATTGATAATAAAATACTACCAGCTGCACAAGCTAAATTTGCACTTGATTTTTCATAAATAAGATAATTGATTGAATTTGTTGAATAAGCAAATGCAATAGAAACAAGTCCTACTAACATGAACTTATATAGTTCTATATTGTTATTACAATATAATACAAATATGACGATAATTATCAATAATTCATAAACTATCCCCCACCAACTAAAACGAGGGAATTTAGATTGATCTGAAGCAGCAGCACCACCTAATGCTATAACCCATGCTAATATACCAAATGATACTGTTGTGAAAGCAAATGGATCTCCTGTAAAATTTGAAAGTGAAAATCCCATGTTGTAAAGTAGTTTTCTCGTCTATTAAATGTATCAACAGTTCAAAAAAAAAAGAATGGTTATTCAATTCTTTATTAAAAAGCAATCTTGTTGTTTGATGTGTGCTAGTGCAGTAGTAGTAGTAGCAGTGTTAGCAATAGTAATAACAGTATAGCAGTAATAAATGAAGTATCAGACACCGCTATTCGTATAAAATTACTCTGTTGTGTTATAAAACAAAAAAAAGGAAGAACTTTGTTGTAAGGAGAGAGAGAAATATTTAATTTAATTTTTGTTCTATGGGTTTTTTACAATTTTTGAAACTTACTGTAAAAGAAGAAAAATTAAAATTAAAACCAAAAAGAGAGAACACGAAAATTAAATTAATATTTTATTTTTTAATTTAATTTTATTTTTTTTTACTTGAATTTATTTTGTGTAATTCACAATTAAATACTAAAAAAAAATGAAACTGATATTGGTATACACTCCTTACATTGCAGTAACGATAGATATCGTACCTTATTCTTTATACTTTTTCAAATGCTCCTCAAATGTCAAAACTATTATTAGATTTAAATTAAATTGTAACCTGATACCTATGATAAGCGTAATAATTTGTCTGGTTTTACGTGTGTCCTGAGCGCTTTCAGCCATTGTTACGAAGGTGTTCGCTTGCGCAAACCTCTCAAAAGGTTCTATTATTATATATTCTGGTTGACAGTCCATTCAGTCAATTTATACTCGTAATTCTGTCCTTTAAGGTTTTTTTGACATATCCGGTTGAAACATCGCAGATCACATGATCACCTCCTTTCAAAACATCTCGTCAATTCGAGATTGAACATTTCCCCTCGTGAACCTGTAGAAAGTACAGATATTTCGCTTGGCCCGGGTATACAGTAGAACCGTTTACGTCATAAGGTACATTAGATTTCGATTTTGTACAACAACCCAATAAGGTAAATAGGTTTCGATTAAGTACAATTCTGCTCCTAATTAGGAAATGCGAATCTAGAATTTATTTTTTAAATTTTTTTTTTTTTTGAATTGTCGCGTTATTTTTCATTTTTTTGCATTAATTGACGCGTTGGATGTTATTTTTGACGTATATTGTTTTGCAACAATTAGTGTCAACGGTCTCGCGATTTCCTGGGCTCAAAGCACTTGCAGCAAAACCCTTGTCTTCCTAGTAGACCCTATAATAATCGGTATTCCCTGACTGGGCTGTGGAGTCAAGAATTAATGGTGCTACCCATTCATTTGTGAGCTGCTGGTTTTAATACTTATATTTTGCCAAAACTATATATTTTGGGGATCTTCATCAGGCGATGACAAGGTCCGATGTGAAATACAGTATTTAACTAGAAGAATCAGACTGGTTTTTTTTTTTTAAAGGGATACGTGAGGCAGCATTAACATCTTTAAATAAATTCCTCAATTTGGGCAAGCAACTTTCTGGTCGGTGAGCTCAATATGTTTGGCATACTCTTACGAACGATTTGGATTGGAATTTTCAAACCTTTAGCTTCAAGAATTTGTGAATACGACGGCAGACTCATATCAAGATTCTCTGGACTACACTCTTACGAAGTTCCTCACTGGTTTGACTATTAATTATCATGGCAAGGATATTTCTACCAAGAAGCTGATAGTGACATTTTTACGCACGCTGAGAAGCTATATTTGGAAGCCTGGTTTGATTTTGTTGGCTCCATTTGCAAAGCATATACAGCTCAGTTGTCACATTTGTCTCATTGCGAATATCCCTACTTATTCATTTCACCGCCTTCTACTATTATTCTCCCTCCATTATTTGATGATTTGCCGGTGGATTTTTTTCAACATCCGTTCCAAATACATTAATCTTGAGGATAAATAATGTGTCATCCCAAAGAGTTGGTCAAATCTTTATGATTTGGATCCTTCCAGGACATTGGCAAAGGGAAAAACTCTGCTAACCGAATGGAAATGGATGCTGTTCACGCAGTCTCAACTTGGGTCATTTTACCCATCATACTGATCGTGAGTGTGAATTAAAAAAAAATAGCCAGAATGATCGCTTTCTTAAGTTGTCGATTCATTTTCTTTTTTTATACTTTATGACCTACATGTAAGATCCTCTAATAGTTTGCAAGCCTGTAGCATGTGATTATGTGATGACAAATACAACATAACAATTTTCAGGTAATCTAGCTGCAATGGACCGGACCCTGTGCTGTAATGCGACATAGAGATAAGCTAAAGGTGAAAGAAACATATTTAGCCCTTTTCGAAAAACAAAATTCTTGGTGATCGATTTTGTGGAATACCCCAAGGAAAGCTTCTCAACCTCCTACGATGTCTTGAATATCATCTTCAAATGGAATCACCTTCATTTTGACAATTTCTCAGTGGAGAGAACATACCAGCGACAAGTACATCATGCGATTACATGTGGGCTTTTTATTGTGACCCACCTGATCAGATGTTTTGTATTTTTTTCATTGCACAAAAAAAAATATTCGAACCGTTTTTGGAACCATTTGCAGTCATAACAAGGTTTCCCTCCACTCTTTAACCGCATAGCCAGCCTACATTTGGACCACTTATAGTCATAGTGAGTTCCCCCTCCAGACTTCAGTCAAGGGACGTGTATATATTTCTCGTATAGAGAATTCTGTAGTTCTATATGGGTACCCAGACTATAACAGCTTAATATATTTATATCGAAACAAAAAAAAAAATTAATTTCGAATTCAATGGTATCATGAGGGACTTAATAGAACCCCGCATTGTTATTGTCAATATATTGTCTCTAATTGCTTCAATTTATTGTCTCTAATTGGTTCGGTGTTTACTTGAATTACTATTTGAATTGGCTTTTGTTCATAACAATGGAGAAAGATTAAATTATTTGCTCGCTGACTAATCGAAGACTCCTGTACATACAGACTTTGGAAATTACGGTACGGAGGCAGATGAATTTCAGGTAATATTCCATTCCCTTGTCGTTGCACACGTTTGTTTGTTTGTGTGTATACTCTGGAATCGTTGACAGTATTGTATTTGTTGCTTCGTCACTCAAGTTTGCTATAGCAATTGTAATATAAAATTGGGTGCAAAATTGCCCAAATTTAGAGCAAGGGCTACGTAGCTAATTACACACTACACTCATAAAGGATTTTTTTGAATCGCTTAAAGACAGAATGGGGCTCCCTCCCAGATCAAGTCAAGGAGGCGTATATATTTCTTTTACAGAGTTTTATAGTGTATTTAGAAAATATTTTTGTTATTTCTGACAAATGCTCTGAAAACGGAGTCCATTGTTTAACTTCCCCGTCGTTAAATAGATAGTCATTGGACCCCTTACCATATACAATAACCTGGGTAAAGACCGAATACACTCGGTCTTACCTATCCCTATAATAATATTTCAACTTCCCCTTCTTTGTTTTCGAAAAATATCAGACCACTTTGCTTCTTAGACCATATGACTTCTTGATAGATTACTCCTCATGTAGCATATAAAACCATGAAAATTCCTGCTTACATCTCAGCTTTCATCTTATAGAAGTCAAACACCCAGCAAACACAATGCTTTCCACTACTATTTTAAAGAGAAGACTTCCATCAGCAACCACCATTTTCACCAGATATGTTCTGACTGTAACCCAACAGGAACAACGTCCACCACCACCACCACCACCAACCACAACCGAGCCACGAAAAATATTCGGTATCTCCACCGAAGTCTACAAAGAAACCGACGTTGAAAAGCACAACGATACAAAATTCATTACCCATCCACTCTTCCCGCATCCTGATTTCCCTCATGAAGATTGTGAGAATGTGGAATATACCCACCGTGACCCCAAAACATTCGGAGACAGAGTTTCATACCGTGGTATTCAACTTGTCAGGGGTGCCTTTGATTACGTCACCGGATACAAGAAACCTAAGCCTGACAATATGAATGAATTTGTCGGCACCAGATATGAAATGAATGAATCTAAATGGTTAACTCGTGTTATCTTTTTAGAAAGTATTGCTGGGATTCCAGGGGCCGCAGCCTCGTTTATTAGACATTTACATTCGCTTAGACTTTTGAAAAGAGATAAAGCCTGGATTGAAAGTTTAATGGAAGAAGCATATAACGAAAGAATGCATTTATTGTTGTTTACCAAATTGGGAAAGACTAGTTGGTTTACGAGATCGATTATGTATGTTGGACAAGGTATTTTTGCTAATGTGTTCTTTTTATGTTATTTGGTTAATCCTAAATTCTGCCATAGATTTGTGGGATATCTCGAAGAAGAAGCCGTTAGTACTTATACACATCTTCTTCATGAGCTAGATACTCCTGGAAAGTTGCCTAAGTTTGAATATGTCAAGATTCCAGAAATTGCTGTTAGTTATTACCCCGATTTACATGAGAAATCTACATTTAGAGATTTGATCTTGAGAATCAGAGCCGATGAAGCTAAACACAGAGAAGTTAATCATACATTGGCAAATTTGAATCAAAAGAGCGACAGAAATCCATTTGCTTTGCAAGTGGAAGGTGTTGAAGAACAACCTAATCATGGATTAAAAGTCACCAGACCTGCTGGTTGGGAAAAGGATGAATTAAAGCTTTAGATAAACTGAGCTTGGTCACTCCCCCCTCCCTATTTGGTTTCCTAAATAGCGTTTATAATCATTATAGTTAAATCATTCTGAAACTTTCACTTCGGAATGGTCTAGATTTTGCAACAATAAATTAAAACTTCACGTTTCTTTTACTCTCCCTACAATAATCTGAAGGATATAGCAATTCCGTATACTGGTCATTCAATTGAAAAATATTTGAATAAGTCTTTGAATGAATTTAAATTTCCGGTATTTATCCGGAATTTAAACCCCGTATGGAATTTTCAGGGATTCGGAAAAACTCTCAAACTATGACACACGAAAAAAACTCGGAATGAAAGTCATCAAATCCCGTTTTGATCCGTTTGATCCAAACCCCAACCTGTCATATGTTCACAGTTGGAAAACGTTATTCCGAAAATCTCTACGGCTCTTTTGTATAATAATAATACGTGCAGGCAGGACAATCACCATTTTTTTTGGTTGTAACAAAGGCCAACGACAGTTTTATTGTTGTAGACTCGTTTAAGTCATTTCAGGAATGGAGTTTCAGAGCGTGAAAGTCCGCGATATTTTTAGAAACAGGGAATATGGGGCTTTCAAAGTCCTCTTCCTAACATCCACAGGGTAATGAATCTCAACTGAGGGTATCTTCTTGAGACTAATAAAGGAATTGCCTAAGCGAGTCTTCTAATAGGCACTTGAGTTGCTCTATCCATCAAAGGCGAACAACCACATTATAGATGCATAAGTATTACTAATTATAATGATATATGCTCCTAAGACTAATTATTAATAGTAAGAATAGTTGGTTTGAGGATTTCCGTAGATTAATTTCATTCCGAGTTTTAACGGAGTTTGTCAGCACTTAATTATTTTTTTTCTGTGTGGTTGCAATTTTTTTTGCAATTCCCTCGGTTTTAGGAAGTCGATAGCACCAAGCTGTCATATCAATTTTCATGAATCGGTCATAAGTCCTTGGATAACCACAGACACATCAAATTCAAAATGGAATATAAATATCAAGCGAAATCCACATAAAGTTACTTGCTTTCCACTTTTCATGTTGTCTACTATTCAATAAATACAAACAATAATAATGCTTACAACGACAACAACTATACAAAGAAGATTACCATTGGTCACATCAACGTTTTTAAGATGTTCTCTGACTCTCGTTCAACCTCCTCCACAAACCAAACCACTGAAGATCTTGGACATCTCCACTAAGATCTATGCCGAGACTGATGTTGCCAAACATGATGATAAAAAATTCATTACCCATGCATTATTCCCCCATCCAGAATTCCCACAAGAAGAATGCGAAAACGTAACATATACCCATCGTGAACCACGTACTTTTGGTGATAAGGTCTCATTTAGAGGTATTCAATTTGTTAGAGGTACCTTTGATTTCGTTACCGGATACAAGAAATCAAAGACAAATGATGTTCATGAATTTGATGGTACTAGATATGAAATGACTGAATCAAAATGGTTGACTCGTGTTATCTTTTTGGAAAGTATTGCTGGTGTTCCAGGGGCTGTAGCTTCCTTTATCAGACATTTACACTCACTTCGTCTTCTCAAGAGAGATAAAGCTTGGATTGATACTTTATTAGATGAAGCTTATAATGAAAGAATGCATTTACTTACATTCATCAAATTGGGAAAACCAAGCTGGTTCACTCGTTCAATTATCTATGCTGGTCAAGGAGTTTTCGCTAATGTTTTCTTCCTATGTTATTTAGCCAATCCTAAATTCTGTCATCGTTTCGTGGGATATCTTGAAGAGGAAGCAGTTAGTACTTATACCCACCTTATTCATGAATTAGATACTCCAGGTAAATTAAGTAAGTTTAATTACGTCAAGCTTCCAGAAATTGCAATCAAATATTGGCCTGAATTGAATGAGAAGTCGACATTTAGAGATTTGATTTTGAGAATTAGAGCAGATGAAGCTAAACATAGAGAAGTTAATCATACCTTAGCCAATTTGAATCAAAAAGAAGATAGAAACCCATTTGCTTTACAATTGAAAGATGCTAATCCTCAACCTAATCATGGGTTAAAGGTGATGAGACCAACCGGATGGGAAAAAGAAGAATTAAAGCTTTAGATTTTACTTACGTTTGTTTTATGTATATATTTATGTTAATGAAGATTATGAGTTATTTAAGTTTAAGCGGAGTCTTTGTAGTGTTTCTTAAATCTTGTAACGGGGTAAATCAGATTATTGGTGCAAACTGTTCTGACACACAGCTTCAGATTTTCTTCTAGAATCTTCTACCGCAGCCCACAACTTCTCTGTTAGATCAATCTTCGTATAAGACTTTCCAGCGCTCTAATTTCACTAATATAGGTAATAATATGCTTTATATGCTTCTCAGGTCCCTCGTCTACGCCAATCAATCGAAGGAGTTGAAACTTACTGTTGAAACCAATCAACTGTTGAACCTGCAAACTGAGTAAAATCTAAGTGAATTACTTTTTACAAGTTTTTCCTGCATATAATAAAGAAGAAAAAAAAAATAAAAGAAAAAATATAAAGAGACTGCCATATAGTCATCTCCTTTACAGTTTACTCAATATTTTATAAACTAACCCGTGTTTTACTCTTTCAATATTCAGAAAGGATATACCGGAATTACGACAAGACAGCATAGTCAATATGGCAGATTATATGGATGGAGATGATCCGATTGCTGAACTTCTCAGTACAGAACCTCATCAGGAGGATAATGATATTCAAACAATTGAAAGAAATACTAGTAGCAGCAATAATAGCAATCAAAATAACTTATCATTAACTCCCTTTCTAGGACATGCAGAGTTACCTCCAAACATCGATAATCAAACAGACCCTCACCAACAGCATCATGAACAGGATAACGAAGATACACACAGGAAGAGTAGCATCGAACAACCAACTGGACATACACCCTTGTTTATTCCGGAAGATCTTGCTACCCCTCATAATCATCAAGAATTAATTTCCCATGATTTCCACAACCTGTTATTCGATTCAAAATATCAGCATCAAGACAATTTGGATCTGAACCATCGACAACTTCAACAACAATTACAACTACCGAGAATGAAACCTCTTTCCGAAAGCGTAATACCCAAAAACATCGGATATCCACAATCAACAATCGACGATTTGAAACAACTTATATTGGCACAAAATCAGATTCGACAACAACAACAACAAATCCAAGAAGCACAGCTGAGGTTGTTACAACCCGCTCCCAAACGTCGTAAAGAAAGCTCTACTCCAAAAACCCGTCCTGCATTCGTTATGAAAATTTGGTCTATGGTGAATGACCCTGCGAATCAAGAGTATATTAGATGGAATGACGATGGGAAGACATTCCAGGTTTTCCATCGTGAAGAATTCATGAAGCTGATATTACCCAAGTATTTCAAACATAATAATTTTGCCAGTTTTGTAAGACAATTGAATATGTATGGATGGCATAAGGTTCAAGATATTAGGAATGGTAGTTTGGAACTGGGTGTCGCGGAGGGGAAGGATAAAGATAAAGTAGATGAATTCTGGCAATTTGAGAATCCTAATTTTTTGAGAGGTAGAGAAGATTTGTTGGATAAGATTGTAAGGAATACTACTAAAACACTCAAGGAAGAGGGCGTAAATGAAGGAGGGATTACTGGCACCGGCAGTGCACATACAGACAGTACGAATATTACATTAGCATTGATATTGAAGGAATTAGAAAATATTAAAATGAATCAATATGCTATCACCGAAGATTTGAACCGGGTAAGAAAGGATAATAAAACATTATGGCAAGAACACTATGTCACCCGAGAACGTAATCAAACTCAAGCTCGTGCATTGGATAATATATTGAAATTCCTTGCTGCTATGTATGGAAATACCACTACTGGTAAAATTCTTGAAGTCGATTCTAGTCACTTAGGAGATATGAACAATATGATGACGGAATATAGACCACAATTATCACCAAGAATTCCCACTCGTAATCCTGTTCCGAGCTCCAATATTCATCTTGGGCATTCCGATAATAATGTATATCCACAATATCGTCCTCGTTTGATGTTGACTGAAGAAGCCCATAGACCTTCAACATCTGGTAATATAACAAGAACAAATTCTACACCGGGATCAATCGAAGAAATCATACGAACCTATGATCATGATAAAGCGTCCCAAAATAACGTGAATAGAGTATTTCAGCAATTAATTCAAAAAGACAATGCTCCTTCTCCAAGATCACCACGCCATTTATATTCGGACTTGGCTACCCCACCACCTCTACCAATTGATTCAAGAAGAGAAACCGATGTAACTAAGTCAGAAGATCCAGAATTGGAAGAGTTATTGGACGATTTGGATCAGAGCATATATAAGCAAGGTCAATCTATTCAACATGTCCAAGATTGGATCGAGAAACTAGCCGAACAGAATGGAGAACATCCCGCAGAAAGCGATACAGTTGCACATAATGCTGATGATGTACATGAATTTGACGTCAATGAATTTTTGGCAGCTGAGACTCCAGTGGCTAGTGGTGCATCCGCTCCTACAAATAATGCAACTTCCCCAGTTGTTGTTACGCCTGGTCTGAATGCCACAAGTCCAAATGAAGCAAATCCTAAGAAAAGATCAATTCAAGAGGTGTATGAAGGAAATGAAATTTAGAATCATGTATATTAAACTTTTTAGAAAAGAAATGGTGCTGGTATTGTCATTAATATTGTAGTATATATATATATGTATTTTATAGGTATATAATTATGTGATTTTTGGGTGAATTAGTACTTAATAATTTTATAAGGGAACTCTCGTAGTGATTGAATGAATTACAGGGTAATTTTTAACGCGACAGTTTCTTTTTTTTGGTTGATTCCCACGAATTACAATTGCAGATTTTCTTACTGTTTGCTGAGAATTGAAAAATAAAATATTATCGACACGTAAATTTCAAAAGCGACATAAATTATTAATTTTGACTTTTGACTTTAAAGTTATTTGGAAATTGGGTTTAAACGGGTCCTAACTGGAAGTCATGTAAGTGATAGGAAACTATCAGATTTTTCAACTACAGAATCTTTGTGTGACATCTTCTTATCGCATAATATGAATTCATGTTGTGGCGTATATTCTTATTGTTCCGGAGTACGATTACAATTAACCGAGAAAAAAAAAAGACCTCATCAAAAAATTGTACAAGCAGCGAATTAGAAAAATTCTTATCTTAACAAAATACGGTCAGTCAAATCAATTGGCACACGGCAATATAAAAAGAAGAAACTATAACCTGATTATCAAATATATATACATATCTACAACTTACTGTTATCACCAAAAGTAAGCAGAATCCCGAAGAGTCAATTGAATCAGATAGCGCTAGGCATTTGTTTTCTGCCCCAACTTCGCCCAGTTTTTTCCCCCAAACAATTGCGCTTATAAATTAATAATAAATTATCACCATCGTTTGACATTACAACACTCAGCTTGAAATGTCGTCTAGTCTGAATGAATTCACCGACGACTCATCTCAAGGAAAGCGAATTTATAGCAAGAAAGGTTGTCGTGAATGTAAACGAAGGAAAATTAAATGTGATGAAGGAAAACCTGATTGTTGGCAATGCCGCAGGCTAAGAAAAGAATGTAGTTATCCAGAAGTAGGAGAGAAAGTTTTAAGAGTGCTGCGAAAGAAGCTCAAGCAACACGAAGAACTGCATCAATACCAATTCCCTCAACATCAACAACAACCACAGCAGCTTCTATCCCCAGTGCAACCCACTGGCCAAGAACAGGGTTTTCAAAGAGTGCGCGATTTTGTTCCAGCAACATTTATGCAGGGTCCAGTGAAGGATGCGCCAACACAAACTGGTATTCAACTTTATCAATCTCCCTCTGCAAATATTATGGTATCTAATGTTGGTCAATCTGCAACTGTTCCACACTTCCGTGGGCCATCACCCATTCCTCAAAACATTACACAGCTCGGTGCAGCTTCAATACCATACCCAATGACTACTCCGCAATATGTTCCTGCTATGTTGTCAGTGTCCCAACCATCCTCCCAACCTCAACCAGCTCACATGCAAGTACCTGTTACAGCAGTGCCACCACTGATTCAACCGCAGTATCCACCTTTTCTGGGACACCGACATCCGCGACAACCCCCTGTTGTGCCTGTTAGTCCAGCACCACTCGTACCACCATATCAAGTCATGATGCAACGACAACAACAACAGCAATCGCAACATCAACATCCCTCAGCTCAACAACATACAATAGCCACTTCCTCGAACGTATTGCCCCGCCCCATTCACACTCCTATCTCGTCTGAACAAATAAGTTCTACTCTGGAACCTACTTCACAATCACAATTGGAAGAGTCGCAAATCAAGCGATTAAAAACCATAGGATCGGGGTCAATCTTGAGTTTATTGAATGATACAAAATTATCTCGAGATAATTCCGTTGCAGATGTAAGTTCGAATACTCAAAAATCTACTTCACAAAACGGAACAAGCACAGGAAATGGCTTTACTACACCACCCGAATCGTCTATTGGTTCCTTCGATATCCATGATTTGAATCTTCTTGCTAATGATTTGAATAATATGGTTAGTGAACTTATGTTTGAGTTAAAATATAACGAAGACGAAAACAATCACAAGAAGAATGGGACTGAAACTGAAGAATGCATTTCAAACACGAATGCTTCGGCTGTCAAGCAGCTGCATCATGTAAGACACATCCCAATAGATTTCATCAAGTTTAACAATCCAACAGACACATCATATCTCGAAGAGTTCTATAACGAGTTCTCGAATATCATACTTCCGTTTAGTTCATATGACCGGGAGACAAAGTGCTATTTCAACCCCGCAAGAGATATCATCCTTGTCAGTGCCGCCAATGAAAACTATTTGTTAGCTGCTGTATTAGCCAATGGGGCCAGATCATTATTTACTCGAACTAAAGTTCAAAAACACGAGGAGGCATATTGTATATATCTTTCCAAATGTTTGAAATTGTTAGCTCCAGCGTTAAGTGCGGATGATAAGAGATTAACCTCGAATATCGAATCGGTATTACTTACAGTATTGTTATTGACGACTACCAATGCGTCAAACTTAAAACAAGATTGGAGACCTCATTTAAAAGGGGCGAAGGATTTATTATTAAAGAATTCAATGAAGAAGATCAAGAGTTCTAAAGTTTTGATATTTTGTAAATGTTGGTTTGTCACCTTGGAGATTCTTGCTGGTATAAGTTCCCAAAAGGGAGGGACATTACAAACTGATGAAGACATTGATTTATTAATAAATTCAGGGGATGCACACGAACAAGAAGTATTGAAGGAGATTGGAATTATAGTCGATAAAGGATTTAATATAATGGGAGGATATCATAATGATTGTTATGATTATTTCGGAGATTTGATTAAAATCTTAAACAAGATCAGAAATAATCGTAATGATTTTGATCCTAGTGATTCATTTGAATATATGCGTTTATTTGCCAAATTTCAAGGGCTTACAGAGCTAGTGTTTATCAAGAAGCAAGGATTGCTGAAGCCTCAAGATTTCCAAAAGATTCCTCAAGGTCATCTTGTGGATTGTATTACTATCAACGAAGAACAATTCGTGGTCTCTTGGATGGATGTATGTCACCAATCATATGTAATGGCATGTATGATAACCTTATTAAATGAATGTTTCAAAGAAGATTACACATCACCTCAAGTCCAACTACTCACAAACACCATAGTTGGTTATGTCTCATATCTCGCAAAATTTGATACAACAACAGGGGTTCCGGAACAAGCTATTAAATGTGCTTTAATGATGTTGCAATGGCCTATGTTGGTGGCAGGAAAGAGTTTGATTCAAAATGAGTTGAAGGATACTGTACAAAAGTTCTTTTATATCCTGGGACAAATAGGCTCCGGAGGTGCAAGTATTGCATTAAAAAGGGTAAGAAATATATGGCTTAAGCATGAAAATAAGATTACTAGTGAAGAGGATGACAGCGAAACAGAAGATCTTGTTTCATATTAGCCTTGTGTATATATCAAAATTTATTTGTATTTTTCATATGTATTAATATTATGGCATTTTTATAGAGAAACGTATATCACAGTGTATTTATACTATATTCTAGGTTGAATCAAGTAAAGTAAACCAGTTCATCTGTCCACTGGCAAGCTTCAAGTGAGTTTGATAAGACAGCCCATCGTCACTTTCTTCCTGACAGTCCAAATCGATTTTGTCTTCCAAAGAAAGAATATTGCTTTCACTCGAACAACATCCATTCATTTTACAACACAGCCAGTCTAGTTTACCTTTAGCTTTAAGGTCTTGAATATACCAGCCAATTCTCTCTGCTCCACTTCTTGCACCATCTAAATTGGCTGATGTTGGACCAATTCGAAGAGATGCATTCTTTCCCAGCATAAATAAGGGAACAATTTCGTTCCATTGTAGATTATCCGTAAGACATGGGAATCCATCCACAACTTCGATGGGATTTTCTTTCATCATCGGTTGAAGAAATTCAAGGGATTGAATATCTGCTCTAATACCAGTGGCGAAATAGATATAACGTATATTGGACAACTTCTTTTCTACAACAAGTTCTTTGTGATCTTTACCCATGGTCTTGGTCTCAACACTCAAATCCCATCTCTCCGATTTTTGGTCCCAGTTTTGGGATACTATTTCGGTATGCTTCATCCAATCAACTTTACCACTTTTCACATGAGCGTTCAACTTCTTGTAATATTCAGGATTGATTGAACCACCTTCTCTAGCATCCTTAATCATCCGAGCTCTCTCTTCGTCAGTATCCAAAATATAAAACGCAGATTTCTTGACGTTCTTATACTTTGTAACCCAGTCCAAATGGAAATCAAAGTGCTTTATCTTAACTGGACCTCTGAATAATAAATAAACCTTGTCGATTCTTGGGTCTTGAGCCGCGACATGAGCTAACTGTGCTGACGTTAAGCCACCTCCAACTATTACAATACTGCAAGGCAGATTTGTCTTATTGAAGAATCTTTCATCAAGGAAATTAACCTGTTTAGTAAACAAATGAGTAGTGTGGCAACTAGCATATGGGAAGTGGGTCTCCGTGAACGGGGTAATTGGATAGTTTATACTCCCACGATGGCCACTAGTGACAATACCTATCTTACAACCAAAGACTTTACCGCTGGCTGTGCGGATTACCATACCTTCTCCTTGTTCATCTGTACCTGCCACCGAAATATACTTGTATTCGATTGAAATAACCTCATCTTTTTTGACTCTCAGTTGTAAATTATAGCGTTTGATAATATCTTTACAATAGTCACTAAAGAACGGAGTTGAAGGACGATAATAATCTTTCCAATCTCGCATATTTATATCAACAATTCCAGGCTTATCTTGTATTCCAGTATCAGTAGCACCAGGTAATGGAATCGTCTTCTGGGTCCTCTTTTGTTGGATTCGTTTCTGTTTATGCTTCGAGACCTCTTTGCCTACAACATTTGTAATTTCCATAAGATCCTTCTGTCTGTTTTCCATATGTGCAAATGAAACCATTCCATCAATATTAACAGGATCACAATGAAAGAACATGGGAGATCTCAAGAACGGTATTTGACAAGCAGCAAATTGAGAATCCCATTGCCCTAAAAATCTATCACTCATGGCATCTAATACTAGTATTTCTTCAGGTTTGAATTTTTTGTTTCTGTGAAGCAATGTATTGGGTTTACCATGTTTAGAAACAAAATTAACCCTTCCTTGACGTTTCCTCAACCAATAGAATCGTTGATGTTCATCTTCACTATAGACTGAACCAGGGCATTCTTCACATAGGCGACTTGTGATTGCAAGGCCACAAGTCCCTGCACCGATAACTATTACTTCAAAGAAGTCTTCTTTAGGAATTATAACTGGATCCAAATACATTGTTGAGTAACCTGGTTCGTTTGGGCTTGGGAGAGGGGTTGGAATTAATGGAGTTTTTATAGGGATTATATTGCTGCGAAATTTGATTACGAGTTCGAAAAAATAAGCTGCAATTTCGCAACCACTAAGGTTGCGCAACCATTAAAGTATGTATCCGGATATAAACTTACTTACCAATACAGTCGGTCTATGGTTCATTTTGTAGAGTATACCCAGTCAGAATGTAATCCATATTAGGGTGAGGAATTTCATTCCAGATGAAAAATATACTGCCAAATCAAACAAATTTTTTCCTATTGAATATGTATAGAAAGTAAACTACAAATCCTTCAAGAATCCTTCGATAATCGCCAATAAACCAACAGCGCCTGGATCTGGAATCCCACCTTCAGCCTTGAATTCATCTTCGTTTACATAGCTCGCTCTTCCAAAAGAGGCTTGTAATTTCTTTGTTGATTCACAACCAGCTTGTGCAGACTTTAAAGCTTCTTTCAAATCACCAGACTTCTTCACCGAATCAACAAATGGCTGCAATGTATCTACCAAAGTACGACCGCCGACTCTAGCTTTAGTGTACTTAAATAATCCATCATACATGGCACTATTCAAGGCCTCAGCGACAGTTTCAATATTTATTTCTACTGAGCTCTTCAAAGACTTAACCAAAGCGGTTAAAAAGATTGAATAAAGTCCTCCGGAAGTTCCTCCCATACTGTTTTCGACTATTTCTGTGATAGAATAGAGTGTGGCTACCGGATCGGATAAATGCTTTTGGAACACATAATCATTATCCAAAGCTTGTAAAATTTCATTTGCTCCCTTTGCTAACGTCTCACCGCAATCTCCGTCGCCCACAATGGAGTCGTAGTGCGTAATTTTGGACTCTCTGTCAAGTAAAAGGTGCATTGCATTCCTTAACCTATGCAGAAATTCTTCTTCGTCGATAACAAGATCTGAAGTTACGATATTCTCTTCATCGGTTGACGAGATCACCTGTTTGTTATCCTTTTGTTGATGTTTAGTCCATAACTCAGGATCATAAATTTTTGGCTTCCAACCAGGAGCATTAGTCGGAGCATCCAAATAAGCCAACACATCATCAACATTGAAATTAATAATCTCCTTAGTTAAATTATTCAAATTCAATAAGGTAATAGAAAATCCTGGCGAGTTGAACGAGGTCACAAAGTCACTGACGTAAATACGTTTGGGTCTTTTGCTCAAGGGCAAGTTTTCGATCACGTGCTGGGTTATGGCATATAATTCAAATGATGATGTCCCTCCAATATTATTGATCAATAAAACGTATTCATCACCCAAGGCAAACTCAACATAATGACGATCTTTGTCCTCAGGAGATAACAATTTCTCAAACATACCTCTGATAAGCTCGTCGATATTTGGGATTGGAGAAATTTTGGTTCCAGGTTCATTGTGAATACCCAATCCCAATTCTGCTTCATCTTCGTTGTTAAACTCGATATCCTGTTCACCTCTTCCAGGTACAGAAGTACGATCTAAACTGGCAGACAAAGTAACCATATTCTTATTAATTGCATTTCCTAAGTCTGCAACATCCTTCAAGTCACCACCCTTATCAGAATTCACAGCTGCCCCTAATATTTTGTGAACCAAGGCAGTACCAGCCAATCCTCTCCTTCCAACCATCTTGTTTTGTGCCCTGCCAACTGCTACATCATCGCTGACAGTTACCATTTCAATCTTGTATCCCTCACTCTTTGCCCTTTCAGCAACTAAACCAAAGTGTAATATATCACCAGTATAGTTCTTCACGACCATGATTGTACCCTTTTCTTTGTCAGATTTCGCTTTGATTGCGCTCATAATTTGCTTCGTTGAGGGTGATGCAAAAACTGATCCACTAACTGCTGCATCAAGCAAATTGTCACCAACATAACCGGCATGTAAAGGTTCATGTCCTGCACCACCACCACTTATCAACGTAATCTTTTTTGAGGTATCTGAATGTGGATTGAAGACGACCTTTTCACTTTCAATTAACAGTACTGCGGGATTGGAATTGACCAACCCTTTCAATTGAGTGACGACGATATCTTCACCCTTGTTGTATTTCCAGTGTTTTAATAAGGTCATTACTAGTTAACCGATAATGTAGAGTACTCTGAAGAGGAATTGAAATCAAAGAGACAAAGCAAGCACTTCAAACAGTGATTTAAACTTCCAAGGGATAGGTCTCGGGATTGCTTTGATTTAAATGTCCGCGCACGACCACGTCAATTTTTACTATGACATCATCCGATGGTGTGTGTCAACATACACAAAATTTCGAGTATTTTATTTCATCGATTGCTTCTGTGGTGAACGTGTCAAACGGAATAATCAAAGCAACCGTATTCCGCCACTTCACTGTAGTTCACGGGTCCCCGTGATGATGATGACATAGCGAAGAAAGTGGGGAATTCGGAAAACGAATAGCGAATCTTGATTTCCTAATTTGGACATGCGCTTGAGCGGCACCGAACTTTTGTACCGAATTCCACGACTTTCAGCCTTGGCATAAATAGATAACAAGATCCGATTCTTTACTACTCGAAACATGATGACTACTAAAGTCTAAGTATTGACGATGTCAGTAATGAATTCAGCAAAGAAATCAAAAGCAGAGTTGAAGCGTGGTTATAGTCGAGGTGGATGTCGTGAATGCAAAAGAAGGAAGATAAAGTGTGACGAAACTAAACCTTCTTGTCAACAATGTACCAGATTGCAAAAAGAATGTGCTTATCCTAAAGAAGGAGAGAAAGTGTTACGAGTTTCAAAGAAGATTCTTGCTACAAATCCAAATCCAGTGGTGCCGACCCCTCCGAAACCATTTACTATCCAATTATATCTGGGTCCTAACGATTTTGCCAAAGGTCGAACCAAGAAAAAGATCAAGAAAGTAAAGGTTGAACCCGGACCCTTAATTAATTTACAAGCCCCGTCAAATGAAGATCCGAAACCAGAAATTAATCGACCATCATCAATTATTAATCTATTGAATTCCAGTCCACATATCAATATTAGGAAGGTGTCTGAGCCTGCTGGGAACGATGGGTTTTTTGGTAGTCCAACAAGCACAGGGAGTATAAGTCATGTAAGTCCCTCTTCAATGGTATTGGGAGATGTCTACAACGATGATGACTTAAACTTAATTGCCTTGGATTTGAATAATATTGTCAATGATATAATATTTACGTCCAACATGAACTTTCCAAATCATGATGTCAATGACCCCAATTTTATATTCAATCCTTTCCTAGTTCAGGGAGCATCAGAAGCCTTTACCCAAGCAAACAAAGATGATATACCTAAGCATATCCCACTTGATTACATCAAACTAAACACTGACAAGGAAAGAGGTTACTTGGAAAACTTTTACTTTATTTTTTCAATGCAGATATTGCCATTTGGTGCCTATGACAAGACGACAGGGTTATATTCAAATCCATTAAGAGATATCATACTAAAATATGCATCGAAGGAACCATTTCTATTGTCAGCTGTATTATCGCAAGGAGCCAAGATTGCTCATGAAAAGACAAACGATGTGCAAGATTATGACGCCTATGGGTCTTATTTGTCAACATGTCTTAGACTATTAGGCCCAGCATTAACTAGGAACAGAGAAAAGAAAGTGAAGGATGACTTGACTTCAAATATTGAGAGTATTTTAATTACTGTGCTATTGTTGACTTCGTCCAATGCATGTACTGCAAAGCAAAGTTGGAGACCGCATTTAAAAGGGGCTAAAGATATTTTAATAAAGGCAACAAATAGTAGGATCCGACTGTCCAAGACATTAATTTTATGTAGAATTTGGTTTGCCGACTTTGAAATACTAGCTGGTCAGAGTTCTCATCTCGGAGGAACGTTGAAACTTGATAGTGAGCTAGATTCGGTTATAAACTTTACAGATGAATATGAGATTTCAGTATTGAAAGATTTCAATATAATCCAAGACAATAATTATAGTATTATGTTTGGTTATAATACTAACTGTGTACATATTTTCCGAGATCTTTCCAAGATCCTAAACAGAAGAAGAGAAGAAGGCGAAGATTTCAAGCCACTGGATTCTTTGGAATATATTAGATTGTTAAGCGGTTTCTACAACGAGTACAACATTACGTATATTGATAGAAGTTGCTATCCTGTCAATGCTACTCCAACAGCAATCAATGAAACACATAATTTAATCGATACCATATATACAACTAAGGGAAATATCACCGTTAGTTGGATGGACTTGACCCAACAAGCATATTCGTTAGCAGGTTTGATTACAGTATTTACTCAGGTCTTACTAGATTCACCGGACTTACCACACATAAAGGATTTAAATCAAAGGCTAGTCTCGTTGATATCAGTCTTTGAGAAATCCAAAGATCACAGTAAGATGGTTTTCCCATTCGGATTCCTGATGATCCAATGGCCAATGTCAGTTGCAGGTATGAATTGTACTGAAGAAGATCAGAAGAGTATTATCGAAGGATACTTTAAGATATGTGCTAGCATGAACTCAAGTAGTGCAGAAATTGCTATCAAACGAATAAAGAAAGTTTGGGAGCTGAGAGAGAGAGGCGAAGAGTACTTGGATGATGATGACGATGATGAAGTAAATAAGATAGATATCGTAGCCTACTAAGTAAATCTCTTTATTATAGTGTCAATTTTCCTCGCGCAGAAATGCAATTTCTGGAATTTTGTAATTACGTAATCCATTTCGGCAAGTACTTCCTTTTTAGAAAAATTTGGAATGACCATCTTTTCGCAAATACAAAGCCATCACTTGATTTAAAGCTGGACAAACAGAAGCAACCATCATTACTATAGCTCAGTTAGTCGTTATGGCTAGTATAGACGTCAGGAAGTCCCCTTCAATAGAGGTGAAAGAAGACTCACCAAGCTCCAAAATTAAGAGATCAAAGACATTCACTGGATGCTTCACTTGCCGTTCTAGAAAAATTAGATGTGATTTAACCACACCAGCTTGCAAGAAATGTACAAGAGCAGGGTTAATATGTGCAGGATACGATATCAAGTTAAGGTGGTCATTACCCATTGAATTCAATAGTAAAAATGGAAGTGCAATTTCCAAGCTGGTTGTCTTCAAACGTAAACAAGCAACAAATGATTCCGATGAGGAAGAACAAGGAAATGCAGATTACTTTCAGAGAAGGCATGTTGGATTTGTCACCTGGGATGAAAAGAAGAATTGTAAACCTTATGAAACTTATGAAGAAATGGATCGAGATCTTGGGATATTACACAATTCTGGAAATGATCGATTAGTCAACCAAGCAGGGAAAACGAAACTATTAGGACCTTTCGGTGTATTTAAGGGTTCAAAAGCAAAGATGAAGAAACAAACTGATAGCTCTGATAAAAAGGCCACAAAGAGAGAAAACGATAACCCTGACAAAGATGCTGTGAAGAGAGTCAAGCCTACTATCCCCGCTAGATACGTAGATGCAAGTTCTTCCTCACACAACAATACCATCAATTACGCAGTACCAATCAACAAGCCTCCACTTTCTACGTCCGTATCAACAACTCCTTCATCCATTAGTGGTTATGACAACACTGCTCCTCATGATCAATTTTGGTTGTCGACCGAGTTGCGAGATGATGCCATGTTGACAGCAGCTGCATTGGACAATCAATTTTTGGATTTGATGAATAATTTCACACCTGGAAGTGCACTTCCAAGTGGAGTAGTAACTCCTAGACATAAGAGCAATTATAATGCAGCGTTTAATTTCAATAATCCGAATGATATATTAAACTTGGTATTTCATAGGACACACAACTTCAATGCTCCTCCGCACGTGAATGCTCAACATCCAACACAACTGGCGATCCCTGCTTCTAATATGCTTAATATGTCAGCTGCATCCAATACAGCGATAGATCCAACAAATCAGCACTTGTATTATTCCAATTATAATAACTATTATTACAACAATCCATACTCATCCAATGAAACGTTGCAAATTCATCTACATGCATCAATGCAAAACGATGAAGAAGACTCCACTGATCTAGTAGAGGGTGACCATCAGAACGCTACTAGAATGCCAGCATCCATTATGAATATAGTTGAGAGTCCATTGAAATTGGGTATTGATTTATCGTTGCCTAGTAATTCCTCAAAATCTCCAAAAGTGGATATTCCAACTACTGCATTGCAGATACAACCATTAACAAGATATTTGTTAAACTATTATGTCAATGAAGTTGCAGATTTAATGACTGTGATTCCATTAACAGAGAATCCATGGAAAGCGATATATTTCCCAAGAGCATTGATGGCTATCGGTGAGCTACTGGCGTTGGGGAAGACATCAACAGCGAAGAATGCATTGTTGAATGCGCTTTTGGCTGTATCGGCCTTTAATTTACAATCCAAGTTTCCCAAGAATTCAGAACCTATGAAGTATTATTTAAATTTAGGAATTGCATTAAGAAATCAAGCAAGTTTGTTTGTGAAACAGTTATTAAATTCCAAAAGTGATACCCAATCGGGTATTGAATACTGCATTTCTCATGAGAAATATAAAGATGTTTTATGTGCAGTTATGACTATGATCAGTGTCGATTTGGTATGGGGTACAATGCAAGATACCGGAGTATACATTGCTTGGTGTGGAAAAGTTATTCTTGCCAAAATGGCCAATAAGAAGAAGTTATCATCAAAGGCAAGAATTCTTCATCGAATTTTCCTGTCTATGAAATTAATTCAAGATTCAACTTGTTTAGATATTGAAAGTATCAAAGATGACTTTGAATCGAATTTGGGAAGTGGCTATGATGTTAACGGTGATAAGTTTGGCAACACAAGTGCACCTGTAGATAAAATTGGCAAAGCAAGAATTGACTTTATAGTCAACAATACATTTAGTGGGAAGACAACTACAAAGACTGCGTCTCCGTCATTTGTTAATAAGAAGTTAATTAATACCAAGAAAAACGACGAAAATTTTGCAACCGATGCTTTGTATGGGCTACCAAATTCCTTGATTTTATTGTTTAGTGATACTGTGGAGTTATTGAGAACCAAAATATATCACAAAGGCACACACAAAGAATTGCCGCCTAATTTTAAAAATAGAATTGAAGAATTGAATTCGAAGTTATTGAATTGGAAACTCGATTGGGAATTATTTGAAACAGAAAACGACGATTCGAATGATCTTGCAGAAGTTGACAATGATCTTGACGATGTGCACATGAGAAATGTAGAAATTGAACTTCGAAAAGATGCAAAGAAGAAATTTTATTCTCCTATGCATGAAGCTACATATCATCATATTATGTCTTTCTATCATGCTTTGGTGATATACTTTGCTAGATTAATTAAGGAAATGCCACCCGATAAATTACAAACGAAGGTGGCAAAGACCCTAAATCATTTGAATTCAATCCAAAAACTAATTGCAAAAGATGAGGCTTCAATGATTCCATTATTTTGGCAAGGTTTCATTGCTGGATGCGAAGCGATTTCAATTAATTTGCAAATGGGATTTAAGAAATGGGGTGCTGATATTGCACAATATCTAGGAAGTTATTGGGGTGCTAGACAAATCATGCTAGAAGTTTGGAGACGAAAAAGGATGAATGAGCCGAGGGATGATTGGGTGAGCGTGGTGCAAGATTGGGAGATGAACTTAATGTTAAATTAGATGTATGTATATAGAAATTAATTAATTGTAACAATATAATTTCATATTCTCGTGTGTGATTGTAACAATATAATTTCATATTCTCGTATATGTCTGGGATCATTTCATTGCCCAATGTGTAAGTCCGCCCTAGCTTTTCCTTCCAAATATATCGAGTTTTGTACCTCTTTCAGTCTTTATTGTTTTAATGTAAATGGATCAATGACGCGTCGTGCATGTGCGTCAGGTAACCTACAAAAAAAGATCGCAATGTATAAAATAAAAATATTTACGCGTGTTTTGAACAAAAATAATTTATTTTGTGATTCATTTCCGAACTGAGTACAAACTGAACAATAGAAATAGCCGATGTGTATTTCACGATAAAAATTTGTTTGTTTATTTGTTTTGAATTTGTAAAAGGAGTAGTACAAAATAAAAACAACAATTAAGGCTTTCACTTGTGCCAATTGATTGTGTCATAGTAATGTTTTAGGGGTAAATGTACACCAAAGCAAATTTTTCGTGTGGGCCATTGTGTCTTTCAATTGAATGAAATATTGCCGTAACACCAAATGGAATTCGGGAAGCAAAAAGACGATGACAAGAAAAGCATATAAATACTTGTAGAAAACCCTGTCAACTTTAAAAAAAATTCTTGTTTCTTCTTTCTTCATCAAGTCAATTTAACTTAGTCTCTCGTTTATACCCACACAATTTACTTATATTTACAATGAAGTTCCAATTATTATCTACCGCCGCTTTAGTTGCTTCTGCTGCTGCTTTAAATGCCACCAACTCCTCCACCACTGTCACTGACTACTCCACCACCTTAGTCACTATCACCCACTGTTCAGAAAACATCTGTTCTCTCACCACCGCTGCCCAAACAGTTGTTACCACCACCGTTGAAGGTATTGAAACTCTCTACACTACCTACTGTCCATTAACTGCTGAAGAAGCTAGTACCAGTGTCCCTGCTACCAGTGTCCCTGTCGCCAATACCACTCAAGCCATCATCACTCCAGTTTCTTCCGTCTCTGAAGAAGGTGAAGAAACCGTTACTGTCCAATCTACCATTTTCACCAGTTTACTCAACTCAACCAGTGCTGCTGCTCCAACTTCTGCCCCAGCTGCTACTACCTTTGAAGGTGCTGGTATGGGTCAACAAGCCGCTGTTGGTTTAGCTGCTGTTGCCGGTTTAGCCGCTATCTTATTATAAGCAATTTAACATCTATAGATTCAATTTTATTAGCTGTTTAATTTCTTATTCGGTTTCATTAGGTTTAATTTTTCGTTTTTAGATAGGGTTTTATAAAAATGTATTACATTTAATTTTTTTCAATCAACGTTTATTTGTAAATCTAGCTTTATTTCTTTAGTTTGACATGATCTGGAACGTGCCGTCACCGTTGACACTACAACAAGATCTGACATAACATCGTCTTGCAGTTATTGACATTACTTCGTCTTGCAGATATTGAACAGACAACCGGAAATTACAAACTCTAAATTTCAAGTAAAGTTTATGTTTATTAATGATTACGCTACCTAAGATATATATCAATTGTCTTTTAAAGGGCTATTCAGGAACTCTGAATCGTAACTGTTGTCCCTCGGAGTATATGTAATTCAACGTATTCTCAAATTCACCAACTGCAGTTACTTCCAAATACTTCTTATACAACAACAATGCGGTGTATGCATCCTCAATAGAATCATGATTATTAGTTTGAACCTTTTCTTTCAACATCACATATGCCAAGAATTTCAAACTCAATTTACGTTTAAAATCACTCTTGTAGAAATATTCGGCAGTATCCCTAATTTGATCTGATGGAACTTGTAAGTTAATACATCTAAAATCATTATATAATCCATGCCCAACAAATACAACACCCAAATTTACCAACAACCAAAGTTTTCTATATGTAGTTTGTAACGTTACCAAATTCTTAGATGATTTGGTTGGATCCAAATCATTTTCTTCAATTCCAGAAAAGTTTGTCAAATAATCATAAATGTCCGCAGTATGTACGATATAATCATCTATGAATGCTTTCCCTTGCTTGGGTCCATTATCTCCTCTCAATACCGAGATTCTAGCTAACGAGAGTTGTTTAGGAGTGATTAATTTCTTGGATCCATCATAACGAACTTCTAATTCTTCCGGTTTCAAACTCACAAATTCGGCATCTATAGCCACCAAAGTTCCATGACTAGGTGCTTCCTCACGGGTCAATAATTCATATTCTTTCTTATATCCTTCTCGAATTGCACCTGCAAAATGATCACGATAAAGTATATTTGAATTCAAATTAGGTAAATTATTAAATGTATCCCTTTGGAAATATTCAAATGGAACTTCTGTAACTGAACTTTCTTGATACATGATAATAACTGGTTTTTTCCAAGGATAAGTTAAATTAAACACTTCTTCTTCTGGAATCGGCATGACCAAGAAATCATTAAATAAATACCACTGATCGTTCATCTTGACATAAGTGACTAAACCATGTACTCCTCTTTCCAAGTCTGATTTGTCACTGATTTCACATACATATCCCAATAAGTCATACTTAAGTGAAAATTTGTCAAACTGACTAATCATTGGTTTTAAACTGATCTTATTCACGGCTATTCCATTGGTTTGAACCATTTGATTGATGGCATAGAATTCTGGAACGAGCCATTTTTTGAATCCATTTATGAATTTAAATTCTTGATTTGAAAGATTTACATTCAATACCAACAATGGTGGTAGATTGCTTATCAATGTTTTAATTTCTAAATTATGTGGATATGCGTGTTGATGTTGTTGACATGGGATGGTTTTGAATTGATTCATGGAATATTCCAAATAGGTTAAGATATTTAAATTCTTTCTGATATTTGCCATAGTCGGAGGTGGTGGTGGTTGAGTATTCAATGCGGGATTGATTAGAATACTCATCTTCGTTAACATATTACTAGGAGGAGTGACTAAGTCCAAACTAAACATCGATCCATACTTCTTATCAAATATAGGACAAGAATGAGCATTGCCTCGGATTTCAATTTCATAATTTATTTGCATAAATTTACCTAAGGAATCATTTGATTGGATATGTAAATCTTGATTTATTTGATTAAGTAAGAAATTATTAAAGCTGATAATTAAATTTCTAACCTCTTGTGAATTCAAATTCTTCATATCATTGCAATTAATCAAATTTTGTATATTCGCTTCTTGATTATGATTCATAACTTGTGAAAAATTATAGATCTTAACGTTGTTATCCTTTGCTTTGTGCATCATATCGAATAAATATCCTAACTCAGTCAATATGGAAGACCCTTCTGGATTTTTTCTAGTCAAGATGGTTTCGATATCATTGGGTAACCATTCATTCAATAAATTGTTTGCGATTTTGTTAAAGAATAAAGGTTGGAATCGATATAATTGCAATAATGAATTTATATATGAATTGTCAGTATGATTCTCCAATCCACAATACAACCCTTCAGTTTTATTATAATAATTGAAATCAAAATCCCTTACCCCAAATCGAGAATATTGAATTTGTAACCTTGAATAACAATTCGGCACTCTTGCAGGAGATGTATTCTTAAATTGGAATATACTTTCATCAACCACTTGTGATTCAGCATCCTGATTTTCTTCGTCATTTCCATTCTTTCGCTCACTTATAAACTTCGGCAATTGTGAATTCTTGTCATTCAAAGATTCAAATTTCTTCACTATATTTCGAGGTCCATATTTTGCCTTGTCATACCTAATAAATCTGCCTGGATTCTTCTCACATTCGATAATTAAATCAATATCTATCTTTTCTGGTACCCTAGCTAACTCTTTGGTAAACTTCAAATCTGAGGCATAGTTCGATAACAAAAGATCCTTATAATATGGCATACCTATACAAGACAAGGGAACAATATCATCAACGCCAATCTTATCCACAATTGGAGTCTCAATGACATCTGGTTGATCGATCGGTTTGGGGAAATTCACAAAATCTTTGCTACTTGTTCCCGTATTGGTTATGGACCATAAATGCATATTGGAATAACTATCATTAAACAATAAGAAATCTCCATTATCACTAATTTCAAGATTGGACAATTGTGGAGGTTTATTACCTTGATTGGGTCCCGTTGGTGATAAATCAGCTTGATATAAGTATACATTGGTCTGATCAAAAATATCAACAAATTGAATTTGACCTGTGTTGGAAGATATTATGACAATATTAGGTAATTTTGGATGAAAACGGACAGAGGTTGCCCCAGCTGGGAATGGAACTGGTGCAATTGCTCTCATTATTCTTGTATCATAGATATTAACCAATGGGTCTACCATATAATCATTCGTTTGAGCACCCATTTGATGCTGATGGTGATGATACCTCTTAGGTCTGACGGAATATCCACATGTGGCGATATAATGTCCTCTAACGTCCATATCAGATATAAATCCATTATGTGAATTGAATGTCTTTACTGATGAATTTGAGATTGGGTCGAATAACTCCAATGATCCATTATTTCTACCAAGTGTTAATAATTTCGATGAATTATTTATCAAAGAAATACCACCATCGTGATTGAAAGATGATAGTATGTTTGATTTATTCAAGTCTAATTTCAATAATGATAAGTTTGCTCCTAAAACAACGTCATTTAATGAATTACAATTGTATGTCATAGTATTTAAATTACTGAATAAATCTCCATTTTCGGTGAATGAATCAGCAGAAATGTCCAATTTTGGTATACCACGTCTATGAGAGAAATTCAAATGGTTTTTCAGTAAGGATAAAATTCCATCTCTATGTGATAAATGTTGAATAACAGGCGTTCTCTTAGGAGCTGTTGTGAACTTTGTATAAGGAAATAATTGTAAATTGGTTTGATAAGGATTTAATGATCCTGAACTTGTAGAACTGGTAAATGAACGAGTACATCCATTGGCATCACCACACCAAATTAAGTTTTGACTATTATCGAAGTGTAGTGAGGTAACATTGGGTGCATCTACCAATGGGCCACCATTAGACCATGAAGTGACTGGTATTCGCGATATTTCACTCCAACTATCCATATTTATCTATTATATTATGTACCTATCTCTATTTATTAATTCCACTGCTTCCGCTTCTTCTTCTTCCTGTTCTTTTAGTACTTCTATTATAGTTCCCTCTTGGATGTAATTGTTATCGTTTGATTGATTGTAATATTTAGCCCTCTTTAACTACGAACTAAGAAACGGTCTTTTATTCATTCCATCAATTTTCCAATTGTCAAATTTCAGCAACCAACAGAACAAACCAGCAGAAGTTTTTTTTTAGGCTTCTTGTGTTGCGCCGCAGACGTGAGACTTATATGCAGGAATTTGGATCATTCAAGAGCCAAGGACATATTAAGTGCTCTTCCAAGGAACAATTACAGTAGCAAAGAATAATGACGTAAGAACAATTCAACCTAAAAGGCAAAAGGGAATGAACCGAGAACTTCGCAGAACTAATCCCCGAAATTTGGGGTAAAACAATGCGGGAGAAAGGAAATGTAAACAAATGCCATGTGGGATTCCATTCTAAGAGATGTAGACGCTATCCCTTTGGACTAACCCCCTGTTTCCCCGTTGAAAAGGAACAATTCCTTAATGTGTTATATCACGTGTACAGAGAAACCGCTTTCTTCCGGAACTTTATAAAGAGCCGCAACCATAATATTTCCTCGGAGATCATTTTTGGCAAAAAGAGAAAAAAAAATGAGTGACGGAATTTACCTCCTCCACTCCACCGCCACGTTGCTTTTTTTAACTCTTTGCCAAAAGCAATAAACAGGAGGAATTTTATAAATAACTTTACGTGATTTGTTGACGACACGAATGTCGTTTCGGTGGTTTTAAATCAATGACCCAATAGTCATTATATATTCAGTGTGTAATATTTACAGTACTTACGTAATTAAGCAAAAGATTCGTGATATCCTGTATATAAAACCAAACGGTAGATAAGGATTGTCCCGAAGCTTTTTTGTGCAATATTTTATTAGTCACCGAAAACGTAAACACATAACCACAACCACCACAACTTCTTTTAGATTAGAAATATAAATAGATTTAAATATTTCTTATAAACTTTGATCAATTCTTGCTTTATTCTTCTTCCTTCCTTTCCTTCTATTTTTTTATATTATTCTGTTTGTTTAACTCAAGATCATTCTTGACACAAATCTTTCACTACTACTATACAACAGGTAACAGATCAATACTTGGGGCTGCTGCTTATCTTTTAGATTTTTTTTGCCGCCAATTTAATAATAGTTTACCACCACTTTTTATAAACATTCATTTAAATATATATACTAGTCCAACAATGTTCAAACAATCCTTTGCTTCATACTTGATTCCTCAATGGTTCAAAAGATCACCAACAACAGAATCATCTCCACTTACCGCTGGCGCATCAAACGCGCCTATTCCCAAGAGTTTTACTATCTCCAATCCGGATAATAAATTGATTAGTATCTCCATGAAAGAGCACAACAATGATGATTTGGATTTTATTGACATTCAAAGTAAAGAATTAAGTTATGCCGAAGTTGCTAGCTTGGCTAAGAACAAAAAGCAAACCACGTTGAAACAGAAGACTAATTTACCAAGCCCAGGTAGAACTACCACTAATCAATTCAATGCCTTGAATACAGACGTTAATGATGAATTATTAGATGACCATGAAACTAATGAAGATACGACTCTTAAATCTGATTACGAATATCAAAAGAGTAGAAACTTTAGATCTAAACAATTTGAAACTGTTCAAAAGAAAAAACAAAGAAATGCTGATTATAAAGCTAAAATGAAACAAGAGGCTTCTAGTTGATAGATAAAAATACTCGTGTTATTACTTCTTAGTAGTGTTTTTATTTATTAGAGAAAGTGGTGGAACTCCCTTCTACGTTATATAATACTTAGTCTATTAACCATTTCTATGTCAATTTTATTAGTAGCTGATCACTTATTTTTTAGATTTTTAATGGAAGGATTTATTCTTGCTTATAATTCCAATGCAGCAATCTCTATGGTCTTCTTAGCCATGTTTTTATTGCTTATTCAAGTAATCATTGAGTATAAGCCCCCGCGTTTTTACCCCACGAAACACGTCGATCAAAAAAATAGAAATCAAACCCCACCAAAGAAAAAAATAAATGGAAGATTTCGGAACACACGTTTGCTAGTTTCTTTTTACAATCGAGATTTCACTTAACATGAAGTTCATTATTGTCTCTGATAAATGGGCTAGCGCTAAAGGAACACATTCCATGCAAACGTTAATATATATTTATATGAATAAATTATAAACCAATAGAAGTTAAACTACATAAAAAAATAAAATGAAAAATGTAATATAAACTTCTTTACTCTCATTTAAAATGAACGAAAGTAATTATATGGATTCTTATCTCCATGACAATCCAAATATTCTTCCTTCGTAATACATTCAACAATTGGAGATCGACTAATATCAAACAACCTTACCGAATTCTCCAATTCCCATTCTCCAAAATGTAATACCCTCTTCTTTCTATGTTTATGTTTCTTCTTCCCCTTTTTTGATCTCTTTCTCAGCTTGTTAACAATTGAAACTTTCCTCGTTTGTACATTGGAGAATTCGGTAAGATATGGTGATATGAATATTTGTCCAATCTTCCCCGGTGGGACATTACATGAATAACTAATTCTCCAAGTCACTTCAGTAGTGAACTCTACCGTATTACTTAATCGATGATAATACCATATCAAGTCTAATGCTGATCCATAATCGACCCCAGTGGTTATATAATAGGTTGCACTCTGGGCGAATTCAAGTGATCCGCCTGCACCATATAATTGGTTCAAACAACTAGTTAATGGCACTCGAAACCGTTGTGAAGGTTTTGGAGTGTCTAAGAACTGGACTTCAATCCATTGACTAGGATATGGATTTCCTATTCGAAACTCGCCATCAAGTTCCGGTCGGTTTAGTTTTATGGTATTAAGAATGGTAGTATTAGTATCTTCAATTATGAAAATGTTATCGATGTTATCGAAATCAGATAGTGATATGTTGGAAATACTTCGAACGTTGATTATATTAAAATTGTTATCATCATCATTATCAAAATGCAGTTGTAGTCTCATTGGTATAATTTCAACATTACTATTGGCTAAGATCATCATTGTGAATAGGTATAGTAATTTTAGAATCATCTAAGGTTAACGCATTAATGCTGCCTCCTTCGTTTTAGAAGTCCGTCCTCTTTGTATGCTAGTTTTTGTTAAGTGTAATTGGTCAAGATTTTAAGCTCAAAATCTTTAATGTTTATCTAAGTATGTCTGTTGTAGTAATAAATGAAAGTAATTATAGATAATCATAGATGGATTTAAGTTCAAATCAGTTGCCTTCGAAAGGAATAAAATTAAGATCACCACCATATGTATGCACTAGGAATTATAAATGCGGGGCGGGCAAAAAAAATGGCTGCGAAAAAATCAAAAATTTAAAAATTGATACGCAACACATATCAAAGAAAATCGACCCTTGCGTACCATATCTCAATACATTGATAGGGGTCTGCCTTATGGAAGAGTAGAGATGTGTGGCTTTGTAGTAAATGAGTCATTCCACTTAGCATATCTGATCCATATCTTGAGAATTTTGTACTGTAAAAATTGAGCCACAATTTTGAATAAAAATGCTGCAAAATATTGAAAATTTACCGAATCTAAGAATTTTGGTATTAAATAAACCATGCCGTCGATAATAATGAGAAATATAGTCCTTTCAATAGCTTAGAATAATTTCCCTTCGAGATCTAGTCGTATTCGAAACCTCCCCCGGTTTTGTGTTATATCCTGTTAGTAAGGGTGTATTAGAATACGACATTTTTAACAACCATAAGCTACAAACAAATCAAAAGCGCAAAATTTATCACTTGCCACAAGTTCAATGTCTACTTTATTATTTATGTAAGTCTACAGAAATCTAAAACTGGGGGCTTAAACCATGCATGGATATATCCCACAAACTGTGTTTGTGTTTTGAACCATATTTTGTTTGGATGAGGGAGTCAACTCTTTGTCTACTGAGAATGAAATTTCTAAGACAAACTAAAACGTCTTATTAATGTACATAAACTAACTATATTACATATGAGTAAAATCTATTCTTGAATCAACTTGGAATGTCAATTGGACTGTTATATTCATAAACGGCTGGTCTTCCAAGTAATTTTTCCCACCAAGTATTCACTTCTATAAGAGTTAATTTGCTTAAAAGAGCTGGAAATCTTTGATAACTTGAAAAAATAAACTTAATAGCTCCCCAGATTTCTCCCCAAACAAGCTTGAATTCTTGACTGAATGTTCTTTCGGATGGTTCCATTTGGGCAATTTCTTCCAATTCTTCTTTGAATGATTTTGCTTTTGGAACTTCGTTTTCTGTCTTTTCAGCAGCTGGTGAAGAATTAATTGGCGAACTTTGTGGAGTTGATTGTTGAGTAGGGAATTGTCCTGATACGAATGGGAACGCAAACCCGGTTTTAATATTTTGAATACTGTCATAATCGCCAGGTTGGGCAATTCCTTGAGCAACATCATTTAAATGTTGTAAATACATCTTTTTGAAATTATTGATAGATTGAATTGATTTAGATAAACGATCTAAGGTGTTAACTAATGCTACTATTTCAATTCTTCTAAATTTCAATTTATGTGCATTTACTGGATCTTCCGATTCGAATAAGATTTTAAGGGCGGTACCATAACCAATTGTTTGGATTTTGCCCCACATTCTACATCTATCACAACCAACACAATCCATAATTGCAGAAATGTTCTTGAATCTTGCTCTGAATTCATTCTTTAAGTTAGGATCAACACTTGGATCGAATAAAGTGGAAGTATTGAATACAATATTTGAAGCAATCGATGGAATAATATCGTCAAATAATAATGTATCATATACTTCATTTACATCAGTGTCATTATTGGAAACTAAATGTTGTTTTTGAGCTGGTGAAATATCATCATAACCAGAACGGATAAATTCTTTTAATGGTAAAATCTCTGATAATTTAACTAAAGATTGGGCAACCAAGGCATAATTGAAATAAATGTTTGATAATCTATCATTGAATTTCCCAACTCTTTCCATAAATACACTTAAGTTTGGATAAAACTCACCAGTTCGAGAACATAAGTATTCATTTGATAAATGAACAGCAATAGATGCATGCATCCCACTGACTAATCTATAAAACAAATTCTTCTCAGTACATTGCTCTTGTTCTTGCGCTTGTTCTCCGTTAAAGTTCATGGACATTGGATTGGTATTTGGGAAACAATTTTCAGAATAGATTGCTTTCCAAACATCAAAAGATTGATTACCACCATATCCAGTAAATCTTTCTGGATTATTTAATAAATTAACATAAACACATTCATGATTATCATCAATATGACAATAATCTAAATCTTCACAAGTTTCAACTTCTTCAGTTTCTATTGGATTTTCAATAGCAGTAACATCAGGTAATTTAATTTCTCCCAATTTTGAAGGTTTTAAATTTTCATTGGTAACTTGAGTCCAATTAAAATCTTCCAATACTTCAACAGCACAATTTTGAGTAGCACAGAAATGTTGAGCATTCCAGAATTTACATTGTTTATCAAGATCAATCTTGAAGTATCTAAAGTATGAAGTACGAACTAACGATTCAATATATGGTCTAATTTCTTTATTTAAATCATCAATATATGAGAATGTGGTGTTACAAGTGGTTGTTATTATTTGGGAACAAAAGTCTTCCGATCCAAATGGACTAAACTCTGTCTTTGGTAACGAATGCGTAGTTGCAGAGACAACAAGTAGTTGAACTATTAGAACTATGGAATGTAGTATAGTAAGTCTCATTCGGTACGTTTAATGTTTAATATTGGGAATTTTTTTTTTATTCTGATTAGCGAGATGATGTAATTTATTTTCTATCTTTCTACTTGGTGGACAACCTATGTTTATATACCGATTACTAATAAGTGTTACGTAACCGTTTATGAAGTGGCAAAAATGAACTGATCTTAAGCTGAATACACAATAAACAAGAAAGAAGGACACGTAACCAGAATTTTTCAGTCTAGAAAATTCTGTTTCTTTTTTTTGGCTGCAGTCAAAGCCGATCTAAGCGCCTTCCTTTGTTTCTTTTTTCTCGCACACGAGACGGTCCCACAGACCCTATTAGGGGTTAATTTATAGGAAGTCCCGAAGCTTTCGGAAACCCTTGATTCAGTGGAGACCCGGATTGAGCTTCCCACAAAAACAAGTCACACGCCCATCGTTGTCAAACAACCAACTTAACTCTCCGCTTCTATGCGTATCTTTTTGTACCTTACAACGGTTATGAAGATAACTCCAGTTCCGTTTTAGGAAATATCCCCGAGTCTAACTAATAAAAATCTCTAATTGTTTTCTACTATACATAACTGATCTATACAAAATACACATACAAACATTCTAATCGAATTTAATCTTCTTGGCAGTCTTGGTCATATCAACGTCTTTAAAGAAAGCACCATATGCACTATGGGTCTTCTTCTTAGTATGTCCACCAAATTTCAACAAATCTTCTGGAACTGGTTGATTAGCTCCTCTTAAAATATTACATAACCCACCACTCAAATGTTTTTCTTCTTCAGTGAACAAGGTATGAGCGATACCGGTTTGACCAGCTCTACCAGTTCTACCAATTCTATGAACATAATCTTCAACTGTTAATGGGAAAGTTAAATTAATGACAACTTTGACATTTGGAATATCTAATCCTCTGGCTGCAACATCAGTAGCTAATAATAAACTTGAATCACCGGTCTTGAATGAGTTTAAGGCCAGAGTTCTTTGTTGTTGAGATAAATCACCATGAATAGCTGCAACCTTATAATTATTTCTCTTTAATAACATTTCAATTCTTGATGCTTCTTTCTTATACAATGCAAACACCAATACTTTATCATTCTTCTTATCTCCAGATTGATATCTACGTAATAAGTTTAATAATATCTTTTCTTTATCAAATCTGTTAACAACTTCAACAATTTGGGTAATTCTTTTGTTTGCAGCCAATTCATCACGATCACCAATACTCACCTTAACTGGAGTTTTCATAAAAGTATTAGCCAATTCTCTAACTTCTTTTGGCCAAGTAGCAGTGAACATCAAAGTTTGTCTATTCTCAGCATGAGTATTACCAATAATAGATTTAATATCTTCTTCGAACCCCTTTTCTAACATTCTATCGGCTTCATCTAAAACCAAATAATCGATATTACTCAAGTTAACTGCTCCATCATTGATTAAATCCAATAATCTACCTGGAGTAGCAACAACAACATTAGCATTACGCAATTTCTTAACTTGATCATCTTTAGATACACCACCATAGATGGCAACACAATTAATTGAAGTTGCATTTGTTAATTCAACTAAATTGTCATAAATTTGTAATGCTAATTCTCTGGTTGGAGAGATACATAATACTCTTAATCCAGTCTTGTTTAACGTTATGATGTTGTTAATTGCTGGAACACCAAATGCAAAAGTCTTACCTGAACCAGTTTCAGCAACCCCAATGACATCTTTACCACTTAACAAGTATGGCCAAGCCACAGATTGAATAGGAGTTGGTTTTGGGAATTTGGAAATGATTTTTTGGATCTTAGGATCTATTTCCATTTGATCGAATGATAATAATGGACGAAGGTTTAAATTGTGAGGATCTTCAATGGTAACTTCATTGGTTGCCAAGAAGGAATCAACTTCGGATTGTGGTAAGGAAGTTAAGGTTTCTGATTGAGTATAACCTTGAGAAGATTGTGCATCACCGGTTATGGTTTTGGTTACATTGTTGTTCTTTCTCTTCTTTTCCTTTTTATCCTTCTTTTCTTTCTTCTCCTTCTTCTCTGTCTTTTCCTTCTTTTCCTTCTTTTCTTTCTTGTCCTTCTTGTCCTTCTTATCCTTCTTTTCCTTCTTGTCTGACTTACTCAATTTTATTTTCTTTTCAGGAGAAGTAGAGGTTTCTTCTTCGTTCTTTCTCTTCTTATCTTTGTTATCCTTAGCCATTTTATATGTATTTGTCGATCTTTATAAAGTCTTAGATACTTCTCTGAAAAGATTAAAAAATCTCCAGAATAATTTTTTTTTCAGTTAGCGAAGAGCTACACTTTCTTTTTTCTGCGATGGGGATGAGCCGCACCAAGTTTTGCAACCATATGGTTGAAGCAAGATGGTAAGCGACCAATAATGAATACTCTGACCAAATAGTATTACTGAATACTATACAGCTTTTAGAAACTTATCACAGAAAATGTTTGATATCTCATATACATACCAAAGAAATCAAGGGTAACTACAATCCGGGTGTAAAGCTAGATGTAATACAATACATTATGGTAACCAGGACATGTTCACTAACTGGGATTGCACTATACTTTTCCTAAATCTTTATACTTAGAACAAACTGACAGTTAGCTGACAAGTAATGGACTTCTTGTAAGGAGCGAAGGACCTAATGGCCCAAGACTGTTTGGAAACAGAGTAGTTTTGGCAGATCTGGCAAGGTTCAATAGGTTGTATTATATCTTCTAGACGATTAGGACAAGGTGTTAGCTTTTAGTATAATTCATGATAAAGACATGCCTGGTTATTGGTCACCCACATTGAATTGCATAGGTAAGCGATACGAGCTATCGTGTGTGGTACGAACAGACTCAAATTTACTGCGAAGACCGCTTTCAAATTGAGGGTGCGCGTAAACAACAGTACTAACAAAAATTGATCGATTAAATTTTTCATTAATAATTTTCCACTTTTGACCACGTCTTCAACAACAACACAATAAACGAACCAACAATTTTTTTTTACAACCACTCACCACCAACCACTACTACCTGAAAAAAAAATTACAGTCAACAATAATCAAACAATTAGAATTTTTAACTTTTTGATTTTTCTAATCAATCATCATCACAATACAATCATTTAAACCAATCAATGTCAGGTAGAAGAAGACATTATCCACAACCTCAATATGCAGCAGGTGGAGGAGCACCTTCTGCTTCCCCACCACAATTCCAACCTCAACAATTTCAACCTCAACAACAACAACCAGCTTATGGAGCAGCAGGTGCTGGATACGGAGTAGATCAAGTTCAACAACAATTTCAACAGCTTAATGTTAATGGTGCCCAAGCCGGTGCTGTTCCTGGAATGCAACAAGCTCCTTATCAATATCAACAACCGCAACAACCAGTCTCTCAACCAGGTCTTGGTCAACAACCATATGATCCTTATCATCAACCAGGAATACAACAACAGGCCCAACCTCAAGTTCAAGCTGGATATGGACAACCTGCAGCTGGTGTAGGGTATGGACAACCAAATAATCTTGGAGGTTCTTTACCTTTGAATCAATTATATACTACTGATTTATCTCGAGAATTACCACCACCAATCTCCGATTTATCATTACCACCTCCTCCTTTAGTATTACCAACTAATTCAAGTATAATCCCAGGTTCTGAAACTGCAAATGCATCCCCAGATTATTTCAGAAGTACATTAAATGTTATTCCTAATAATTCATCCGTTTTAAAGAAATCTAAATTACCTTTAGCATTGGTTGTAAAACCGTATAATGCATTAAAAGTTGAAGAAGAGAATATTCCAGTAACTTGTGATACCACTATTAGTAGATGTCGTCGTTGTCGTGGTTATATTAATCCTTTCATCTCATTGGCTGAGAATGGTAGACGTTGGAGATGTAATTTCTGTAATTTATTAAATGATATTCCAAGTTCTTTTGATTATGATGAAATAAGTGGAACAGTTAAAAATAAGTTTGATAGAGTTGAATTAAATCATTCAGTAGTTGAATTCATTGCTCCTAAAGAATATATGGCAAGAGCTCCACAACCAATTGTTTATACATTCATTATTGATGTTTCCGTTCATGCAGTTCAAAGTGGATTAACCGGAACCATTTCTAGAACCATTTTAGAAAGCTTAGATAGAATTCCAAATCAAAATAAAACTGCAAGAGTTGCTTTCATTGGGGTTGACTCTAGTTTACATTATTTCCGTTTTAATGAAGGTTTGGAAGGAACTGAAGTCATGGTTGTTACTGATATTGAAGAACCCTTCTTACCATCTCCATCCGGATTATTAGTCAATTTGGATGAAAATAGACAAGCTATTGATAAATTATTATTAGATTTCGCTACATTCTTTGAAGGTACTGCTAATCAAGGTTTTGCTTTAGGACCTGCACTTAAAGCTGGTCATAAATTGATCAGTAACATTGGTGGGAAATTAGTTTGTTTCGCTGCCACTTTACCAAATACTGGTGAAGGTAAATTAAGTGTAAGAGACGAAGCTAGTGTTTCTGGTAAACCAAAGGAAGCTAAAGCATTATTAAGTTCCGCTGATAGTTTCTATAAATCATTCGCTGTTACTTGTAATTCATCCCAAATTACCGTTGATTTATTCTTGACTTCATCAGCTTATCAAGATGTTGCCACCTTATCCAATTTACCAAGATATACTGCTGGTCAAACCCACTTTTATCCAGCTTGGTCCAGCGCTAAGGTTGAAGATATCAAGAAATTATCAAAAGAAATTGGCGATCATTTATCCCAAGATATTGCTCTTGAAGCCGTATTGAGAGTAAGAGGTTCCACTGGTATTAGAATGTCTTCATTCTTTGGTAATTTCTTCAATAGATCATCCGATTTATGTTCATTCCCAACATTCCCAAGAGATCAATCATATGTTATTGAAATGTCCCTTGAAGAAAACATCACCAAGCCTATTGTTTACTTCCAAGCTGCAGTCTTACATTCTACAGCATTTGGTGAAAGAAGAATTAGAGTTATGAATTTGGCTATTCCAACTTCTTCAAAATTAACCGATGTATATGCTTCTGCTGATCAATTAGCAATCACAAACTTCTTTACTCATAAGGCTATTGAAAAGGCATTAGCCACTTCATTACCTGAAGCTAGAGAATATTTGATTGCAAGAGTTGTGGATATTTTGAATGTTTACAAAAAAGAATTGGTTGCCGGTAATGTTTCTGGTGCATCTCCATTACAAATATCAACCAATTTAAGAATGTTACCATTACTTATGTTTACTTTAACCAAACATTTAGGTTTCAGAGCCGATAGAGTTCCATCTGACCATAGAGCTGCTGCGTTAAATAATTTAGGTTCAATGCCAATTCCACAATTGATCAAATCGATTTATCCTACTGTATTTTCCTTACATAATATGGGTGATGAATGTGGTTTACCAGGATCTAGATTGGACGAAGAAGGACAACCAATTGATGATAGTGAACCAGAGGTTGATTGTGTCATGCCATTGCCTATCAATGATTCTAAAGCTCAATGGGAAAACTATGGGTTGTATTTAATTGATAATGGAAGTGAATTGTTCTTATGGGTTTCAGGTCTTGTTGTACCTGGTTTAGTTCAAGATTTATTCGGGACTCAAAACTTGTATGAAATCCCAACTGGTAAAACTGAATTACCTGAATTTACTTTTGAACAATCTGAATTCAATTATAGAGTTCGTCAAATTATTAATAAAGTTAGAGAACAAAATGATTCTATTATTTGGAAGAATCTTTATGTTGTTGTAGGTGGATCATCTAATGAACCTATAGAAATTTCTCAACAACGTGATTTGATGGCTTTGAGAATGTGGGCTTCAAGTTGTTTGGTGGAAGATAAGAGTGGTAGTGAACCTTCTTATAGAGATTTCTTGACTTCATTGAAATCAAAAGTTAGTCAATAAAGTAATTAGTCTATAGTTCGTCGTCGTTATTTTTTATTTTTATATATAATTTATAAGTAAATACATTTTATAATATCAGGTCTAAAAGAAATTATTATCTACTTATTACCAATTAGAGATAATGCATCCAACATCAATTCTCGTTCATATTCAGAAGTGAATGTTTCCAGAATAGAATTGTTCAATCCTTCAAAATAGATTCTTAAGTTTTTGGCAATTGGTCCACCTCTGGCCATAGTAGCAGCAATATTCTTTTTGAATTTAAGTGCTAGCTTACTCCAAAAGATATCTGATAAAGAATTCTCTTTATAATATAACAAAATCTCCTTTAGAAATGATATCCTTTCATCTTCATTTTCTTTAAATACATGCCACACTGATAAAAGTTCTTCTAATTTATCAAAATATTCCTTGGCTCCTTCCTTGACTTCAGACATTATGGCAGTAAAATTTCTGGGTGATTGCAAAGCCCTTGAAAGTTGTCCACCAGCAGTATTGACTTGTCTGACGATAGTTGCCTTATCAAAAACATTAAAGAATTCTTTTTTGTTTAAAATATACAATGCCATTAAATTAGTTTGTAATTGTTGATTCTTTTCGTTAATTCCACTTTGATGATTAAATTCTTTGTTCAATATTTGACTACATTCCGAGATTAATGCTGCTCGCCTGGTAGTCTCAGTTGGTTGATAATCTCGAATCAATTTGATAGATAATATATTAACATCTTTACTCTTTTCCAATACGGCATTCTCATATAATTGTTTGATTTGTACATGTAATTTGGCCAACCTAACAAGATCTTTATTTCCCGATTCTTCTGCTGCATTTCTAGCACCTGGTTTTTGTAATTCCTCCAATTGTTGAATTAAAAATATGAAAAAACTGGCACTTCGTAAAAGATCTAAAGTTAAATGAATTCTCTTGAGTGCATTGTTTAATTTAACTGCTTCTTCATATGGTTCAATTATCTCTTGTTTAATTCTTTTAAAGGGAGCATTCACTTGTTCTACAGCTGGATTCATCCTATCAGTTAAAATCAGTTGTAATCCTTCGATTTTTGAAAAGTTCGCCACTAATGATTCATAATTGGATGAAGCAATTGAACTCATTCGTTTATCACATTCATCAATATCGAATCTTAATTTCTTGATTGGCGTGGCTAGATCTAATTCTGGATTATCGTTACCATTGGTAGCTAGTAATAATTCATTAGCAAATTGGAGTGGCTCGAAATCAGATTCGAGGAAAGCTTCAAAGTCTTCCAATTCATTCTTGAATTCTATATCATTATTATTCATTCTGTTGGCTGTGTCAGTGTATTAATTGTCGTGCTGGTGTTGATTTACAATAGTGGCATTTTTTTCACCCTATAAAAATTCCTCGGGCACTGCGCGTAGTATCAAATTCGTACCAGAAAAGTTACTGATGAACTCTCCTGTCAATTTCAAATGAGTCAACTTGGCCAGGGTTTAAGATAGCTAGGCATTTACTTACAATGTATTCGAATTCGAATTGTGTCACATTAAGATATATAGAGAGATGTCATTCTATTCAGTTCTGTACTTTGGTTTAGACGGAGCAGCTTGAGCGCTTGCAGAAGAAGCTGCGAGTTTCTTCTTATTCTTCTTTCCACCTCTTTTATGAAACATCTTCTTAATCAATTTCTTCTTCTCTTGTTCAAGCTTCTTTTCTAATTTCTTTCGTTCAATTCTACGTTCACGGCATTCAATCTTCGATGTCCGCTTCTTCTTCCCTGGTCTGAGCTTATTCTTTCGTATTTTATCTCGCTGTATTCGGCTTTCAATCTTTGCGTTATATTTCGTTAAATCAATACATTTCCAAGGTTGAGAGTCGATGGTTTTCACTTCAAGTTGCTTGTAGATATCATCACTCGTTATAGCACATATTTCAAATTGATGACGTTGTTCGTCGGTATAATTAGCAAAGTAGTACGACTCCGGTCTTTCCTGCTTGATTTCTTCTACTTCTTCTTCTTTAAGAGAAACCTTCATAGTTGCCGCTTTAGAAACTTCTTCAGTCTCTCCACCTGCTGTTGGTTTTCCTACTGCTCCCATGAAGAACAAAGGGAATTCAAACTCGTCATCTTCTTGCTTATCTTCTTTTACCTCTTTATGTTCGTGTTCTTCTTCTTCTATGCTTTCCTTCTCTTCTTCTGCGTTAGGTTCTGGGGTTTCTACGTCCACTTCAACAAACTCAAAATCGATATTGGGAGCAACGTATCCTATCGATTCCAGGTCGGATTCATATTCTGATTGTGAGTCATTATAAAGATGAGATCGGGAAATCCTAGAATCCAGTCGTTAGTACATCACATGCAAACAGTCATTATGTATAGAATACAAAACATACTTTTTCTCTGACATTGGTGGTTTATTGATGTCTTGTGGTACTTGCGATGATCATCAAAACCTCAAAGATTTTTTTCACCAGTTCAATTTCGCACTTATTATAAAACGCTTTATAAAATATAAAATAATACTCAATTAAAACTATGAACTGAAAAATAATGACATAAATAAAGTTACAAATATAAATATATACAGGTATTCTTACCATAAAGGACGAGAAGATACACTGACTGTCCTGATAATATCTTTTCTATAAGCCAAATGTGGAGGAATAAATTTATCAATGCTCTTGGCATCAATCACAATCTCCATATCACCATCTTGAACGAAATCATCACGATCTAAATCATCAAATGAACATAAAGAATCTAATAATACTTCAATACTCTTGGTTTGGAAATCGGACCAAATGGTATTGTAAACTAATGGGAAGTCTTCTTCTAACAAGCTGGAAGCATCGGTGAATTTTATGAAATGAATTAATAAATTTTGGAATTGTCCATGACCTTCTTTTCTCAATATATTCTGATTTCTTGTTGGATGCTTTGGATCCAATCCAACGAATTTGAAGAATAATTTCCAAATCTTTGATTTAACTTCATTGTCGGTAACCTTCAACGAAGCTGGATTTAACTTTTCATGAATCTTAGAAACTGGTGTACAAGTTAACAAAGCAACTTGTAAGTCAACAACATATCTCTCATTATCGATATTGAAGATATATAATGGGAGATATTTTTCGATTGTAGACTCGGTTGGGTTTGAATTGAATGTAACACTTCTTAAACCAATTGGATATTGCTCAATAGTTAACGAACGCTTCATAACTGCACGTTGTTCAAACAAAGCTTTAGCTTGTGCTTCAGCTTCTTTGGCTAATTTCAATCGTTCTTCTTCCTTCAATTTTGCAATTCTTCTTTCTTCTTCAAGACGTTTCTCTTCTTCTTCCTTCCTCTTCTGCTCTTTTTCCTTCTCGGACTTTAAAAACATTTCTCGTCTAGCCTTCTTCTTGGCTTCTACCTTTTCTTGCCAAATACGAGCCTCTTCTGCATTCTTCATCTTCATTTCAACTTGCGCTTTGGTTAATGGTAGTGGTGATATTGGAGCTGATTGCTTCTTTTCTGGAGCGCCAGCACTAGAACTACTGGATGGTGGTGGAGGAGTGGCACTCATGCCTCGAGGGATTTCTTCATCGATTTGTATTTCTTGTGGAGTTGGTTCCTCAAACATGGCACTTGAAAGACGTTTGATTACAGATTCTGATTTGATCTTCTTTAATTTTCTGTGTCGCATGGTGTCGTCGGAAGCCTCGCGTCGTCTCTTCTTTTCTTCATTGCTTTGCACTTTATTCAACTTCTGTTCTTTTGCTTCTGCGATCTCTTCTTCTTCGTTTTCTTCTTCTTCAGATACTTCCTTCTCTGATTCAGATTCCAACTCTACTTCCTGCTCCAGTTTAATCTCATAATCCTGAGCTTCATCTTCATCCACTTGAACCACGTGTTTCTCCTCCTCTTCTTCATCCTCAGAAACCGGCACAGAAGGAGCTCTTGAACTTGCTCTAGACGTAATTCTCGAAGCGACCTTCACAGCAAGAGTCTCGACCACTTTATTCCCACTCCTCTTCTCCATATACTTTTGAATAAGTGCAACTTCCTTAGGATCAAAATGTGCCGATCTTTGAGCAATTTCCAAAGCATTCAACCCATCTCTTTTCCTAGTTTTAAAAGGATCAGCATCTTTGGATAATAAAGATTCGACAACTTCAGAATGACCACGGCCAACACTGGCTAATAACGCCGTTACACCACATGGACTTTCGGTATCGATGTCATATGGCGTTGGATTTAATCCAAGGATAATATCGACCAATTCGGAATGTCCATTCCTGGCAGCTAATATTAAAATATCTGGTTTGGCTTGTAGATTATTCCCGGAAACGAAATAGTTTGCCGTTATTTCTTTAGCATTTTCCGCAGCATATTTATAGATCCCCTTTCTCTTTATCAAATCGGCAAAATATGTATCATTTGGATCCTCTACAACTCTGATAGGAACAGGCGATCCTGTTCTTGAAGATGATGCAGCTTTAGCTTGATGATGTTTATTGAATTTCGCAGTAGCTTCTTCCAAGACTTCAATAATCTCTTCATACCCTTCTTCGTCTGCATGTTCATTATAAACCTTCGTCAAGGCGGTAAACCCATCAATATTGAAAATATTTGGATTTGCTCCATTCTCTAATAAGACCTTCACAGTTTCAAGATGTTTATTCTCAGCAGCATCGATTAATGGAGTCTCACAATCACCTACTTCATCTGCTTTGGCATTCACATTTGCACCATTTTCAATCAAATATTTCACAATTTCAGTATGTCCTTCCAATGCAGCTTCATGAAGACACGTAAACCCACAGAAATCTTTCTCGTTTGCACTTGCACCTCTTGTAATATAGTCCTTAACATCGGCAAAATTACCTTTCTTACAAGCACGTTGTAGTAATGTTCTACCACCTGCATCTCTTTTGATTTTATATGGAGGTCTATTATGGTGTTTTCTTGGTTCTTCACTGGTTCCTCTTTGACTTCTGCTCAGTGGGGTACTTTCTCGGTTTTCTCCATCGCTTTCATCATCTTCTTCTGATTCTTCTTCGGAACTTTCAATAGTTGTACCTTTTCTCTTCAACTGATGTCTCTCTTCGTCATATTCCTTCTTCCTGATCAACTTTCTTCCTTTTTTGATTCTAGGTGGTGTATGATGAATAACAGTTTCTGCTTCAGAAAGTTCCACTATATCTACATCCTTCTCTACACTGGATTGCGTTTTTGAAAGTTCTATTTCTTTAGTTTCGGGAATTGCTTCTAATTCTTCAAGTTTAAAATCGTCATCTGATTCATCAATTGAGGATAATGCAGACATGTCAGCAAAAGATTCTGAACGAGTAGGTTTTGCTTCTTCTTCTTCTTTGGGTTCCTCGGTGTCAATTTCCATTTTGTTTTCGATAGGTTTCGCTTCCAGTTTCGTGTCTTCAATCTTCTCCATTACTTCTTCATCTTTTGTCTCAGTTTCCTTTTCTAAGAGAGAATCGTCATCTTTATCCACTTCCATTGGGCTTATGGATTCATTTTCCTCGTCTGTACTGGCCCTTAATATGTCTTGTTTCTCAATAGCTTCTTTCAATTCCTTCAGCTCAGTTGATTTATCCCCGTTGTCCGCGCCGAGCTTACTTTGATCTTCGTCCTTGGACGCTTTATCTTCTTGTTCATCCTTTTCTAGAATAGATTCACTTAATTTGCTTTCTTGTTCTTTCTCTTCGATTACTTCCTCAATTGCAGGTACTTTTTCATCCTTCTTCTCAGCTTCAGATTTCTCTTCAACTTCCACCAGCTTCTCTTTAGTTTCTTTATTTCTTTCCTTAGACGACTTTAAGTAATCGGCAAATGAAGTCTTCTTCGCCGTCAATTGTTTAGGTTCAGGTTTTATCTTTTCAATCTCTTCCTCTTTCTTTATAACTGGCTTCTCCTCGATTTCTTTCTTTCCAGGAATCACAACTGGGTTATTATTATTATCCCCAATCGATCCTCTTCTTGAATTATCACTAGCTGAACTTCTTCTCGACGTTTCATCACGAGATCCCGTTCTTGATTGTCCTGAATAATCCCAACTTGATTTCCTCGAATGCGGTATACTCGAATCACGATAAAATGCTGGACCTTTCTTATTCTCTGATTTCTCCTCTCGTGTTCTTGAAGGATAATATTGTTCACTAGGTTGTAATTTTGACGATCGACGATCATCTCGATACGTTGAACTCATTGTTGGTGTCATGGAAGATGGAGTTATAGTTGACGATTTACTTCTTCTATCATCATTATAATCTGTTCTAGATAATGATTCATTCCCGGTTCTTCTTTCGGTTTTATAATCCAATCGAACTGAATCTCCACTACCCCTTCGATCATCCTTATAATCTGCTCGAATTGATTCCGCACTGCGTCGATCGTCTTTATAATCGGAACGCAGTGAAGCTTCCCCACTTCGCCTTTCATACATTGGTGTTGACGTTGCTCCTCCTGCTGCTGATGTTCCTGATTCATAATTTCTCTTATTTGAACTTCCTATATTACCCCTCAGTGAATAATATTTATCTTGTTGATATTTAGGATAAGACTCATATCTATCCACGTTTGGTCTTCTTCTTGAAGCACTTCCATAATAGGTACTACTACTACTCGATCCATCACCAGTCTTAGGGCTTCTTTTACCTTCATTCGCACCTCGACTATAAAATTTATCACCACCACCATCCCCTGCCCCTTTCGTCGAATCGGAAAATTTCAGCACATATGGACCCGAACTTCCACTACCGTTACCACCTATATTCCCACTCTCATATCGTGATCTATAACTGCCACTGCCATAGAAATCTCGTCTGCTAGGATATGAAGAAGATGTTGGAGATGCACCACCAGCATTTCCGGAATTGGGATCTCGATCTCGTCCATGTCCTGCTGTGCCTATATATGTGCTTGATTTAGATGATTCTGTTGCGGATTGGTCTGGTTGTTGTTGTGATTGTGATTGTTGTTGGTGTTGTTGCTGGTCATATGGTTTCTTGTTGTATCGGGAGCTGTAATAGTTGTTACTCCTGTTATAGGACATCTTTTTAAAGATTGTATTGTATGAATCCTCGATGATTGATTATATTTGATTGATTGAGGATTACTATAGTGTCTCCTTTTGGATGTATTGAGTCTTTCTGTTTTAGAATAGAATATGACAACCAGCTTTTTTAATATTTTTTTTTTTTGGTTATTCTTTTTTTTAAAGATTTTTTCCCTTGCTCTGTTTCTCTCTCTTTCCCTTTCTTCTTTCTCGAAGAGAGAAAAAAAATTGTAATTTTACTTACATTTAAACTATTACTGCTTCTTACTGCAATCCTATCAATTAAACAACACTAGAGGGAAATGCTATAACGTCTTATCAAAGAGAGAATTGGAGTATCTTGTCTCGAATGGTTGTTTTCGCCCTGCGACCTCCAACAGACATCAACAGATTCTCGATTAAATTTTCTAGCCCAAAAAAAGTAGCACACACAATACAACGTCTATTTTTTACTTCCAAAAAATGAGATGGGCTTGCATCTTTCCAAGAACACAAAACCTAACCGAAGTACCGTCTAATATGAACCCCCCTCTTCATGCCCCCCCTTGATGATGTATATACCATTACATAAAAAATACATCAAAAAATACATGACAAGAATGAGTTTTCCCACCGTCATACAAAACTCAAATTGAACCGTCAATAATAACCGAAATGGGAATTCTTTATTATCTACACGATACGAATGAAATTTGATGAATTCCCATGAAACGAACTCAATTTTATAACAACCACCCAATGATGTACATACATTTCTTACTCCCATTGTCTGTTACTCCCTGCTTATCTAATCAATTGAGTTGAGTTGTGAAGTTTTTAGAAATGGGTATGAAAGTACCATGCAAAAAATGGGGGATCTCGCCTCTTACACGTCTCGAGTCGGCCGGCTGCCCCTTAAAGAAAAAAACAATAACCTGGGAAGAAAATAAATCAAACCTACAGATACGAAGTTAGATATAAACAATGACAACCATAAAATTACGAAAATGACAAGGAGGGGATTGTTGGTTGGGAATATGGAATTAGTCCTTGTTTGGGATATACGTTGGATGGTGTCATGTCAATTATTATTATTTATGTTTGTTTGAAACAGGCATGCAGTTTTATGTGATGAGAAGTGCTTTCGTAAAGTTTATTTAATTATATGAAACCGTAGATGAAACCAATTAAACTTCACAGGCAAAGGCAGATAAGTCTTAATTATTAGGGGAATTTGATTGAGTTCTATGAAGTAGTCTACAACGATTGGCAATTAGTATTGTGGGGAGAGCCCTTTTAGAGTTTTGCAGATTTTCAGAAATGAGAACAGCGTACTAACAAACATTTGGGGAGTCGTCATTCCTCCACAAGGAAATCTCTCTAAGCCTTACAATCAATCCAATCAATCTCTACAAAAACATCATCAGTTGTGTATTCTATTACACCATTATTTTTTAATTAAACTCTCTCTATATCAAAATATACATATGAACCCAATAAAATTCATCCATCCCATCCAAACTAAAAAATAATACATAACATAATAATAAACCCAAAAAAATAGCATAGTCTATCTCTATCTATAGATTCATAGCAGAAGGAGAATTCATCAACAAAGTAGAAGTCCTAACCTCTTTCTTCGTCAACGCATCTCCAAACTCCATCAACTCAAAAATCAAACTCATATTCGGACATATCCGATCACATCCCTCCACAAAATTCCCTTGTCGTTTAATCTCTCGACATATTTCATTATGACTACAATCATTATTAGTCCCAGTTTTTAATAATTCATAAGCCTCATTCACACCCAATTGAAATTTTCTCATAAAATACGCCACGACAACGCAAGCCGATCTCAGGACTCCACATTGACAATGAATGAGGATTTTCTTGCCTCGAGTGTAATATTCATCGATTTTCAGGGTTATGGTTGTCAAATCTCGTGAGATTGATGAGGTATGTAACCAAGGAATATATAAATATTCCCGTTGTCCCATAATATTGGGTCCATATAATTCAGATAAATTTTTACATTCTTTAGCTACGTTGATTATGAGATCATATTGTCGAATATCGAAATTTTTTGCAAATGAAGGATCGGAAAATAAATAGATTTGATTATTGAGAACATTCTTGGGTCCATTGGGATATGCATCTATTTGAGTTGATTCTTGTAATTCTTCTGGGATTTGAAATTTTTGGGAATTATAGGTTAGGTTACTGGTATTTATATTATCATTGCTAATTGAAATGTGTGATAAATTGGTTGCAATTCCATAGGGAGGTGACGTGTTATTATTATCGTTATTATTGCTGTTCCATGGGCTTTGTAATGTAGGTGGAGTATTTAATGGAGACATTCTATTGTTGTTATTGGCGAATGGTAATGCTGGTGGTGGTTTTATTTTATTACGATTCGGGGTATCATCAAGAGCCGACAGCGCTGGCGGGAATTGATATTGAAAACTTTCATCATTATGTTTTGTTGGATATGCAAATTGTAAAGCAGGCGGTAAATCCGGAGTATGAGTAACCTGGGGAGTTTTTAAAGCTCCATCATCCATAAATGTTTGACTTGCTATTGGTATTGTAGTTACTGCTTTATTTAGTTGTCTCTTTAATTGATCTCGTTGTGATATTGACATTGTTGGAGAATCAGGTATGGATATTGAAAGTGCTTTTTTCGGTGGTGGTGGTGGTAAATGACCAGTTTTATTTGGAGGTGAAGTAAATGAAGATGTTGATGATAATGACGATGAAGCAGAATGTAAATTTAAAGATAGATTTTTCATATTTCTATTCAGACTTAATGAACTTGCTTTTCGTGAATGTTTTGGGGAATAATTCATTAATCCTGAAGTTGGAGATGAACCAGTGCTACTACTGATATTACTTAGATTGTTGTTGTTGTTGTTATTATTGTTGTTGTCATTATCTAATTTAAACTCATTATGAAATTTAGATATTGGAGGTGGTTCTAAAGTATAATTATTATGTCCTTCATTTAGTGAATTTTGAGACATAGTATGAAGTGATGGAGTTCTATAATTGGAATCTGAATATAAAATACTATTAAGATTTTGTGTGTTACTGTTAAGGTTGAGTGGAGTAGTAGTTGTTGTTGTTGTAGTAGTATGAGTAGTTTGAGTAGTAGTAGGAGTAGCAGCTGTTGTTGTTAACATAAATGGACTTGTCATTCTAAAATGAATGAATGTATGTGTTTTAGAATAAATTTGTTAATTAATAATTGTCAAATAAAAAAAAAAAATAATTAATGAAAACTTGTAAACTTGTACGAAGAATATCTAATAAAAACTTTTATTTGTTATGATGTAATATGGATGATTATTTCTTTATTGTATGTTGTAAGGTATTACTAAGTAAAGTATAAGTGATTTCTAAAATGCAAAGTATATGTATATGCTATCGTAGTAGTAATCTCTATGTCTAAATGACTAAACAGGTAGTAGTAATAGTAGTAGTAAGTAATAAGTAATAAAGTAAAGTCAAGAAATTTTTTTAATTTTAACTGACACACTTCTTTCATTTAATATTTAAATTAAAAAAAACATTTTTAACTTTACTATAATGTAAATAAGTAAAGTAAAGTTAATTAATAGAAAATATTCATTTAAAACAATTGTTAACAATTTTATTAATTTTGTGTAATGTTTTATTTTACTACTACTCTTCTCTTTTAAATCCATTAACAATATCCAATCCAATTCATTATTATATTTGTTACCAATTCACACAAAATTATTTTAAATATCGGCTTAAAATATATTGCATATGATTTAAATCCGGTGTTTTATCCGTACCACTACTAGTAAACTCATTGACTTTAGAAAGATACACGTTAATCATTTAAACTATTCATCTTCTCCTCTTTTCTACTAACTTAAACTATTGTACATAGAAGTAGTTTATCTCTCACTTGTAACTAATTAAAGAATATACCACCAGCAAATATATCTTGATTACATAATCAGATAAATGTTTCTAATTTTAATTTTAATTTTTTTTATTTTTATTTTTTTTATTTTATTTCTTTTTTCTGTTTTGAATCTGTTGTGTTTTTTTTGTGCGACAATAAAACATCCAAACATGAAACATTCCCCTTTCAATCAAAAATATCACAATCTACAAAGCTGTTTAATTACCCATCTATATGTGGGGCGTAGCCATTTAATAAATTAATTAAGGTTAGTTTATTTTATTTAAACCCTTTCTCTTAAATATAAAACGGTTCAAACAACGATCTAGATATTGTTATGTCAACGCACAGTAAATGCTTTGTCAGCGTTTTTATAGCCTATGGCTCCATTCTAGATCATTTTGATCCTCGTTTCTACGCCTCTCTCTCTATCTGTTCCAAATATAAAACATTCCTGGTTCCAAAAACATTACACAAATGTGAATATTACAAATGACGTTCTACGCTGCAATGCAAAAGAATGTTCAATAGAAAATCACTAATTTATTGTTATGGCCACTTTGAAACCGTTTGTTATGCCCTGTCAAATAGCAATTCTAACTCTATATAAACAATATAGTTTCATTCCTATTTTAAACTCTTTAGTATCCCATCTATCTGATTGTTAAATTGCTTAAACACCAACACCTCCAGTTAACCTATTCGCTTACTTTTTCCCTGTCTTTTGGTTAACGAACATATATATTCGCTTGCTCATCGAAACATAACCCCGCTACCCCAGAAAATATTTTTGGCTGCAAAAAAAAAAAAAATAGGTCAAGCAACCCAAACCAAAATAGCTAACATAACCCCTTCCCGTATGCCGATACAAGATAGCAGCGACACCGAAAGTGTCGACGCTGAAGTTAAAGAGTTAATCTCCGGCAGAGAGGAATTAACTTTTGGACCCGATGTTTATATTTCCCAAACTGGTAGTAGTAGTAATCAATTTCGGAGTTTTGGTCAAACTCCAGTTGGAGTTATACCTCCCCCGGGTATACAACAACAATTTACTGGATTGACGAAATTATTTGATTCTCAGGGGAATGAATATTTATATCATCCAAATGGATATGTTACCCCCATTAGGAAATCTAATACGATAACTACTTCGATTAATAATAATAATAATGGGAGTGGTGAAAGGAAACCACAGAGGAGACAACACAGGAAAGTTTCTCCGTTTATTGATTTATCACCAATTTCATCAAATTCGCCCACAAAATTGAGAAAATATCAACGAGAGGTTTTTGAACGGATTCAATTTTTAGGTGATTTGGAAGTTAGTATTTCTGATCGATATAGTGTAGTTAATAATTTGTCACAATAATCCCAAAAGATATAATATCATTTTATACCTGAATACATAATAAAAAAATAAATAAATTACACATATAAATAAATAAAGACTAATCATCAGGGGGGCCAAACTCTCCTTCATAAATCGTCGCACCCGCTTTTCTTCTATTTTCAATTATTATACATTCATTCATTTCCAAAATATGACTTGCACTTGGTCTATCAAATGGATTTGGTTTTAACATCTTATTAACCAATTTATCCAAATTTATCAGATCGTCTCCTCCCACGCCAACCAAAAAATCTGGGGCCCAAGATGGGATTAAATCACGTAATGATTTCCCTCCAGCACTTGAACTACTACTATTATGCTTAACCCCTGGCATTAAATTATCATTCGATTGAGCGATATTGGGAGCTAATAAATGTGGTGGATTTGGTGGGAATAAATTACTATTGGATGAATTGATATTCAAAGAATGAGTATAACTACTAATATTCGTGTCTGGACTAGATAAACATTGATTCATCCCCATGGTGGTTGTCGCTGTGGTCCCACTCCCTCCACTGCCAGTGCTAGCACCTGTACCAGCCACACATATATTTGAACCAACCCCACCGTTATTTTGTAAAAAGATGGATATATTATCTGAAGATAATTGGCCAGCATCACTTAGATCACCACTACGTAATTTTCTCCATGGAGTACCATTATCGGGTAAGATTATATTTGCAGCCATTTCTAATATAATTAAACCTAAACTGAAAATATCAGCAAATGGAGTATATATCTTATCATTAATCAATTCCGGGGCAATATAATTCCTATCACCTTCTAAATCAAAATCTTTCTCTAAAATTGGTAATTTTGTAGCTAATCCAAAATCTCCAATTTTTAAATTACCTTCAAATGTAATAAAAATATTTGCTGGTTTAATATCTAAATGTAAATAATTTTTTGAATGAATAAATTTTAATCCTTGTAAAATTTCAATTAAAATTTTCCAAATTCTAAATTCATCAATTTTATAATTTTTATTATCTTCAAAAAATTCAAATAATGTTCCACCTTCACAATATTCTGTCATTATATAATAATAATTATTAAATTCCCATGCTTCAATAAAATAAACCAAATATTCCCTTCCTTCTTCTTCTTCAACCACTTCCCCTTGGCCATTCGTCTTGGTATTATTCACCGACGTAAGTGCTCTCAATGCTTCAATCTCCCTCAATATGGTCTTGGTTTCAAGTTTTCCAATCACAGGTTGTTTCGATCTCTTAATCGCGAATTTCTCTTCTTGGAATAAACATTCAAACACCACCGAAAATTCCCCCTTTCCGATGGCTTTAATATTCTTCATCCCGAATTTATCAATTAAATGTTCATCGATCTTCGATGGTTTTATATATGTGGAATAATCATGTCCTGATTCGATATGTTGGGTCAAAGTAGATGATCCATCTTGATCATCATCATAATCCTCTGAAATCGACGGTTGTTGAAATAAATTCGACAGCGCTTGTTGTTGTTTTTTCTTATTGAATAGTAAATTCATGGGTGTGGATGGTTCTCCAGCGATTTCGATATTCGGTATTCCAGTATCAAGTTTTAAATTCTTCTTCGTTTTCTTGCTTAGATGAGATTTCGTAGGTGTTTCGGGGATATTTCCCATATCAACATCCGAGAAATCAACATTCAAATCTTCATGGAACTCATCCCTTGGTTGTGATAATAATGATGGATTATGTTTCAATACTGCCGGGGTTCTGAAAAAACTACTGTGATTAGAATCATCATATGATTGATCTCTCCCCACTTCGATTGAATTATCGGTGCTTTCATATTCAGATGATGGAATTCGGGTTGCCTTGGCAGTGGTGGTGGTGGGATTATTTATTGGATTGGTTTTATTATTATTTAAAATCATGAGTGGATTTCGTTTGACGGGAGTTTCGGGTGGTTGAATCAGTTTCACTCGTTCACCAATTGATTTCACACTATTCTTCTTCACCAATCCTCCGGAATTAAATGCAATTTGTAATGGTTTTACGAATTTATATGACGGGTTCCTATTTTCTTTATCATCAAACAGTTTTCGAGTTGTTGTTGTTTGTTGTTGTTGTTGTTCTTGTAAATGATGCTGTAGTGATTTTCTCGATTTGGATAGTAGTTTTTCATCTTGATATATCACAATTGTAGATGCTCCTCCACTGGATGAAAATGTCGGGAGTTTACGATTTTTCGAAGGACTATCAAAATCCATATCTTCAAAATCGCAATACTCTAATTGACTTTCTTCTTTTTGCTCATTGGTGGTGGTTGTTGATAGTATATGAGAGCTTTGTTTTCCAAGCATTAATGGGGTTGACGTGGTTGGTGAACTTTGTTTATCGGAACATTGATATATTTCCTTAAATCTATTGGTACTGGCTAATGACAGATTCCGTATCTTCTCAGGCGTAGTTATTGGTCTATGAGGGGACATTATTGCATCTTTATTTGCATTTTTAAACATTTTGAAACACTTCAATTTCGATGGTGAATGTAATGATTGATTATTTTCTCCAACTGGCGAAAATATTGAAGATCTAACATATACTTTATTTGGAGAAGGAGATGGTGATTGACTTACTAATTTATGAGGACGTTTGAATTTGTTAACTTCTGCTGGGGTTCTTTGCACCACGGGGCTAGGATAGTTGGATGGAGTAGGTTCACGATGAACAATTACCATTGAGGAATCAATCTCACTTAAGTCACTAATATTATCAATTTCATCATTTGGTTTAAACCCATCTAATGTTTTCAAATTCGAATCAATTGAAAGATTAAGATATTTGGAAGATCGCTTGATTGTTTGTTGTGATGATTGACGCGCTGGAGGTCGGTCTGATTGACTATCGTCGTTCTCGGAGTCTCTTTGAGTAGAATTCAGTATTACTGCACTCAATATCGGAAGCTGTCGGCTTTGTTCAATTTTGTCGCCAAGGAAGTCCTCATCATCTTCAGTCAAGTCTTCTTCTTGAATATCATCATCTAGATTGGTATCTATAAATAGATCTTGTTTCACATTAAAGGGAGGTGATTTGTTTATTGGTTTTCTATGATTATTGGAACTCGGAGTAAAGTCGGGTCTAGTATCATCCAAAATTAAACTATTGAATGATTGTGAGAAATGGTTGTTTGTAAAGTATTCCAACAGGGTGTTGTTCATATATTTGGCAGGTGATGCTTGTCGTTTCAATTTCACTTTTGATACCTGTGATCGTTGTTTATGATAGTGATCTTGTGATGGGGATGTTACGGGATAAGTTGAAGTTCTCTTTGAGCGTGTTGGTGACATGGTGTTTGTCAATCCTTCTGAGTACAGGACACCCATATCTACCAATATTAGCGATTCCACGTGAACTTATTTAATGACGTGATTTGGTTTTTGCTTGTTTATGTTTTTTTTTGCAACACTGACGTGGTTGTATTCAATTGAGGTGAGTCAGGTCTCCAATAGATAGGAATGGTTAGCTAAAGTTATGAAGCGATGTACAATTGTCTAATCTTTTCAGCTGAAGGCAAATAATGAATTTTTTAGTAATAAAGCTTTTCAGGGTCAAATGAGAAGAAATTGATGACTTTTCTGGAATTGTGAATTGGTTTGTTGTTGTTTTTTTTATGAATGAAAGAAAAAAAAATAAACAAGGGTCACGTGTACAATTTTAAAATTTTACGCGTCGCAAGTTAAATTTTCGTAGATCTAGTTTGATTACATAGTTAAGTATGCAAACTGATGTACTTTGTACTGCTAGAGTTGTATTTTAACAGGCTATTCAGGCAAGTTGATGCAGGTATGGTTATATTGAATTACATGATTACCAATGTGGTGTAATTCAATTTTCATTTACTAGGGTAGATCTTTGTGCATCAATTAAATCGTTTACGAATAAATTATGTTAGCGAGGTTTCTAACCTGAGATGTAATTGCCGATCGGATGATTTAAAGTTTGATTTGATAAACATTTGATGAAAACAATAAATTGTTGATGTTTCATTTTGAAAGGGGGAAATTGTTTTCCAGTTTTGTGTAACTCTTTCAATTGTGTTTCGTATTTATAATTTAAACAAACTAAAATGAGCCACCGTTTTATTTTTCGGCAATTGCACAAAGTTAACGGAGTTGCAATGACTACTAAACCTTAAAATACAGCAATTCTAATACTGAGGAACAGCAGTTAACTATCACAACATTCAGGATCATTTCCTCTGACTTGCATTTTTTTATAGTGTCAACAAAACAATTTTGCCCTCGCTTCAAGTCGCACACAGGTCTGTGTCTAAACTAGATTTTGAGGTGGACTTCTTTTGTTAAAATAACAAAAGCAAGGCAGATATTGAAGAATAACCTTATAGTCTATGAGTAGTCTTACTTTAGCTTCCATGCACGATAGACTAATGTAGTATAGCAGGGGTTTGGTTTCCATGATAAAGAAATTCCAATTAATTTCAGAGCTGAAGTTGTTAGGTTGCAAATCATATCCTGGTTTAAATATAAAGGTTTTTATACCACACTAATTCACATGCTTTTGAGGTTACTCTAGCTTAATTCGTCTTATAGAACACTTAAAAATCGTGAATAAAAATTTTCTTTATTTCACATTTTTTGCAACCAAAACGCGGCAGTATATCCCAGTCAAGCTTTCACGCACATACCAAATCACCAGTTCCCAATCCAAAACTTCGGATTAAGTTTTCTAATTCGACTACTTTGGATTAATTCTATATTTTTGAAATTGATACAAATCCAGAGTTGGTCCATAACTATTCTATTCATGCATTGCTAGATCTACAGAGCCAATTGTAATAGTTAAATCTATTGTAAAAAGATTGCAAAAAACCCAGCCAAAATACGTGGCAACGAAAAATTGAAATAGTTTTCTATGAATCCCAGCACCCAAACAGTCTCTAGCTTCCATCCATGACGATGCATACTGGGTGCAAGCGTTAACATCAATTAAATCTCAAAATTTTGTTGAGTAATCAAAGTGTAATTTCCGTTGGCTAGCACTGTTTATGGCAAAAAGTTCAGTTGGCGTGGGTCGTGTACCTGGTCCAACGTATTTTGCGGAAAAGCAAAACTTTATTGATAGCTTTTAAGGAGGACAGGNTACCTGGACCAACGTATTTTGCGGAAAAGCAAAACTTTATTGATAGCTTTTAAGGAGGACAGGACAGGGCATATCAGTGCTTTGAACAATTATTCCTGCTGAGTTCATGAAAGGGTCCAAAAGGAACTTGAAATGTTAACACGAACCCCGTTTCCCGTTGTGAACCCTTTCAGCATGTCAAAGTCGATATTTGATTACACTCAAATCACGTGCACTGATAGCCTGACAAATTCACTAAATTTGATTGGCTAAGAGTCACGTGGATTGCTTACTANCGTGCACTGATAGCCTGACAAATTCACTAAATTTGATTGGCTAAGAGTCACGTGGATTGCTTACTAATTGTCGACTCACAATTTGTCGATGACCAAAAAAATTGATTAATCAGATTAAAATCACATCATCTGAAAAAGTATTGATTTACGAAGCTCAAAATAAAAATTATTTTCTACCGTGGATAAAATTCACAGTTTACTCTTCATGGAATGCTTCTTTCTCGACCACACTCTTTCTCGGATATAAACTAGAGAACTATAGGACTACAAGGAAGTGACGGGTTAATGGTGAAGGAAACTATTGTTTCAGTAGAATTTTTGGTTTTCTTTAGAAATACTCGCATAGATCTAGCAATGACGATAATCCAATATGACAATGGAGGCTGGACTTATCGCTGAAAAAATGTCTGATTTATGGATCCACAGTTACTTGAATGTAAAGCAATAGATGCCAGATTAACACTTGCTGTAAAACCGGTTGCATCAGATAGAACTTAGATGCAGGAATAATTGCCGCAACCTAATATTAAGGTTCGTCTTCTCTGATTGCCGAATCAGCACTCTTCTCTGTGTGAGTTTCTATTGAGGTTCTTCTAAGTTCGAGGCGTAGCAAGATCAAGCTGTGTCGAATAATATAGTCCATTCCATTCTTTAAAGACTAAGCCCAAATTTCCAGTAGTAATATTTCAAACGTAATATAAAAAGTTGTAGTTATTCCGCTTAAATGCGAATTTTTATGAAAAGCAGAAAAAAAAAAAAATTCTTAGTTTGTTGCAAGTTCTCTCTCGTTATATTTTCAGATACGATTAAATATCAAAAACCCACCCACTCCATCTTATACGTCAGTTAGACTATCGCTTTGCTTGACTTAATATCTGAAGATCATCAAATAAAAATCAACCCATTTTTCAAAGGGCAAAAGGAGATACGTTTAGATTTTACTAAGGGTTCCAAAACCGTACCACTACGCCACACTTTCACCGATATTGGACAAAGAGACACTACTTTGTAATATCTACACTGCTGCATACTAGAAAACACACTGGAAGTGCTACTTCAGCTACGTTTATAGAAAAGAAACAGCTTGAGATAGCAGATAAAGAAAAACTTATATATCGGTATTATTTGAAATTTTTTTATTCGAATTAGACTTTTGAAAAGCCATTCTTGGTTAAAAGAATATTGGACCTAGCAATCTTACTTATTTTAATAAGACCGTAACTAGAAAACAAGCTTTTCGAGTTCAACAAGTTTCAACATTCATAAACTTCCCCCATATAGAAGGAGATTATACTACACTAGACTGTCTCCATATTTATTTATTATTGCTTTTATGCAACATATTTAACGATAGATTCAAAATACGTTTAGATTACATTTATGCACATAATGGCAACACCACTATCGACAAAATCAGAAACCGAGACAACCAGCAGCAAACGAATATCCAACACGGAGTCCACGTCGCCTAAGGCGAAAATTCATACACCAATAGCATCACAAAAATCTCCAGAACCCAACCATATGAGTCCAGTTGCAAGTTCACCTCCCGCTGATGGACAGCAATGTTCCAACTGTGGAACAACCAAAACTCCATTATGGAGAAGAGCTCCAGATGGTACCTTAATTTGTAATGCATGTGGATTATACTTAAGATCCAACAAAACCCATAGACCAGTCAATTTAAAACGACCACCAAACACTATTGTAGTGCACAAAGAACAAGAAGGTTCTTGTAAAGGAGACGGTAGATGTAATGGAACAGGTGGTTCTGCCGCTTGTAAAGGATGTCCTGCATTTAATAATAGAGTTGTAGCTACGAAAAGAGTTATTGAGAAATCTCCAAATGCCGAAACCGTTAAACGGCCAAAAGAAGAAGAAACAACTGAAGATTCTCTTGCTATTGCATGTTTTAATTGTGGTACAACAATTACACCACTCTGGAGAAGAGATGACGCAGGAAATACTATATGTAATGCTTGTGGATTGTTTTATCGATTGCATGGATCACATCGTCCTATTAGAATGAAAAGAAACACCATTAAAAGAAGAAAGAGAAATGCCCATCCAAGTGGTTCCGATAATAAAGGGGACGGTTCAGATACTAATGAGTTTGATGGAACAGGCAGTGCAGCACTGCAGGGAAGTGTGTCTCCAATAACACCTCCAAAGTCATTATCAAACCTTTCGGGGCAAAAATTGTCTGCATCTTCTTCATTATCAGTTTCATCTCCACTGCAAATACCACCTTCTTCACACACAGGATCACGAGGCTCTCCTGTGCCAACTCCTTCACCTGCATTGGCATTGAATAGACTACCACCAATTCATTTCCAATCCGCTCAACCAGGACCAGCTTCTTATCAAATCAACACCCCAGATGTCCCAACAGCACAATCATACTACCCACCATATAATGGCGGAGGAAGATTACCCAATGGACCAGGTCCAGTTCCGGGCCCACCTCCTCCGATGCCTCAAGCTCCATATGGCTATGTCCTACAGCAGCCTTTACAACAACCACAACCTTATATACAGCATCATCAACAACCACAATATCCATACTACGCTCAACCACAAGCACAAGCACAAGCACAGGCATATCCACTTCCAGAAATAAAGTTGCCAGCTATACGCCTGGAATCAGCAAATGTACGCCCCTCACAGCTAAGACCTATTTGTTGTAGCCATTGTGGAAACGCAAAGAAATCGACTCCACCGGTTGCTATTGATTTTACATCGAGTTATAAGAGAGAGACACCACATAGTGGACTATCATCGACAAAAAGTACGCCTGATGATAGTGAAGGTTCTGTGAAGAGTGGAGGTGATAAGAAGGGTGATAGAAGTCATGCACTATCTATTGGAGGATTATTGAATGGATGAAAGGGGGTAGCATGTAGTTTGTACAGTTTATTTAGTATTCTCCAGTAAGAGCTATTACGAGTATTATATAAAACTTATCTAACGCTGAATGTCATTATAAATATACAGTAATTCAAACCCGTAGGAAACTTCTCTTTTTTTTTTTTTTACATTATGGACTATTTATTACTCTCTAGTTACATATACAATATACAGAAAAAATAAAAACAGCAGCAAATATTCTCTTGATAAAAATTTATTGGAAACATCGTACTATACTAAATTCAGCTTAAACGATGATTGATTTTGTAGAATTTGTCAAAGGATCGTACCCATCTCGTCAAATATTCCCCCGTTAATTCAATTTCGGGATGAAGACGTCGTAGCGATCTAAGGAAGTTGTATGTTGTCTTCATACAAACAGCCAAATTAGTTTTGCAGCAATTCAATAAAAAATTCGGAATTTTTTTTGTATTGCACGTGATCTTATGCAATTTTTCAAATCTCCACCAAAATTATTACGAATTTACTCTGATAAACACATTGAACAGATCTACAACATATTCTCCAACCAACCTTCGATCCCGTCTGATTCAACAACCCCACGATGCCAGAAACCATAGAAGCTACCGGCAATGACAAAAGACAAGTCGTAAAAGTTGACAATTCCATTACCAGGAAAGTCAAAGATATAGCAGCCGGGTTTATCGGTGGTGCAACCCAAGTCTTAATCGGACAACCTGCCGATCTCGTTAAGATCAGATTACAAACCACATCAGGAACATCCTCCTTATCGATCATAAAGAGTGTCATTAAAAACGAAGGGATATTTGCATTTTATAAAGGAACATTACCTCCATTATTCGGGGTTGGGGTTTGTGTTTCGTTACAATTCTATGGATTTCATGAGACCAAGAGACAAATCTTACAATATACCGGACAACCTAGTATGAATTTATGGCCTCAGACATATATTGCGGGTGCGATGGCGGGGATAGTGAATTCTCCAGTTACTTCCCCGATTGAACAATTACGTATTTTGAGTCAGGCTTCTGAGAAGAAACTTTCCTTGACGGAAACAGTTAAGAAGATGTATTCAGAGCATGGGGTTCTGAAAGGGTTATATAGAGGGTTTGGGATTACCTTAATACGTGAAATCCAGGCATATGGGGTTTGGTTTGCGACTTACGAATTCTTGATTCAACAAATTATCGATTTACAGCATTATAAATCTAGAGATAAGGTGAGTACACCTGAATTATTGGCAAGTGGGGCTATTGCAGGAAATGCTCTCTGGCTTGCCTCATATCCTTTGGATGTTATAAAATCGAATGTTCAAAGTGATGGATTTGGAAAAGAGAGTAAATTTAATGGTAGTGCTTTTAGAGCAACTAGTTTTATTTATAAGACGCACGGTCTTATGGGATTCTGGAGAGGTATTGTTCCTTGCTTGTTGAGAGCTGTTCCTTGTAGTGCGGGTACGTTTGCCAGTGTTGAATTGGCATTAAGATTAATGGGATAGAGATCCATCGTTCATATGCTTACAAAAGGTTATGTATATTACGAGTAGGTTAATATTTAATTACTTATAATGGGCCCAGCCCTTTCTTTATATACAAAGCTGCTCTTTCTATGTAACTCCGAGATTGGATTCTTGGATGAGAACAATTCTTCATTCTGATTGGCGAGGCTAATTGCATCTTCCTCTGATGATAATCCTGACACCATAGATGATTCTGAGTTACTTCTTTTCAAAACAGTGGGGAGTGATTTTCTATCAAGGTTCATGATTCTCTTCGCAATAAGCAAAGCAAATCCACATAACATCATTAACCCTCCAGCAATTATAAAAACAAGGTTGGCCCTGTGCCATCTAGACAAACTATACTTATACATAGTCAAAAAGAGCACTGGCATAACCAAACCGAAAAGATTCTTTATCAATGCCAATGCACCAAACAATTCCCCAGTTTTTGATTCTGGATAAAACTTCACAATTGATGAATTAATAGCTGGACTAATCAATGTTCCGAACCCACAAACCACACAGAATACAAAGAAATGTACACTGCTTTTAGACATTGAGTACCCTATAAACCCGGTACTTTCAAATACCAATCCGGTCAATATCATTGAGAAATCAATCATATCAAATTGTTTCTTAAACACTTTGAATCCGAATCCTTTTTGGAAAATCTTGTGGTTTATGATAGGTGACAATACAATTAATACGGTAGCCCGACTGGCACATCCAATTGCTAAGAAATGACCAATATCCTGCTGGTTCCAATTGAAGTTATACATCCCATAAAGAATACCAATCTCACCAAATGACATAGCAAGGGAAGCTAACATACAATCAATGAGTACTAATATGATAAGTGCTGTCCTATCTTTGTTGATACGATGCTTGTTTTGAGGAAGTACTATTTCCGATGGTAAAGTTAATAATTTTAAAGGTTTCAAAAAGTTAATCATTCGAGTGAACTTGATGAACCAATTTGGTTGTTCCAATTCCTGTTGGAGATTTAGTTCAGTACTCAGTGAAACCGACATTGATCTTGATTTCTTTCTAGCTTTTTCTGACCTAGATTCTGGTAATACAAACACAGTTAAAAATACTACGATTGTAAAAATAAACAATTCAAACTTGAGTGGAGCAAAATCTGACCGAGGAATATCAACCGCCATTTGAATATCTTTAGGTGCTGCACTTGAATTCAATGATACTATAAGGTTCCCAACTAATGGACCAATACTTACACCCAAGAACACCGATGCCATACTTATACCTAATGAATATATACGTTCATGTGGTTCAGTCACATCGGATATGTAACAATTAGCTAAAGCCAATATGCAAATAGTTCCGCCTCCAAAATTTGTAATAATTTCAGTAAGAATCATTGGAACAAACTTCAATGAATCATAATTATACATGAGTGCAAATTTAGCAGCTCTCCCAATAAAGAAAAATACCACAATTATCACGATAAACACTTTTCTCCCATATAGATCAGACAAGGGACCAACTTTCCCCAGGGCAACTAATGTAATCATCGAAATCGAAATGGAATATCCTAATTGTAAATTCGACATTAATACTTGTGCGGCTTCTCGATTACAACTATCTTTGCCTAGATAATTACATGCCAATTTCAAGGTAATAATCTGTCTAGTAGATTCACCACTAAAAGAACCAAAAGCCAACAAAAAGATTATAGAAGCGATCATTAAAACACTTGGTCTCCTAAGCCAATGTAACGTTTTGTTTTTATCTCTTTGTTCTCGCAACCAAAGTACATCTTCATTCAATTCTTCGTCATGATCATGGTTGTTATTATCAATATCGTCGTCGATTAAAGCTTCATACACTGCCTCAACTGATGTTTCTAAGTCGGTTGATGGGCTTATTAACATTGGTCTTGACCTGGATGGACCCTCTAGGAGAGGATCTATTTCTAATGGAGATTCGGATTTACTCATGTCTTAAATCCGGAAAAGGGAGTGAAGTATCAAAGCAAATTAGGAAGGGACAGCAAGCTATATATGGAAAGATAATATATCGAGCAGACCTGTAGTGAAAGTAGATCTCTCTGCTATAAAGAAATACTCAACTGCTAACTTCTGGAATAAATATTCAGGGGGAAGGAAGGCGATGGGAAGACAATCAACAATGAATTTATAAAAAAATTGATGAGATAACAATCTTTGAAGCCACGGAACGGCTCAAGAAAAAAATCATTCCGAAGTCTAATTGGTTAGTTTGCTATTTCCCCCCATGTTCCAAGATTTACAGAAAAAGCGAATCGGCCGAGAGAAAATATTCATTGTTTATTATGATAACCATGTTACTATTACAAATGACGAGAGAGTGTGTATGTAAGTAAGGAAGATGATCTGTAATTACAAATTGCTGTCAATTTAAGATGAGGGGATTTTGGTTGCGAAAAATTTTAGTCTTTTTGCTGATCTCTCTCTAATGAAACAAGGCAACGGCTACAAGATTTTCTCTAAATGGTTAGTAATTCTTCGGCCAATCCGTTTATACTTCCACATCCCAACCATACCAAGACATTTCTATTTGTAAAGCCACAGCTCTTTCATTGTTCTGGGATTTCCGCAAGGCACCAGGATTTGGACTATCACATGGAATGGTGGCATTAATAGATGCTGGTTAACCCTCCCCTATTTAGATTATCCTAATTTGCCTCATTCCATCGTTGAATCCACTTGTAGAATATGTCCACAATTGAGCCACGGGCCGTAGGAGCAACATTCTTCAACTTTAGATTCTATCCCAGCAAAAACAATCACGTGCTTGTTTCCTGCACATAACCGCTCTTCGGTTTTTCTTCCTTAATGTAAATTTTGTCTTCACCCTCTGGGAATTTGCTTGTAGCCAATAACAGTCAATAGATAAACAGAATAGAATACACGCAATATAATGATACCAAGGTCGTCTAAACTGATAGTGACCCCACCGACACTGCGATATATCGTTAGATTTATTTGGAACAGCAAGAAGCCGGACACCAAAGTTCCTGAGAGTTTGTTATTGGCAGACGCACTAAACTTGTTAAGTGATCTGAAACAACCACCACATAAACCAGGAGCATATAAGCCGAGCTTATATGACAATTTAACCAAAGGTCCTGCGAATGAACAATTTGCAATAAATAATAATAATGACGAATTTAGTAAGGCATTAGCACTGAAGGATCTGGTGAAGCTTAGTGAACAATATATTAATAATTTGTTGACGGGGATTGAATATTCTAGATTACATAGTAAGAGTAGACCAGATTATAGTCAATTATATGCAATGGATCCCAATGATTTGAATGTTTATATTAAAGAATTGAGTAATGAGAGGTTTTTACTTGAAATTATGGAGAGTTTTTATCATAATCAGAAGTTAACTCTTACTACTTTGAGTAATATTATACTTAATAGAAACTTTGTGCATATTAAGAAATCCCCAATAGATTTGGAACATCTTGAAAAAAATATCCATTTGAATTTGCTGGATCTGGAAATGATTCAACTTCGGATTATTCTATTAAAGAAATTTCATGATTTACGTCTTCCTTTAAATGTGATTAAGAATCTAAAAAATTACTTTCAAGATACTTACCTTCCATTGATCCAAAGGGGAGAACTATCTGCATTTCATGAACGTATTGTATGGAGATATGTGATTGAATATTTAAAACAATATGATGCATCACATTATATCAAATCCCTTAATAATCTTAAATCAAGTTTTTATATCTGGGAAGTATCCCATCGCAACAATGGCCAGATTGCTAAAGATATATTGCAGACGCACAAAGATTCATTGAATGAAATTCAAACAATATTCTTAAAAATCGTGGCTGATCCATTCATTCAAGAAAAGATCCTTGATCAAATAGATAAACATAACAATTCGAAAATTCTCACGGCCCTAAAACGAATCTCAGTGAAATATAAGATATCTTCATTGGAGCAATTACCCGAAACCGAGGAATCACGTAAAGTATACTATGCCTTAATTAGCGATTTAGAAATATTTTTGGGGAATTTATTAGTTGACGACGCTGGTCATGATGATTTAAAGGATCTATTGGGGCAATTAACCGTTCATAGAGTCCGATATATTAAGGATATGTATACCCAACAGGAACAAGAACAGAAGAAGCTTTTGGATGGTTTAAAGGTATTGTTAAATAGAACATAATTAGTTATTTAGCAGATTTTTTTATAATGATATAATGAGTATGATTTTCAATTCGGTTTTATTTGTAGTAGATACACTGAGCCTACGAGGTGGCACAGTTCTACCTGAGTAAATATCTTACGTCGCCAGTGCCTTGTGCTCCGATGACGGCGCGATCTTATGTTTCCCGCTAATTTTTAGTGGGTAACAACAAGCGAGGTGAAAAAAATCTCGAGTATAAAATGCCCCGCGAAATTTCTCCGGATCTGAAAAATCCTTAAAGTAACAAACTAGTCTCAACTACACAAAGAAGATGAAAGTGATTACAGATACCGCAGTTATTGAATTCTTAAGTAAGAATCTCACCAAGCAATCAATTCTTGAAAAATTCCAACCTGCTTTATTGTCAGGTTTAACATCCTATGCCAAAGATCCTGATCATATAGTCCCACCAAGAATTGCCCAACCTTCAAACAACCCAGAGTCTGATTCTACACATATTTATATGCCATGTATCGCCCCTCAAGAAGTTGGGATTAAGGTTATCAGTGGAGGTCCAGGTAATAATGCCAAGGGGTTAGGATTCCAAGGATGTGTTTTAATCATGGATGAAATAACTGGTCAATTGGAAGCAGTATGCAACGCAAATACTTTGACGGCATTTAGAACCGCTTTGGCTAGTACTTTGGGGTTGACTAAGGTGATTAAACCAGGTAGTACCGAAATCTTACCTGAATTGACCGTATTTGGAGTTGGATTACAAGGATATTGGCATGTTAAATTATCCTTGATTTTGTATGAGGGACAAATTTCTCAAGTTAATATTTTGAATAGAACTTTAAAGAATGCTGAAATTTTAGCTGAGAAGTTAGGAAAGGAATTCCCAAAAGTGAAGTTTAATAGTTATCTGTATCAAGATGAATCACTGGGATTCATTGAACATGTTCAAAATAGTAGTATTATATTTGGATGTACGCCAGCTACTAGTCCAGTTATCAAACAATCATATTTGAATCAAGATGCTAGATATCCAAAGTTTATTTCATTAATTGGTTCGTATAAACCACACATGATAGAATTGGATCTTGAATTATGTAAGGATTTACGTAAGCAAGGAGTTTCCATAATTGTAGATTCTAAAGAACACACCTTACATGAAGCCGGTGAATTGATTCAAGCAGAATATACTCCACAACAATTAGTTGAAATCTATGAATTATATAAGGAAGATGGTAGCAAGGTAGTTATCACCGATAGTAGAAGTAACCTTACAGTACAAAAGATTGTTGGTTTATCAATTATGGACTTATCAATGGGTAAATTAATTAAAGATGAGATTAATAATCATGATTGTATTAATATTGAAAACTTCTAAAACCATGTAACGTTACATTTATAGCATTTTATAACCGTTTTTGTATGTATGTACTGTATATAACGATAGCGGGGCACTTCCGCACGTGGCTAAGAAAAAATTCTAAACTTTTACTGATTACAGTTGCTAACTAGTAAAAAAAATATGTAAGCTTTAATTTCTTTTTATTTTATCTCACTTGCTATTTATACATTGATATCTGTCAACGGCAATAAAAGAAGATCTTCTCTTTTTTTTGTCTCTTTCTTTCTCCTTCTTCTTCTTTATCGATAACAGCCCCAACTTTCAGAAAGATGATGTCCAAAGAAGATCAACCTCTCTTAGGAGGTGACAGCTTATCGTGTTACAACAACACTAAGAAACAATCAAATAAGAAAAAAACCTTATCTTATTTACTTAATGTCATAACCTTATCATTCATTGCCTATCTTTATTTATTCCCATTAACAACAACTAACAACAACTACAATGAAGAAGTCCCAAAGGTTGATCGTTTGAAGAAGAAGAACATCATCATGATGGTTACTGATGGTATGGGCCCTGCTTCTATGTCAGCTGCTAGATCTTTTAGACAATTTAGAGACGAATTACCAATTAATGATATCTTAACCCTTGATAAATTCTTGATTGGATCTTCTCGTACCAGATCCTCAAGTTCTTTGGTTACTGACTCAGCTGCTGGTGCAACTGCTTTCTCATGTGCCTTAAAGTCTTACAATGGTGCCATTGGTGTTTCCCCAGATCAAACCCCATGTGGTACAATCTTGGAAGCTTTGAAATTACAAGGATATTATACCGGGTTAGTTGTTACTACAAGAATTACTGATGCTACCCCAGCTGCATTCAGTTCCCATGTTGACTTTAGATCTCAGGAAGATTTGATTGCTCAGCAACAAATTGGGGAATATCCTTTAGGTAGAATGGTTGATTTGATTTTAGGTGGTGGTAGATGTCATTTCTACCCTTCTTCAATTAAAGGTGGTTGTCGTTCTGACGATAGAAACTTGATTGAAGAAGTTACCGAAAATGGAACTTGGAATTATGTTGGTGATAGAGCAAGTTTCGATCAATTAGCTGGCGGTCATAATGTTTCTTTCCCATTGTTAGGTTTATTAGCTGATACTGATATCCCATATGATATTGATCGTGATCCAAAGGAATATCCATCATTGGCTGAACAAGTTAAAGTCGCCTTAACCGCTTTATCCAAAGCTACTGAAGACTCGGAACAAGGTTTCTTCTTGTTAATTGAAGGTTCAAGAATCGACCATGCTGGTCACCATAATGACCCAGCAGCTCAAGTCAGAGAAGTTTTGGCTTATGATGCTGCATTTGCCGAAGTCATTAAGTTCATTGACGAGTCTGAAGTTGACACTATTGCAATCTCTACCAGTGATCATGAAACTGGTGGGTTAGTCACTGCAAGACAAGTCAGTAAGGATTACCCAGACTACTTGTGGTACCCAGAAGTGTTATTTAACAGTCACAACTCCGGTGATTTCTTGGCTAGCAAGATCGTAGAATATAAAGATAAGGATGATACTAAGAAATTTACTGAATTCATCACCAAGGAAATTTTAGAATCCAAGATGGGAATTAAGGATTATACTAAAGAAGAAGTTGAATTGATCTTAAGCAATGCCAACAACCAAGGTCAATTACTCTATGTCTTGAATGATATCTTATCAATCAGGGCTCAAATCGGTTGGACTACCCATGGTCATTCCGCAGTTGATGTCAATATCTACGCCTACACCAATTCCCCAGCCATTAATGCCAAATTACATTCCAAGAAACCATATGAAGGATTAGCAGGTAATCACGAAAACATCGAAATTGGTTCATTTATGGAATCTCTCACCAATGCCGATTTATCGAGAATTACAGAAATGGTTAAGCATACCCATCATTCATCAAAGAAGGGACCAAAGGCTGCTGCTGCAGAAGTTGATCGCTACCATATTAACGCTGTTCATGACTTATAATATAATAATAATAGACCTTCTTTTAAACACACGTAAATAATAAATAATAAATAATAAATAAATGCTGATTAATTACAACCAATTGCTTTTAGATATAATTACATATTTACAGTATTTACTTCACTCATTCACGTAATTAATTTATAATGAAATTGTTTTGTTCGGGATCGAATTCAATTTGTAGGCTTTTCGGAAATTTTTTACGCTTTTCTTTTTTGTGTTCTTCTCTTGCATATTGATATTTTTTTGGTTTTTCCGCGGAAAGCTTTGTTGACATGATGCATCGCCTTGCAAGGTCTTGCTATACAGTGAATTCATTTCTTTCGATAAATATGGTTGGTTGAGAATTACCAGAACCGTTAGAACAAGTGCTCTGTCCCTGGTTGTTTCTGAGATACAGAACGCATTTCGATAATGTGTGTCCGAACCTGGTTCAGGAATCTTCATTATCTTCAATCTGCATTTGGTCTTAGCTCAATTAAACAATACTTGCTTCCGAGGACATAGACAATTGTGGACGGTTAAATGGGATTAGTCACATGAGGGGTCATCAATTCAGATATTTTCATTATCTTCAATCTGCGTTTGGTCTTAGTTCAATTAAACAATATTTGCTTCCGAGGACATAGACAATTGTGAACGGTTAAATGGGATTAGTCACATGAGGGGTCATCAATTCAGATATTTAAACTAAGGCGAACAATATGAGAAAAAACTAATCGTTAAGTAAATTGACGGCAAAACGGTTAAGGTTCCGGATTATAAATAATTGAATTTATTTTTTAGCCAGAACATTATTTAGTTTCCCGCACCTTAAAAAATAATTCATTGACAGATACCCGAAACGTTTATAATTAGAGTCATCGCAAAGAACATAAATATAGGTCGAATTCCTCATCTCTTGGTTCTCAATTCTAGCATTCATATATTCAATTAGAAATTCAATAATAAAAAAGATGTCGCATTCAGATACAGATTCAAATTCAGATAGCCCAAAGCATGAAGCTCCACTTCCACTAGAACCAGATGAATCCGAATCCATCTATACTGTGGATTCATATAGAACAACTGGATTATCAATCAAACCCACAAGAACAGAAACAAGAAAGTCATTATTAGCATTAGGGTTAACCTCATCAATACCCATTCCCGAAATCAATCATCCACCAGTTGAAGACCCCATCTTTCCTGAAGAATATACATTAGAAACCGAAACTGGTTTAGTCCCCGTCAAGACTTTAGAAACCATTGGTCGTATCAAGACAATTATAGAAGAGGAAGAAAAAATCCAAGAAGTTGATTTTGTCACCTTTACGATCAATGATCCTGAAAACCCTCATAATTGGCCCATGTGGATTAAATGGTCATATACTGTCCTACTAATGATTTTTGTTATTTGTGCAGCATATGGTTCATCATGTTTAGCTGGGGGGTTATTTACTATAAATGAAAAATTTGGGGTCTCTACTGAAGTTTCTACCTTGAGTGTTTCTTTAATGGTTTTGGGATTTAGTATTGGTCCTTTGATTTGGGCTCCACTTTCAGAACAAATTGGTAGAAGACCAGTATATTTCATTTCATTTGGATTATATGTCATTTTCAATATTCCTTGTGCATTAGCTCCTAATATTGGTGCATTATTGGCTTGTAGGTTTTTATGTGGGGTATTTTCCTCATCTGCCTTGACTAATGTCGGGGCTAGTCTTGTTGATATTCATAATGAAACTAGATCCTTGGCTATTGCATTTTTCTCCTTTGCTCCATATTCTGGTCCAGTCTTAGGTGGTGTTGTGAATGGGTTTATCAGTGTTGGTACTGGAAGATTTGATATTATGATTTGGGTAAATATGGCATTCTGTGGTGTTATGTGGATAATTATTTCAATGATGCCAGAAACTTATGCTCCAGTTATACTTAAAAGAAGAGCTGCAAAATTGAGGAAAGAAACTGGGAATGATAAAATCATGACTGAACAAGAAGCTACTCCATTATCATTTAAAGAATTGGTAAATGATTGTTTAATTAGACCTTTGAAATTCGTGGTTACTGAACCAGTGTTGGTATTAATCTGTGCATTCGTTGCTTTGATCTATGCTTTATTATATGCCTTTTTCTTTGCATATCCTTATATTTTCAACACCTTATATGGATATCAAGATGATAAGATAGGTCTTATGTTCATCCCCATTCTTATTGGTGCAGGATTGGCTTTAACTACAACTCCAATCTTGGAAAAAGAATACACGAAATTATGTAAAAGAAGAAAACCACACCCAGAAGATAGATTATGGGGAGCAATGATTGGTTCCCCCTTCCCATGTATTGCATTATTTATTCTTGGGGCTACTTCTTACAAGCATATCATTTGGGTTGGTCCAGCCTCATCAGGTATTGCATTTGGATATGGAATGGTGTTGATTTATTATTCATTGAATAATTATATTATTGATACCTATGCAAAATATGCTGCTTCTGCATTAGCAACCAAAGTATTCTTAAGATCTGCTGGTGGTGCTGCATTCCCTTTGTTTATTACTCAAATGTATCAAGGATTGGGATTGCAATGGGCTAGTTGGTTATTAGCATTTGTTTCATTGGCTATGGTCTCAATTCCATTCGTTTTTTATAAATATGGGAAAACTGTTAGAGAAAAATTATGTAAGGAAGATTACACTATATAGATAGGTAGATAGATAGAACTATAGAGAAGCGTATAGAAGATTTTTAAGTAATAAATAGACTCCTGTCAATTAAAGAATTTAACCAGTCATAACACCGCTCGTCTTTTTTTTTTTTGCAACCAATTTCCAGTATCGCATTTGAATTGTACGGCCAAGGAAAAAAAGACAACAACCCCGACACGAAATCAAATTGGCAATCTCTCCACAATTTTATGTTCGACATCTTTGGTATAACAATATCAACTTAACCAGTTATATATACAAAAAACAATATCAAAGACTCTATTGATCACATGACACTACCGAGGTTTACAAATTATTCCATATTGAATTATGCTGCATTCAATTATGCTGGTTTTGCTTGTATCTCAATCATTGTATTTCTATCATCCACTCAACCCTTTTTCATTACTGAAGTAATAGGTATCAAGCCAGGTCATGATAGTAAAATAGGAAGTTTAATAGGACTATTGGGGTTTGCAGATGAATTAACATCAATGATATCATCTCCCTTGTTAGGAACTTTAAACGATAAATTAAACAGTCGAGGAATGAATGGTAGTCGAATTATACAAAGTTCAAGTTTCTTAATTATTGCATTGGCATTATTTGGATATGGCGTATTGAGTAGGAACTTAGTACCTGATTTATTTATATTTAGATGTATTTTTGCAATTGGAGTAACTGGTTGTATGAGTATGGTTACTGTGCTATTGAATGAGTTAAGCTTCTCCGATTTTACATTTAGGAAATTCATTCCTGGTTCCATTATTGATGAATCACAAGAAGAAGAAACAACGCAGCAAAAGAGAAATGGAAGATTCGCGGCCCTAATGGGTATAAGTACCGGTCTTGGTGCTATATTTGCAGTATCTACATTTGTCCCCCTTCCAGTCAAACTCACTGACCTTTTCCCTAAATTGGATTTGGAAGATGGCTTGAAATACTCGTATATCATTGTAATGTTGTTTTCGATCCTTTCTTTCATATTCTTGATAAATTCACTTTATCAATCCACCAATTCCAGATCCGAAATCAAACCAGAAGGATATTGCCATTTATTAAAGCGCGGGTTGAAATTCTCGAAATCAAATAAACTGGCGCAATTAGCCTATTTAGGGGCATTTGTTGCCAGATCAACCACGGTTGCAACTTCAATTTTTATACCATTAATGGTATATGAATGGTATTACAATATTGGTCAATGTGATTCCGATACCACCTGGGATGGGAAATTGACATGTCATGACGGATATGTATTTTCGGCTATCTTGACAGGTGTCGCTCAAACAGTTGCGCTTGTTTCCGCTCCTATTTGGGGTATGCTTATTGACTCTTCAAGGGTTGGTAAGTATACTACATTATTAATTGCATCGATAGTCGGAGTAATTGGAAATTTTACCCTCAGTTTGTTGAATGATAATTATCACTCCTACAATCCAAAAACAATCACTTGTTTTATCTCAGTTAGTATAATTGGATTGTCACAAATTGGATTAATCATTAGTAGTATGAGTATCTTAAGTGGAATATCTAATGTTCATGAAATTATGGGGTCCCTAAGTGGATTATATAGTTTCAGTGGAGGGATTGGAATCATGATCTTGACATTGTTGGGAGGATCATTAAGTGATTATTGGATCCTCGGACCATTTTTTGTATTGGGAAATTTTAATATGATATTGCTAGTTGTATGTGGATACTATATATATGAACAAAGGAATCCTGAACCCCAAGAACCTGACGATGAATCAACTTCATTGCTTCCATAGACTATAGAAAACAATAATTTAAATAGATAATGTCGTCACGTGACTATTTCTGATTCCCGGGAATTATTTTTTTTTGTTGCTCTCGCTTTTTACTTTATGGCTCATTTTAAACTTTTTCTCTCATCAATTTTTTTCAAGTTCTCCTATTTCATTGTAATTACCGATATATACCGTTACTCTCTATTTGCCACATGATAGAGATCCTAATAACATTAGTTCCATCTTTGGTATGGCTATTCTATCGGTTCTATTTGATCCTCTGTACGCCAGTAGAGAGACTCATTGAGGACCTTAATATAGAGATCCCTCATACACCAAATATATGTATCGATTCAATTAGTTCAAATTCAGTCGTGATACATTGGGATATTGAAGTTAAGAATGATGAGAACTTGTATTATGTCGTGGTAGTTAATGGTACAGAAGTGGCTACTTTAACTTGCACGTCTTGTAAATTGAATAATTTGGAGAAGGGAATCTATGAGATATTTGTGATTGCTATTAATTCAATAACTAGTTTCAGGTCACAATCTAAGAGTGTCTATGTCGAAATGGTTGATGGAGTTGGATTTATAGATGATGGGAAGTTGGAAGATGTCGTTGAAGAAAAGGCTTTGGATATAAGTGCTTCAAGTGGAAGTGGTGCCGCTGGAGGTGATGAAGATGGATTAGAAAGTATCACTATTGATCAAATCAAGAGTATCGATCTGGCAGATTTATTAAATGACTATTTGATGAAGTTTCAAAACGATTTGATTAGAGTTAATTTGGAGTATAAGCAATTTCAAAATAATCTGGTAAAAGATCAAGAAAATTTACAACAAGAATTAAATTTTTATAAAAGTGAATTTGAAGAAGAGACGGATAATAAAGTCAAGAAAGATAATGATGTTAAGTCATTGGAAAGATCAAAGGATGTGTTAGTTTTCCGGAAATCCAAGTTAATTAGTCAGTTAAACTTATTAAAAAATTCAATTAATTTATACAATACTAAAATCAAAGAGAATGAAGCAAAGATTAAGAAATTACAAGAAAGAAATGCCCAAGCATTGAATAATGAATCTCAAGAAGTTTCCAAGATAAATGAAAAAATTACTAAAGTCAAACAATCAATTGAAAAGACCAAGGTCGACTATGAGTCGGTAGAAGAAAATTTACGTAATCTATATGCAGAAAGAAAAGACTTGATTTCGTTATTAAATCAAGTCAAGCCATTGATTGAAGTATTTAATCAAACAAGTGCAGCATCTCCACCAATCAGCGATACATCTTCGCCAAGTCCTGGGCCAGCCCCTCCAAGTTCTTCAGGAACGTCAAATACACCTCCTTCTACTGGCACACCCGTATCTATTTTTAACAAGGATGGATCTATAACCAAGCCAGCTTTCGAAGCATTGGTTAAAATATTTCAGATTATGCCAAATTGGCAAGATGAGATTATGAATGAAATCAACAATTATCAAGAATTTGAAACAAAATGGCGCGAAGCATTCAAGAATGAAATCCAAAATTATGTAACAGTTCATCACGCATTAGAAATGATCAAACATAACAGGGATCCAAATTATCAACCAGCAAAGATGAATGACTATATGGCGTCAATTGATTTTGGTGGATATAGTAATGCGTTGCCAAAACCACCTAAATATAGGAGAAATTTTAGTCCAAGTGTTTCCTCATTTGACGAGACTACTCATAAGAACTATTATTATAATCATTATAATCAGGTTTATGGAAATGAAAATGATATGAATGCGTTGCAACCTCCGCTTGCAGCTCAGCAGCAACCACAGCAATCATCTCCATTGTTTCAAAATCCACAAATTGTTGTCCCACAATCGGCTCCTCAACCAACTGTTTTAACAACGGATTATATGCCTACTCAGTATCAACAACCACAACAGCAGTACATCAGTTTAGATCAAATTAATGCACAAGCACATGCGCTTGATTTAGGTAATGCCAGTATTGATGCGAATTTATTTAGTGGATCCAGTAATCCAACTTTTGAATCCAATCCATATGGTAATCCGGCTACATTACAAGGATTTCCTTATGATGATCAGATTTACACTACTAGTATTACATCGCCAATTCCTAATCATAACACCACAAACACCCAGAATTTATTATCTTACGGAGATTATAATTCATTGTTGTATCAATATAATTCTCCAAAATTGACGCATACTGCACTCAGTGGAGAAATGTGGAAGTCCACACCAGGGGCAGGGGCCGCAACTGTTACGAATCCTGCTGCTGGTGGATATACTGATTTACTAGGTAGTGCAAATAATCCCCAAAGTAGTTTCTTAATGACTCCTTCAACATCATCTAAAATCTGGATAGATGATGGAGTTGGTGGAAGTGCAGGAGGTACTGGTCATAATAGAACTGTTTCTAGTGGGTCACAACTTTGGAGAAATGATTTATTGAATACTCCAAATACAAATATTCCGATTGTTAATGTTACACCTGGTGCTCCTACAAATACTACTACTGGTGCACCACCACCACCTACTGAGTTCCAACCATTTGGTAGTTCTCCTATTCAATTGGGTGGAACAAATACTGGTGGTGCTAATAGTAGTTTCTTTGGTCCTGTCTTGTCTAACAAAGAGGATGAGAATAAGCATAAGTTGTATTGAAGAAAGTCCGCCTGTAAAATTTTCGGTTATAGAAGGAAATAATATTGCGGTTTGGTGTTCCCGTTCCAACAAAAAAAACGTTGGGAGGAAGAGAGTGGGGGAGCCGCGAAGCTTCGAGGAGGGGATTGCCAAAAAAAAAAGAAGTCGATTGAGAAGGAGAGAAACGGAGTAAGAAATAGGTTGAATGACATTGTATTTTTTGACTTTATACGTAAATATGTATAAAATGTATTTATAGGATATACCTGACAACTTGACTATGGAGAAGTTGATGACTAATTCTTTTTTTAGATGTAGAAACATCTCGCATGCAATTTTGTGTCTTCTCTCAATTTGTGCTAAAATCGTTCGATTTAAACCTTATTTGAATGTTACTACGTTCTAAGGTATACCTCTCACTAAAATGATTAGATAGATAAGGATTGACCTTCTGCAATCAGAGTCACAAACGATAAAATATCCTGGGGTCCATGGAGTTAAGCGCCGACGTTGCAACGGTGAGGAGGAATTAGATGAGAGCTATGGCATCAAACGAGATCTGTCAACCATTTGCCACAAGGAGAAATAATCTGCGAGGCACTGCGTCATGCAACGCACTATTTTTTATTTTGTTTACGGAAAAAATCGTCGGAATTTCTTTTTATTTGCGGCAATTTTTAGAAACCGGATTATTGTTGCCATAGTTTTTTTTTGTTACATTAACGGTTTGTTGCGGCAATGAGGCACGCCTTTCTTTAGAAATTTTGCCCTATCAGTTTTTACGATGGGGTTTCTCTTCTGATCACTGTATAAGGATTTAAACCCCGAGAGATTTTAAACCTCCTCTTTTGGGAAGGCTCAGTTGTTTCGGCAGTTTTAGATTATAAAATCTTTTTCATTTCTTCTTCTAAATTTTATCTTTCTAATTTAATCTATTTCCTCCTTTTACTTTCAAATTTATAGAAAAGAATTAGAAAACCCCAACAAATATGACTCAAGATCAAGAAGAATCATTCCCAGCTACCCACAATGAATTCAGAAGTGATACATTCACAGTCCCCACCCAAGCCATGATTCAAGAAGGGTTCAGTGAAGCTACCTTTGGTGACTCTGTCTATCAAGAAGATGACATCACCTTACAACTAGAATCGAAAATGTGTGAACTCACGGGGAAACCAGCAGCATTATTCTGTGTAAGTGGTACCTTATCCAACCAAATTGGTCTTCGTGCCAATCTTTACCAACCACCTTATAGTATCTTATGTGACTATCGTGCCCATGTCTTTTTACATGAAGCAGGTGGGTTGGCTGCATTATCACAAGCCATGATTCATCCTGTTATACCTTCAAATGGGGACTATTTGACTTTTGAAGATGTTGTAAATAATATAACTTGGGATGATGGAGATATTCATGCTGCTCCTACAAAGGTTATAAGTTTGGAAAATACTTTACATGGGATTGTTATGCCAATAGAAGAGATTGCGAAAATTAGTAAATTTTGTAAAGAAAATGATATAAAATTACATTTAGATGGGGCTAGATTATGGAATGCAAGTGTTGCAACTGGTGTTAGTATAAAAGAATATTGTTCATATTTTGATTCTGTCTCCTTATGTTTATCGAAATCATTGGGAGCTCCTATGGGTTCCATATTAGTTGGAGAACCAGCTTTCATTAGGAAGGCTAATCATTTCAAGAAACAAAATGGTGGTGGGATAAGGCAGGCTGGTATAATGACCAGTATGGCCATACATGCAATTGAACATAATTTTGCCAAACTTAAAAAATCTCATGAATTTGCTAAACAAATTGGGGATTTCTGTAAATATAATGGAATTAAATTAGAAGCACCAGTTGATACTAATTTTGTATTTATTGATCTTAAAGCTAATAGAATGGATGATAGATTATTGATCAAATTAGCCAAAGAAAAGTATAATGTTAAGTTGATGGGTGGAAGAATTGCTTGTCATTTCCAATTGTCACAAGCTAGTGTGGATAATGTCAAACTGTGCATTTTAGAATGCTTTGAATATAATCAAAAACATCCTTACATTGCCGATGGGAAGAACAATAAGAAGATGTATAATTTCGACGCTATCAAGAAGTAAAAGCTGAATATATTGTTGTTGTATGACGTTCATGCTGAATGGGTTTTTTATTTATTTAATATAATACATAAATGGTTATAGAATTTTTGATTTTTATTGGAATTGTAAAGTCGTATACTCTGATGAATATATTTGATCTCGGGAATTATAAACAATGAACGATTGTGATTGTCGTTCTTTATCCCCTATAAAGAATCGTTCAATCATTATGTGTAGACTTACTTAGATCTATCAATAGGCGTTTGCAACATGGCAAATTCCTTCTCCATAAGTAAATTCCGTTTAATTTCATTTTCCAAAGCAGCTTGCTTGGTAATATTCACTTTAGCTACATCGGTGCTCCAAGTCAACCCAATTACATTCCAACCAACAAACCAAAATACCATTCGAGAAGGTTTGAAAAATCGAGTATAAGGGGGATGATTGAATTTATAGGAAAAGTAATACCCTGTGGCAAGGGCAAATAATGAGCCTTTGAGCATTCCAGATATGGCGGCATTGAAAAGTAGTTTATTATACCTTGTAATCATTTGCTCTTTGGATTCATTTAGTAAGTCGGGAGCTTCTACTGGTTGTTGGATGGTGGTTTCAACCATGTTGGAAATGGGGGTGTTAATTGATGGATCTTGTTCTAGAATGGGAAGTTAAATAACAATTTTTGTATTAACAACTTTCTGATTTATATATCTATAGACATATACTTATATGTATATACAAGTCACAAGAATGCTATAGTTAAATAAAGATTTTTGCAGAAGAAAGTGAAAGTTGCTAAAAAGATTATTAATTGCGGTGATAGTGTGAGAGTGTGCCTAAAACAGTCATTTTATGGGGTTTGAAAAGGAAAAAAAAGGTTAGGGATTGAATTTTTAGTGCGATTTTCGGAATATGAGTGACAGAGAATGTTGAGCTGTACCAAGTACATAAATGTTTTGTGTAATGTCTCGAGTCTCCTGTGAGCTGGAGAGACGTCTGATTTAGAGTTTCTAAATCTATCTTCCTCGGTGAACTAAGTTAGAAACGTTCCTAATCTGTTATTTCTTTGGTCATACACCGCAAGGCATCTCTTCCTTATTCACAGGGAACTTACTCGCTGTACGTCGGATATTCTCTGAAATATCCTATCAGAATGCTACGTACTCACTCTACAGGGTATCAATCTACATGTTGTCCATCGATAAGATTTGTCATTTTACTCATTTCCCTATTTACCTAGCTAATTGCCCGCTGAAACATAACCGTCTCTCTCCTCGTTACCCCATACAAAAAAAACTCAGAAATCGTAAATTGCTTCACCTTTACCACATGGAGCATAAGCAATACTCTTCTTTCTCCCACTACTACTACCACTACTTTGTGTATTCACCCCTTGCTGGTCTAATTTCATTTCATAAGCCAAACTAGAATCAGTACATTGTGATAAACTCCTACCATGCAGATCCACATTACATCTTTCACCACAATGCATATCACTGCCTTCAATACTACCAGGAACAGCACCTTCTCTGACCTTTAAACCCAAGCCATGATAATCACCGACAGGTTCCAAGCCTTGCATTTCGAAATGGTGACTAAAGCGACATCTGTCAGTTCTCAGGTCATCATGGGGGCCGGTTGGAGCGTAGCCTTTGTAGCCTGTTGGACCGTAGTCGGCCACGCTTTTGCAGGAAGCATAGTCTATGTATACAATTCTGTTGTCATTCATGGTTAAAAAAGTTTGTTAGTGGGTTAGAAATTGGGTTGTCTTTAAAAAAAAAAATCGAAGAGGATCAATCCATTGTTTTAAATAGTGTTTATTGTATTATCCCTTTCTTACGTATTTAAAAAAGTCATACATTTAATTCTTGCGCTAAGTGAGGAAAGTTGGGTGCAAAAAAATAATGGGGGGGATTTTTTTTCTTTTTGAGTTTCGGTGGTAATGATCATTAGTTAATTCTACATTTGTCATCACCTCATCCCTGGTCGATTCTAGAAATGATTGGACGATGTGAATACGATGAGCTTGTTATTGATCATATTCTTTGTTCTACTCCTGTAAAAAGTCATAAGGAAACTCGTGGAGGCAGGGTCTCCAAGGAAACAATTTTGCGACAGTTAAAAATAAATTTCAGATTGACTAAATACACTCCAGAACTCCGCCGAATTTTATCTAGAATTATCAGAAATAACCAACAAAGATTTGTCAACAATGGCATCGTTTCTTTTCGGCCGATATATTTAGTTCAAGGAGAGTGCCGTGTTTGAATTTCTATTTGATACGGGCTCAGTTGTTTTGTTT